ATATAAGGGTTAAATAATATAGATAATTATGCCTAAAAAGTATTTATTCTTTAGTTCCTTTAATAACTTTGCAAGGATTATTTTATGCAATTCCAACTTTGCTTAAGGGTAGGCTTAAGTAATATTTTAAAGTATAAAAATTATGCTTTTTTCTTAAATTAATAAAGAAATAAATATAAAGATTATTTATTAACTTATTCTTTAAATAATTAGGCTTTGCATTAAAATTAATCCCTTTTTATCATTATTATAACCTTAAATAATAAATTAAGATTTCTTATAGGGTTTTATAATTTTACCTTTTATCTTTTATATTATGCAAAACTTAAAGAGATAATGTTTATTATATTGCTTTGCTAACCATTTCTTAATTTAAAAAACATCTTTAATAATAAGGTTATTAATTTCTATTTAATTAAACTCTTTAAATAATAAGCTTAATATTATAATAACTTTATCTTATTTTAATTTAATTACTAAATTATAGTTTTTATTTTCTTTTTTTAAGATATATAATATAATAATGCAGTCTTTTGTTTTTAGTAATGGTAATTGCATAATAAGTTGTATTTAAGGTTTTATGGCTAAGTCTTTTGCTTATAAGGATTACATTTCCTTATTATTATTTTGGTAGTATAGTTAAATAACCGTTAACTTAAACATTGCAACTCCGTTTAGCATATCCAAGGTTATATTATGGCTATTTATAGTAATAACCTTATATAAACCCTTCCATCCCTTTCTTTCTCTCTATATGCAAACTTTATATTATAGCAAATATTCTATATTAAAGATAAGTTCAATCTTAATATTTAATATATCCTGCACTTACCATTTAATCATGGTTTTTCATAGCATTTTCATAGCTTTTAAAATAGCTTCCGCTTACTTTTATGTTAATAGTAATAATAGTAACTTATGCAATACTTATAAGTAGGCGTTAAAGATTAAGAGCGTAGGGACCAATTTATTTAGTTTAGCAATATTATTAATAACTTTTATAGCTATTTACAAGATAACATCATTATTTATGCTATTATGCAATTCAGTATATAAGATTTTATATACTTATTTAAGAGCTTAATGGTATCTTTTAACTTTCCTAATGAACCAATATACCTCTACGGGAACTTATTTACATTTAATTCCCATTATTTATGCCTTTAAATGGAATTCTAAAAATGCAAAGTTTATTCCTATATTATATTTAATAATATTTAATAATCCTTAATATATATTAATTTAGAGCATTTACAGTGTTGGCTATGCAGTCTTTGCAAACATAAATTTTAAGAATTTTGCTCCCTAAAAAGCAATAGCTTAATCCATAACGTAAAGAACTAAATATCCACTTAAATACATTACATTAATTAAGATTTCATAGTTAAATTTATAATCATTGCATAATGTAAACTTAAAATGCTTAGGCACAAATCTGCTTATTTAATAATGGTAATATATCTTCTTAATCTTTATTATTGCTTATTTATTAATATTTAAATTACCAGCTTTTTTAAGCATTTAGCATAGTTAATTTATTAATAAGTATTTAAAGCAATAATGAAGTTTCCTCATTTCTATTTTTAAAAGGAAATATATAGCATTAATAGTTTAGTTTAAGAAAAACTATAGGTAACCCCATTTTCTAAGTATTAATATAATAATTATATTATTAAAAGAAATCATTTTATTTATAATATTGTTATAATATACTTAAAGCTTATTTATATTTGCTAAGCAAAGCAGGAATAGGGTTTATGCTTAAATAATATGGAAGTTAATATAATTAATTAAGATAGAAACTTTTATTATACCAAACAAATTAATAATTATCTTATTATTAAATTTAACTTTAGCTTTTTTTATAATAATTATATTAATTTAATACTTTAAGTTTTCTTATTATAATGCAAGAAATTATTTATGTTTAGCTATGGATATTAATAATGCTTTTATGTTTAACAGGATTCCTTAAAAATGAGTTTAATTATATTTATTCTTTAAGATAAATTAATTAGCTATAATAATTATCTTTATTTAAAAGATATTATCTCTTATAATTTAATATATAAATGCTTTATTAGCTAAGAAATTAATATTTGCATAATAAACCTCTTTATTAAGTCTTATCTTTATAATATAAATATTATTATTATAATTATTATTTTAATCTTATTTATCTTTATATTTATAAAATTTATCTTTATTATTTATTTTATATCCCTTAAATTTACTTAAAAAAGTATTAAAGTTATTATTATAATCTTTATATTTATATTATATTAAGTAGCTTCTTTTTGCTAAATATTACTTATTAGCTAAATGTTTAATTAATTAGCATCCCTTCTTTTTACAAATATAATATCTTTTCTTTTAAGGTTATTCTCCTCTTTCTTCTTTATAAGCATTATTACTTTAAGTTTTATAGTTAATGCTATAAGATCTTGGCTACTTAAAGCTTAAATAGCTTAGGTTTAGTTAGCTAAACCTTTAATTTCCTTAAAATGCTTAAGATTGCAATTATTATCCTTTCCTTAGCTTTTAATTATTATATTTATAATTAATATAATATTAATTTAAAACTTTATCCATAATATAAATTATAATTATATAATTAAGCTATATTTTTATTACAAATCTTAAGTTTAAAAATAACTCTTTATATAGTTAAGTTAGCTTAAAAAGAGCCATTTTTAGCTTAAAAACTCCTTTATAAGCTTTAATTACTATTATTTTTAAGTTATCTTCCTTAATATAATCTTAGCTTAATATTTATTAATAAAATTATAGCTTATTAAGCATTAAATATAAAACTTTATATAAATCTTTATTTAAGTTTTATGCTTTTATTTTTATAAATATTATTATTATTTAATTTATATAATAATGCTAATAATTAAGATTTATATTAAAATGTATTTTAATTTTAAGATATATTATTATAAATATATTAATTTAATTTATAAAATAAAGGTAATAAGCCTTAGCTTAATCTTTAAGTATTTAAGGAAAAACTATATAGAATTAACTTAGCTAAATTTTGGCATAATAGTAAATATTAAAAAATATTTTTATTTTATTATTTAGCAAGTTATATAAATCTTTAATATACTTATAAAAGTTATTAAAGATTTTTATAAATTATATTAACTTTATTAAATTTAAGCATTTATTAAAAATATATTATAAGGGAAGAGTTTTATATAGGTTATACTTCTTATTTAGTAAAGGCATTTTTAAGGTAGTTTAAGGTTATATTAAATATAATATATATTTTTAGTATAAGCTTTATTTTTATCTTTCCGCTAATAATAATAGCCCTTGCTGGCTATATTGGTTTTTAATAAATTGCATTATTAAGTTTAAGTTTTATAATTGCGCGCTTGGAGCTGGTGGCGGTAATAAATATTGCCTTGGGGACTATCCTCTTGGTAATTATCATTATTTAAAGCTTATTTATAATGCTTATAAGGGCTATGCTTATAGTTACTATCTTTAAAGTTATATATAATATTTATTTATACTTAATTTTAAGGCTAACGGGGCATTATAAAGCTTATTATTAATCCATTTTAATCTTTCCTTAGCTTAAGCCATAGTAATTAATTATAATGCCATAAGTTAATTATTACATTTTATATAAATGCCTTATATTTAAAGAAAGACTTTTAAGCATTATTAGCAAGGATTTGGTAATATTTTAAATATTATCTATATTTATATTATGTAATCTTTGCAATAAGCAATGAAAAGGTTATTATTATAAAGGTTTTATTATATATAACTTGCTAAAGTACTTGCTAAATAAATAACTAAATATTTTACTAATGCTCTTTATGCAAGGGCTGTAAACTATAATTCTAAGTTAATATATTTACAATAGGCTAGGTTAATTAAAGTTTAAGCAAGTATCTTATTAACTATATACCTTTTAATAAAAGCTGATAGTTCCTTAGCATTATTAGCTATGCTTGCAAGTTTTCATAGTAAATATTATAAGGAGTAAGCTATTAATAAAATAGGTAATATTTAAGAGTAAGTTAATAATAGTAGTTTAATAATAAGCAAGTTATAATTATTAAGAGGAAAAAGTTATTAATTCCTTTAGGCCTTAAAAGCTAAAGCTTTCTCTTATTATTAGGTTCTTTTATATTAGCTAGAAGCATAATGCATAACTTATGCTTGCTTATAATATAGCATTGCATTAACTCCAGCAATTACGATAATTGCAAGCTTTATTTATTTAATAATTATGATAGTTGCAAGCTTTATTCATTTAATAAAACAAAGCTTTATTAAATTCTGTTAGGTCTTAAAGAGGATTTAAAAATAGGTTTATTTTTAATAAAGTCTTATATATAATAAATATATATTTCTTAAATAGTAATAAATATGCATATAAATATTGCAAGAAATGCCACTTAGTTTATTTAATCTTTATAATGTTTGCTTAGGGAGTTTAATAATATAGGGAGGCCTAAAGAAGCAGTTATTGCTATATAGCGCTTATTAATAAGGAAAATATAATTTTTAAGTTAAGGAAATCCTTATAGGGTTGCCTCTTCTACCTTATTAATCTATGGTACTTATGATTACTAATTAGTATTAATAGGTCTCTCATATGTACAATAATTATATGGGAAGCAATCATATATTGGTATTATTCTATCTAAGTTTTAAGAGGCTACGTGCCCCGGAGGGGATAACTAAAGTAGCCTTTCAAGTGACGAGGGTCGTACTTGCCAACAACAGCGACCATGTCACACGTAACCCAAAGGGTCGTTCAAATATAGGTCAACGGAGGGGGCGCGGAGTAACGATAGTGATGTGTATACGACATTACCTTAAAAGTCATATTCAAGCCATAGACAGTTTCTTCAGACTATTCTTGATCCTTTCTTGTCGCCTGGAGTGTAGCAAGCATCTACTATTTACACACCGGCATCACTCCACCGAAGCTGAAATACGGCAGCTGCCGGACAGGACGTCTCCTGCCACAAATGTCCCTTGTACCAGAACACGACGATTACCGCATGACGAGTCCTCTGAACACACGCGGTGGTGAGGCTGAAGTTCAACTTCGTAAATCATGCCCGAGCTCCATTGGCTACGAGAACACCAATGCGCTGCCGATAGACTGTTACACCGATGCTTTCGGAAACACATACAGTTCATCAACGTTCACTAATGCCTGCGACTATGACACATCTTTTCTAAGCAACACTTGGCCCACCGGAGCAGCGGCAGCACTCGACTTGCCGCTCGCAGGGGCAGTTTACCCGTCGCCCATTCCTATTGTCTCTCGTCCATTCGACGCCTCCCCCAATGGGATCGGCCCTATGGCATCAAATGGCTGGCAAATGGACGCCGAATATTTGATGCAGACAAGCCCGGGCACGCCATGGCGGCATGATCCGCGGGCTGGTTCTGGAGGCCGTGATAATACAACGACAAGGTCGAGCATCTTGAAGACGGACGTCTGGAGTCCAGACACCTGCAGGACCGAGAGCATACCCCATTCGAACGCGACGACAGATGAGACCAAGTACAAAAATTGCGCCGACTCGCCGCAGCCCAGTTCGCCACGCAAGAGGAAGAAGTGCGGTGCCGCAGGGTCATGTCAAGAGACGAGTTTAAAGTGCAAGACTTCAGCGTTGACAATTCCTCCGACGTCCACCACCAATCCATCGAATTCCCCCGTGCCCCTTGCCCCCAACGTCAGCTTTGATCCGCCAGACACAGACGCCCACCCGAATCCAATCCGACCACAAAGCTCCAGAAGGGCAGCTTCCAGCAACGATATGCAGCGGGGCGCGCGGTCGCCTCCAGCAGCATCACGATCCGAGCAGCGCGCCCGCAACAGGGCTGCCGCGATCAAGTGCCGCGTCAAGACCAAGGCCGCGGCCGCAGAGCTCGAGGCCACGGAGAAGGCCGAGTCGGCGAGACACGAGCACCTGTCGACGACCCTCCGGGGCCTGCAGGCGGACGTGTTTGCTCTCAAGAGTGAGATCCTGCTGCACGGCAACTGCGGCGACGGGCTCATACAGGACTACCTCAACAACGCGGCGAGATCGTTGGCTACTAGCACTGATGGAGCCACCGAGTGCAGACCGGGCGGTGGGTTGCCGATTTTCGGCTCCACATCCATGCAGTTGTCACGATGATGTACAGTGGCCGCCAAAACAAGAGCTCGTGAGCCTAACCTGCGAAATGGTGGACCTTGGAAGCGGATAGGATATGCGGTAATCACTGTTCAGACTTGTCGACTATTGAACGGCATGCTCGTGCGTGTCTTCTATTGCTATACGTCCGAGTCGAGAGGGCTTAAAAAGCAGCAGTTGGAGGAGCAAGGTGACAAAAATCTCCACAATTCGCCCACCCACGACCACTTCTGCACGAAGCGACTCGCCGGTTCGTCGATGACCCTGCTGGATACAGAATGATGCTCGCCAAATCTCTGGCCGAGTTTCGATAGCTCTATCTAATTCTGTGTGTTGTTTTACCCCTCCGTCAACTTGAACGAGACATTCAACGCATGCTCATTAGCGAACAGAGGAACATAATCCGAAACCAAGAACCACCGCGGCATGGCCATGCCCTCGTGCACAAACTCCCCACCAACCTTCAAGTTCTCAAAAGTGAAGTTCTGGATATTCCTCTTCGAATTGCATCCCAGAATCTGCGACGGGTTCACAGTCTCCGAATTCTCCAGATCCAGCTCCAAATTCCTGAACGTGACGTCGCGGATACTGCTGCCCGGCGCCGTCGTCCACCTGCCATTCTGCATGACGCGGAGGTTGACAAGCTGGCCCTTTGTGATCTTCTCCGCCCGGACGTCCTCGACCAGTACATCCTGCACGTGGTTCGCGTCGCCAGCATTGACCGCGATACAACCTTGGTACCACATCTGAGCCTCGTTGTGATCCAAGATGTCGACATTGCTGATGTGGATCCCGCTAAGTGTCTCAGGGCTCTCCGGGTTCCCATGCGTCCCGATATTGATCGGGTGTGCAATGTCTGGCAACAAGACCGAATCTCTCAGCGTGATGTTCCTGGTCTCGCCGTAGTAACCCCAGCGATGACCGTAGATGGCTAGGGTGTCGTCTGAGTTGCGCAAGAAGCAGTTCTCGGCCAAAATATCCTGGGAACAGAAGAAATCGAGGCCATCACCATTTCCGGCGGATGAGAAGGATCGGTAACGGTTGATGTGGACATTCTTTGCCTCACCTGTCGTGAGGGAGAAGCCGCTCGCGTTCAGGGCGGTGACCCCTGCGACAAAAATGCTGGATGAGCGTTCGATGAGGATGGCGCCGCCATTGGGCGAGTTGTAGAGAAATCCATGCCCGAGGATGCCAGAGTTGGATACGTTGTTGAACAGAATTCTGGCGTTGAGGAATGCCCCGCTGTCGAGGTATGTGGTTGTGTCTGATGGGACTGTCAAGTTTCCGCCATCAACCTTTGCGTAGGCCGATCCATTGTTAAGTCCTGGCCCAAAATACCACACGTTTCCAGAGTCTTCGGCGGGAGCGGTTTCGTCGACCTCATTGGTAAGAAGGTGCAATGCTTGCCATTTATAGTTGTTGATTTCCAGCATGAGGTCCACTTGTCGATCAAGGGTAAAGCTGATAACATCTCCCTCAATGGTAGTGTCGATTCCCAAGGAGATGGGTCTGATCAACGCAGAGAAGACCGCACCAGCCTTTACTGAGCTTGCACTTCCAACGGGCCGTGGTTGTAATCCAAAGAGCTGACAGTGAAGGGATGTTGATTGAATTCGTTCCGGGTAAGATTATGCTCAGCGCCATTCACAGAATATGAAGGCAAAGAAGACCACGTATCAGATCCGGCGATCCGAGCCCGTACGATGAAGTCGTTGCTAGCTGCCACACCCTCCGGGACTGCATGAACCCGAATGCTGGCTGAAACATTCATTTTTGACTGAGCGAACGTTGCAAAAAGAAGGAGCAAAAGTAGAAATGCTAAATTCTGTGAAGACGTTGTAGGGGACATGTTGTCGCGGAGCTTACAATGCCTTAGTGACGTGTCACAAGACTGCATCAGGGGTCTCTTCGGGAAGTTGTTACGCGAGGCGAGGACAATTGAAGGCTACAGGCCACAGAAGCCGTGGCTCTTATATAACGGACCACAGTGATGAGCATCGTAACAGAATATGATCGCTCGTATAGTCAATACCAAGAAAAGGTACTTGAATACCGTCGTATCATGGTTTGCGGGGTGATCTGCACAAGCTAGGGGCTCCGGTCCGTGACTTGGCCCGTTGGACTGACCCTTGAGAAGTCGCTTGAAAGCATTGCTGTTATAACACAATCACGGTCCGCAACTTTACCCGGTGAACAACTGTTAAAAATGCCGCTCAAAAGGGTTCAAGCATACGACTAATGCTTGGCACGTTTTCGTGTATTGTTATAGGACTTTTCAAACAATTTTCATGGCCGTTGAGTTACCCTCTCCTTTATGAAATCTCGTGAATGATCATGAAGTCTCCTTTTCAAACATCCGAAAGCTTGAAGCCTCCGGGACACAACTTCTGGAAAACCTCCTCTGGGTCATACTTAGCCGCGACCTTCTTCATGAAACTGACGTTTTCAGCTCCATAGCTAGCCAGAACGTCCTGACCGGGGTCTGCGTAATTCAGATACAGCCAATCCTGGGCACCGCCAATACTGGATGCAAATTCCCGAATCTCTTCGATCCAAGCCTTGACCTTGGGATATGCGGCCGCCCGCTGGTCCGCCGTGGGGACCTCAATCAAAGCCAACAGCAGCACGCCGTCCTCCTTCTGCCTCTCTAGGCCCAGCACGTTGCCCCCTGCCTCGACGGACTTTTCGGTGTAGAGCCTGGGGAGGGGCTGGAATATGCACTGGGAGAGCATGTTGCCATCTGGGACGATGACTTTCATTTCTTGTACGAGCGCTTCATGAGTCTCTGAGGCTTTGGTCATGATACGGGTGTCGTTATTGAAGGTCAGAGTGAACCAAATCGCGCTATTGAGAATGTTAGAATCTAGAATATTCACGTTGGATCGGAGGCAGGTGTAAGAAAAGGCCATACTGGTAGTTTCCGGGTGTGTTGTTCGCTGCTATCATCTCTGCCTCTGTTGTAATTGCGGCGTTGGTGGTGATTTCAGGTATGGCTAGCCATTTGTTGTACGCCGGCGCTTTCTCCGTGCCATTCATGCTCGCGTCTAGAGCGGAAAGTGTAGTGCAGTTAGTAAGAATTCGCTTCCTTTCAGGAGCCCACCGCAAACACAGGCCGCAGGCGGGTCTCGCCCTAATACTTGAGGATCCCAGGATTGTTACTAACAGAGCGTGCATATGACTGTTTCTTCAAAATTCGGGTTGTGTGAGACGAGAACGACTAAATTTTCGTCAGGGTGTGTAGCGGCGTTCGCTGTGAAATCGTGCGTCGCTTCGATCGCTGCTGGAAGATGCTCCTTGGAGTAGACAGTTATCCCGCCCCAGATCCTCTTGTTTTCCACCATGGCCATCTTGAAGCTCGTCACGATCACGAAGTTGTTGGAGCCGCCCTTCAGCGCGCGGAAAAGATCCGCGTGCTCGTCCCTGTTGGCTTTCACAATGCTGCCGTCTGCAAGTACAACCTCGAACTCCAGCACATTGTCGCAGGCGAAGCCCTTTCGGCCCGTGAGGAAGGATTTGCCGCCGCCGAGGATCAGACCGGCCACACCGACTTGGCCCTCGCGGCCGCCAGCGACGATCCTATCATACGGGGCGAGGGCGTGGTAAATGTCGGCCCAGCGGCCTCCGGGCCCAAAGCGGACGGTCTCCGAGTCGGTGTCGACGGTGAGATCTGCCATCAATCCCAAGTCGATCTGATTTTAAGACAAGGTCAGCTCTCGAGCTATAGTTCCGAAACAGGATACACAAAAATTCGGATCTCACTTACAGTCACGCCTTGGTCAATATTGTTACCCAAATTGGCATGCCCCCCACTTCGGACTACAACAGTCAGCTATGCTTTGAGATTCATTTTGGAGGGCTGCAGTAAGTGCCCTATCAAGTATTCGATAGCAGTCGCCGAAATTGATATCCGTCTTGGTGGTGAAGGAGGAAATGACAACAAGACGTCTCAGGGTTTCGGGTGGGATAGCGGGTTCCTGGCTGAGTTTCAGGCTTACCAGCAAATGTATGTCCTCCAGCCTTGAGAGCTAATACTGCCTTCGCCACTTCTTCGGCCGACCGAGGCGTGACAATACAGGCCGGTCGCAGCTTTGCGTCCTTGCTCCAGTACGATTCATTCCGCGAGGTGTAGTCGGTGTCTGTTGGCAGGAAGACGCGATGGGCAAGCCCAGCCTCTGTGAGGCTATGGGCCTGAGGACAGGACGGCTCGAGGAAGACTCCCGCCATGATTCAAATTGAATTGAGAAGCAAGTCGTGAGACTGCGTGGGGGCAAACTTGAAGTGTCATGAGGCGACCGGGGACGAAAAGATATATCCAACTAAAGTTCTCTTGTATACCAGACGATTAGCAGCGCTTCAACCGTGCACGCTAAAATATTACCGCATGCAGCTTGTGAATAATTTGTAACGGGCGGGCCAATACCTTGTGGCTGACTGGCTTGGCGGTGGTGATCGCCAGCATTGGACACGCTGGGCATGCACGGCACGGCACGGTGACAGTGGTGGTCAAATGGGGAGGACGGTCAGCGGTTCGCACTGCAGAGTTTCCCTTCTCAGTCTCTCTCTCTCTCTGTGAGTTTTGAGATGTCATATCCATATTCTTACCCGTTTGACTTTTTTGCCGTCGAATGTACCCTGCCATTCCTTTGCTCACTGCCCCATCTTCAATATTCTCTCAGGTTAACAAGCTAACACTCCTTCCGCGAAAGACAAAGCTTCGAGCATCCAGACTTGAATTGTTTGAATTTCTGGACAGGAAAGTCTTGACCGATAACCTACCATACATCTTGAGGTTTTTATCAGATTTCGCGGACTAGGATTGGGGCATAACCTTATTAAGAGTAGAGGTGAAGATGAATCTTGATAGGTAGGCGTGGTGAGGCAAAAGACAAAGATGATGAACTTGTCCCTCCTCCGCTACTAGAAATAGGTGGAAGCAAACCTGCCCCGAGCGAGGGTTTAAAGAAGACTTCAAAATTATGTGAGCCAGTTATGAACGTGGTCTAAGAATGCAAAAATGCTAGGAGGGTGCAGAGTAGAGAGCTTATAAGAATTCTTACACGTGGACAGTCAATCCTTGGTCTAGGTGGGGCGAGCTGTTCACCGTATTAATGGTAAGTGTTATCTGAATGAGCTACGAGACTGATAATTTAGTCGAGTAGGTTGAACTGCTTTGCTTGCATGATACCTACGGGTTCCGTCGATTCAGAAATGTTGGCGGATCGATACCGTTGGAAACGTTGTAGAATTAGTCGAGAAACCTCTACTCGGTCGATCAGGTTCGTCGTCTGCTTCTCAAAATTCGATACGGCATAATTCCTGCTGCCATCTAAGTTTTGCCATTATAAACACCCAGCTTCAAAGACCATTACGCACAGGCATGGTACGCCGAAATGAAGAGCCAGGAAGGGCACCATACTTCTCATGTATTTATGTCCGGCTTCCATCGTCTGGGGGATACCATTCCCGAAAAGTCGTCGTCATCGCGCCGGACTCGCGATGCGGGGTCTCGATTATCGCCGCCGGCCATCTGGTCATACATTTCGTCTTTTAGAATGCTGCCGAATTATTCGCACACCCGTTGTATCATAGTGTTTCTTTTCTTTGGAAACATCTGTAACTGATATGTCTGAAATAATAGCGTTGGATGCTTAGTCTATTAGGCTAGCTAACGTCTATTCTACGGGAGGGAAGGCCCCTATTTATAGTTATTATCCTCCATACAGTGGCAAACGTATGGGGAAAAGGATATCCCGTATTAATAATAGCCTAGATATCTAGAATATTCCAACAGCCCCCCTTAAACTAATTCCCTTTTATTTATTTTTATTTTATTTATTTTATTTTATATATATAAGGGATTTAGTTTATAAAAGAGGAATATTTAGTTATATAGTGAGAAAACCTTATAAAAGGGGAAAAACTCACTTATTAAGTGTTTATATATTTAGGCAAAAAACCCAAAAATTTGCTGTCACTTAGACTTGAACTTGTAGCCAGTAGGGTATTACATATCAGATTATGGTTTTATATGGGATTCACTAGTTATTTTATAATGGCTACGGTATATCACGGCATTTTTATACATTAAAGTTATACGTCATTTTATTTATACTATATATACTACGGAAATACGTTTTCTGTGTAGAATTAAACGTATATAAACGCAGTGTAGGTATATTGTAACTGTGTGTATATATGGTATATATAGGCCGTGTAAGTAACGCTTATTTTTTAGGAAAAACCTTTATTATTTTAATTATTTCTTTTAAGGGAAAACCTCCAGTATTTAAGGTAATATTATATATATATATAATTAAGTTCGCTTTATTTATTTATATATTTTATAAGTAAAGGAAAAAATCTTAACCCTAATTATTAAAGAGTAAATACCTTGATTTATTTTGCACGCATTATAATATAAATAAAAAATCTCCCTATTTTCTGGCTTAATATTTTTATATTATTTTTTTATTAAACTATACTTTTCTTTAAACTCTTTATAATATAATTTGTTTATTAATTTTATAAGCCAGTTTGCTAAATTTTATTTAAAATTTATATATGTTAATATTACTTTATTATTTTTTATTGCTTCTCTTATATAATAATATGCAATATTTATATATTTAGTTCTTTTATAAAATAAAGTATTTTTAGCTAATTTCTTAGCCCCATTATTATCTATATATATAGTAGGGGGCTTGAGATTAAAGCCAGTATTTAAATTATTATTAAAATATTCAAGTAAATTATATAAATATTTAGCTTCTTTTATGGCTTCTCTTAAAGCCATATATTCTGCTTCCACAGAGGAAAGTGCTGGTGTTTTTTATAGCTAAGAATTCCAGCTTATGGGATTTATTTTATTATTATTATTATTATTATTATTATTATTAATATTATATAAGCTAAATATATAACTAAAGGTGCTTTTTCCAGTAAATATATCGTTACCCTAGTTTAAATCTATATAGCCTATTAATTATAAATTATTTCCAGAGCAATTATATACTTTAGATATATATGGGAATTTATATATATATCCCCATATTTTATTTAATTCTTTTATATGCTCTGGTCCTGAGTTTGCCATATATCTAGCTAACTCGTTTATAAAATAAATTAAATCTAGCCTTATTTTTAAGCTAGCATATAATATAAACCCTATTTATTGCTAATATAATTCTATAGTATTTTTATCAGCTTAATTAGTGTATTTTTCTAATTTTCTATTAGGGGTATATGGTATAAATTAAGGGATTATTTCCTTTTTCTCAACCTTTTTTTTTATATTAAATCTTTTTAATATTTTATCCATATATCTATTTTAGTTTATAATTATTTATTTATCTTCTCTATTTATATATATATCGCTGCCAAGGAAATCTATTAAATCTCCTTAAAAATCTAGTTTTATATTTTTATATAATTTATTAATTATTAAATTTATATCATTATTATTAGGTCCTATAACGATAATATCATTTACATAACATATAAATATAATTTATTTATTAAGGTATATAAATACCCCTTCATCATATAGGCAAACAATAAATCCTAGCTTAATTAATATATTTTTTAAGTATTTATACCAAAGCATAAGTAATTATTTTAACCCATATAAAGCTTTATTTAATTTTGCAACTTTATTTTTATATTTCGGTTTATTATATATATATACAGGTAATTTTATATATATTTTAAAATCAATATTAAAGTATAGAAATGCGTTTTTAACGTCATAATTAAATATAAAATATCCTTTATTTATAGCTATTATTAATAGCATAATATAAGTCTCAAGGCGGCAGACTATAGAAAAAGTCTCTAAATAATCTATGCCTAATTTTTAGTTATATCCCTAAATAACCCATCTAAATTTAAATCTAATATTATTCTCATTATTTACTACCCAACTAGGCTTTATAATAACTAGGTTATTTATAAATTTCTTTTTATATACCCATTTCCCCCTAAAGCCATACGGCCGGGTAGTAAATCCATTATTATATAAGTATTTTATTCTTATAAACTATATATTTCATTTAGCATAAATTTAACCCATAGGGGTTTTTCTAAGCTATTTAATACCTCTTTTAAAGAAGAGAATTCATTAATATTAGCTGCAGTTAAGCAGTATTTTAATATATTTTCTTAGGAATTTAATATAAATATTTAGTTATTTAATAGTATGTCTTGTATAATATATATATAGTCTTTTAAATTCCCTTAAACTATTATCTTATTTAAAATAAAAGGAAAATTTACTTCCTTATTTTCTTCCCTTTATTCTTATAATTCTAGGAATATATATATATCATTATTATTATTATTATTATTATTATTATTATTATTATTATTATTATTATTAATATCGTTATTATTTATATATTGCCCTTTTAATATCCGGACATCCCGAACTAATATAAGCTTTTTATTATTTATATTCCATACTTGATATATATTTAATTCTGGGATTATATTTAATAATATGCCCTTTTTATTTCTAGGTTTTAATTTAGTTTTATAATTATTATTTTGAAAATATACAATAAATCCCTATAATTTTAAGTTGTTTATATAGGGCTTCTTTTTATTTATTACCTTATAAGGGCACTTATACCTTAGGCTTTTATAGGGTGTAATATTATATAAATATATAGCATATTTTATTGCTTCTCCCCATAAATATATAGGCAGATTTACCGTATATAAAAGGCTTTTAACTTTATTCATTATGATTAAATTTAGTCTTTCTATTAAGCCATTTAGTTCTTTTATATATGGGGGCGTTATATGGTAAGTTATAAAGTATTTATTTAATAAGATTTTAAATCTTTTATTTATATATTCACCTTTATTATTAGTAAAGAATTCTTTTATTCTTTTATTATATTTATTTTCTGCCTTATTTTTATAGTTATTAAAAGCTTCTAATGCTTTATCTTTATTTTTAAGCAAAGAAACTTTTAAATATTAAGTTCTTTTATTAAGGAATAATATATAATATTTATATTTATCATATATAGGTTTTAAGGGACCGCTTATATCATTATATACTCTTTTAAGTATATTATATACTTAGTTATTTAGGCTAATCTTATTTATTTTAATTATATACTTAGCTTTTAAGCATACTTTATAATTACTTATATATTCTTAAATAGGTTTACTTATTAATATATTTATTTTATATTTTTAAAGAAATATTTCTAAAGCTTGGATATTTATATAACCTAGTTTATAATACTATTTATATATCTCTTCTTTATTTTTATTATTTATATTTAAATTTTATTAAGTTATATATATTTTTTAAAAGGTATATTTAAGCTTATTTATTTATTTTATTATATTAATTTTCATAAAGTATAAGCCGTTTTTTTAATATCCTTAAGTTATTAGCTTATTTATTCCTTAAAATTATAGTTTAATAATATTTCCTTTTAATTTTAATTTAATTTTATTATTTATATACTTATAATTAAATATATTTAAACCTAAAAAAGGCGTATAATATATATTAAAGAATTTATTTATAATATTTATTTCTAAAAACTTAATTATTAAGTCCCCTATTTTATTTATAAATATAATATTTATATCACCCCATTTTACGGTTTTATTAGTTATATATATAGTATTAAAGAGGCATATATCTTTAAAACTTATTATATTTACAGTAGTATTTACGGTTATTTCTACGGAATTTATATATTATTAATTTCCTATAAATTTATTATTATTAGCTGTTATTATTATTATATATATATAAGGTATATATAGGGTTATTTACCTTAATTTCCATTAAGTTATTAAAAAAGAGTTATAAAAAATTTAATAAATATTTATTATATTTAGTATTTTCTATTAAATTATTTATAGCCATATAGGCTATAAATTCTTTTTAAGCGCCTTTTAAAGCCATAGGAAACTTTATGCTAGCTAATAAAGCTAAGAATTGCTCTTATATTTTCTCTTATTTCTCTTAACTTATATTCTTTCTTAAAAAAGTAATTTTTTCCTTTTCTTTTCTTTATTTATTTATTTTCCAACTAACAAATACCTTATTTAAATAAAGGAAATAGCAATTTTCTTAAATATAACCCTTTCTTTTACAATTAAGGCATATAATAATCTTTTTCTTATCTTTCTTACCTTTTATATATAAAGCTTTTGCAAATAATTTAAAGAATTTACCTTTGCTTTCATTTAATAAGCTAAAAAAAGAAATTTAACTATATAAGCATTTAAATCTTTTTTAAAACTCTAAGTTATATTTTAAATAAAGCCAATATATTTATTATTTAAGCTATAGAAAATTTAACTAATTATAATATATTTAAGAAAAATTATATTATTAGCCTTTAAATCCTTTAAAAAAAGCTTTAGCTTATTAATATATTCTTCCATAATTTTAAAATTATTAAAATTAATATTAAAGAACTCTTTATAAAGTAAATATTAACTTATAAACTTAAAGAATTTATAATAAGATTTAAGTATATCCTATACTTTTTAAGCACTATTTATATTTTTTATAAATATAATAAGCTCCTACTTATATATAAGTTTAATATTAATAAGGGCTCTTTTATTTTAAGCTAAAGATAAGCCTTAAAAAAGATTCTTAAGATTATTCCTAATAATATTTTCTTTTTTAAGCTAAGCTTAGATTTTAATGCTTTAATATATATAATTTTTCATTTCATTAAAAAATAAAATATTATACTTATTAAGAAATGCTATTTTAAGGTAAATAAATAAAGTATTTATTAAGATAATTAAAATAATAAAGAAAAAGATATAATAAATTTTAAATAAGTTTAATAAATTAAGAAATAAAAATATAAGTATTAAGATAATATAATTATAAAGAAAAGAAAAAGGGCTTTTAAATAATATATTTTTAAAGTATTATAAATTAAAAATGGTTAAGATATAGTTAAATATTTCTAAGGGAGTTTAAGAATTATTATAAATCCATTAAAATTCACGTTTTTAGTATTAATTTAGTATAGTTTTTAAAATCTAAAGAAATAATCTTATTATTCTTAATAAGGGCTCTTAAATAATATATAAATTATATAAGTAGGTTAAGTATTAATAAAGAAATAATTAAGTGTTTAGGTAAATAAGATATGGTTTTTATATATATGGGCTTTAAGTTAGGAGATAAGGTTAATTTATAACGTTAAATAAGGTAATTTAATTAGTTAAGAGCTTATTAATTAGCTTAATTAAGTAATTAATTAAAAAGTTTATCTTAAAGTATAAAGCTTATTTATTTAAAAGGTTTGAGAAGTGGTGGCGATTAAGGGTATTACGTAATATATATTTTCCGTATCGGGTTAGCATTGCCGTTTTAGGTAAGCTCCGGAGCTTATAACCTTTAAAATAATAGCGTTAAATGCTTAGTCTATTAGGCTAGCTAACGTTTATTCTACGGGAGGGAAGGCCCCTATTTATAATTATTATCCTTCATACAGTGGCAAACATATGGGGAAAAGGATATCCCGTATTAATAATAGCCTAGATATCTAGAATATTCCAACAATATGTGCTTCTGAACTCTCGTCTCTTGGCCCTTGTAACAAGCCACTCTAGTGTCCGGCCAAGTTGATAGCACAAAGTCAGGATTGTGCTCAGAACAAGGTGGTCATGGCATCTTTACAGACGGGCACTGTGGCTGTGGAGAAGTCGGGGCTCGATGGAAATGAAAGTTTCGAGAGGAATGACCAAGTCCTTGACCATGACCGGGATACGTTCCTGCCTCGTCCTTCTGACGACCCGAAAGACCCTCTGAATTGGGCTCTCTCACTCAAAGTAAGTATCGGTAGACCTCATATTGAATGACCATGAGGGACCTTTTTACTGACATCCTGCAGGTCGCAGTACTGATACAAGTCTGCCTCCTCGCCGCCCTCGACACCATCAACACAGCCATCACCAACCCGGCCTACAGCCAGCTCGCCCGTGACCTCGACATCACCATCGTCCAAGCCTCCTACCAGACAACCGCCGTCATTACCCTCAATGGAATCGGCCCATTCCTCTGGGTGCCCCTGGCGAATGTCTACGGGCGAAGACCCATCTACCTCTTCACCACGCTGCTGGGCTTCGTCTCTATCCTCGGATCCGCGTACGCACGCACCTACGGCCAGCTCATCGGCGCCCGCGTCGTGAATGGTCTCTTCCCGGCAGCTATGGCCCTGGGGCCGAGCACGGTGGTCGACTGCTTCTTCTTCCACGAAAGAGGGCGGGCCATGGGGTTGTTCACGGTGATCCTGACAACGGGTGCTCATATCGCGCCTATCCTGGGTGGGCTCGTGGGTCAGTTTCTTGGGTGGCGCTGGATCTTCAAATTTACGGCCATTTTGGACGGTGTCATGTTTCTTGTGATCCTCATAGGCTTACCCGAGACGCTCTACGTGCGCGACACCGACGACCTGACGCACACAGCGCCGGCGGACAGAAGGGAGAGGGAGACGTCCTCTCTAGGGATCAAGGGCTACGTCGCCCGCCTCAAACCGTACGCAGGGCCCTTCCCAGGCCTCAGACTGCGCCTCGGCGACTTCGTCTGGCCCGCCCTCCGCATGGCCCAGTACCCGTCCGTCCTCTTCCCAGCAGCCTACTATGCCGCGCAGTACGGCTTCGGCAGCATCTTGCCCGCCGTGACCGTGGCCGCCATCTTCAAGGAGCGCTTCGGCTGGGACACGCTCGAGATCGGGCTCGCGTACGGCGGCGCGCTGACCGTCGGCGGGGTGCTAGGCGAGAGCGTGGCCGGCGTGATCCTCGACGCCATCGTGAAGCGCGCGCGGCGCCGCCTCGGCGGCGTCAACCCGGCGCCCGAGGCGCGGCTGCAGGCGATCTGGACGGGGGCGGCGCTGCTCCCCGTGGGCCTGCTCGTCTACGGCTTCACCATCGAGTACCGGACGCACTGGTTCGTGCCGCTGTTCGGGATGGGGCTGAGCGTGTTTGGCTTGCAGCCGATCGCGACGACGTGCTATACTTATAGTATTGACTGCTACCGCGAGCGGGGTGGGGACGTTGCGACGTTCTTTAATTTCCTTAGGCAGATATTTGGGATGACGTTTGCGTTCTATGTGGTGTTGCTTTGTCAGAGGATTGGATATCAGTTTGCATTCTTGTTATTTGTCATATGGGGGAGCGTGCTTGGTTTCATACCTATTTTGATATTGATGTGGAAGGGGAGGGAGATTAGGCTTTGGTTTGAGAGGAGGGAGGAGGACAGGAGTGATCAGGGTCGCCCTGAGAGGGATTCATTCACGTAACCATATCGGATTGACGGTAGTTTAAAATGCATCGTAAATCATTTAATTTCAGGTCGCACGTCTATGTAAAGCAAAACACCTCGGCTGGCCCAACAAAATTCGCTCTGAATATTGATATGTACAAATAAACCCCCTAGTTGTCAAACATCCAACTGTTGTCCCTTTTCAATTACAATTAAGCAAAGAAGGTGACCTCCCTCTTGGTCTCCTCGACACCTCCAGCCTTGACGCTCCTCGCAGCAGCAGACGGGGCCGCGCTCGCGCTCGGGGTCGCAGCGGGGGCGTCACCGCTGTCGAGGGATGCGGTCGCCAGCGAAGTCATGTTGAGAGGGCCCTGCTTGATGTACTCCTTCTCCTTGGGGAGGCTCTCCCACATGCCCTCAGGCAGCTTGAGGTGGTCCTGGACGACCTGCTTGGGCGTCAGGGCGAGCCACTGCGCGGCGCTGACGTCGGAGAACTTGGGCGCCTGGAGGACCTCGAGGAAGATGACGTCCTCGGTGCCCGTGTTCTCGACGTAGTGGCTGGCCGCCTGGGGGATGTAGCCCACGCCGCCGGCCGTGAAGTCAAAGGTGCGGGCCGCCTCGGGCGCCTTGAAGACGGTGATGCGCGCGGAGCCCTGCAGGAAGTAGTTCCACTCGGGCGAGGTCGTGTGCCAGTGGATCTCGCGCATGGCGCCCGGCTGCACGACCACGAGGGCGGCGGCGAAGTTGGACGCGATGGGGAAGGTGGTCGGGTCGAGGATCTTGACGGAGCCGCCGGGGGTCTCGTAGGGCTTCTGCTCGGACCAGTGGTAGGTGTACGAGTTGGAGGTGCCGTCGAGCGAGCCGGCGGATGAGGTCAGGTTCTGGGTGTCGTCAATCTCCTTGGGCTGGGGCGTGCCGTTGAAGATCTATTGTGTCGAGATTAGTCCTTGATTCATTGGCGGGGGAACAGAAGCATAGTGAGGACTTACGTATAGCTCATCCTGTGGAATGTTCTTGAACGCGCTGGCATCCGCCTTGAAGTTCTTGGACAGAACGCTCACAGGAGTACGTGCCATCATCTCGGACAGGAGGAAGGTCTCGTCCTCAGAGAAGGCACCGTCGTCGAAGACGAGCAGGAACTCGCACCCCTCGTCGAAGGCCTGGATGCTGTGAGGAACGCCCGAAGGGAAGAACCAGACATCACCGGCACAGACATCGTCGACATCAGTCGCTCCATCCTCGTTGACCGTGGAAACACGCACGCAGCCCTTTAGCATCAGCGACCACTCATTGGCCGTGTGCCAGTGGAGCTCACGGTAGGCGTTGGGGCCCAGCCTCATGTCCACGCCGGCCATGGCGGTGGCAGAGGGCAGGACGTCTTGATTCTGCTGGCGCCCAGCCGGCGCCGGGGTCGGAGCCGGCGCGGTTGTGCGACATGCCCAGGGGCCACATGGCCTGGGGAACGTCGCCGCTGTCGGTGCCGGGGATGGCGTAGACATCGGGGTTGATCTTCTCGTAGTAGTAGGTCCGCGGGCCGGGGTCGGTGGCGCCATAGCCTCCCCTCTCGGGCTGGGGGGCCTCGACACTGTTGAAGTCGAGGTATAGGCCCAGCTTCCTGTCTGCAGACTGGCCGTTCACGTACTCTGGGTTCTCAACGACAGCTGACTCGGAGTTGACATCCGGGAGGGGAGCGTTGCCGCCGAGGAGGTCCTCGTTGCCGTACAGGGAGCCGGAAGCGGCAGTGACGGTTTGGGATCGGGGGGTCCACGCCACCGACTGAGCCGGAGTTCTCGCCATAGTCTCCAATTCTGAATCGATGAGTTAGTAAGGGCCATACAAGGAAAGATTGTTGGACGCCAGTTCATCGCCAAGGGAAAACTCACTGAGGTGCCGGTATGGCGTGGGAGAAGGGCAGAGCCTGGAGGAGGCCCATAGTGAGGACATATCCGCGAGAGGGCATCTTGAATACAGAAAGATGGATGTGTAGAATATGTGATCGACGGTGTTGCTAAACTGGATGATTGGAAAGGCACAAAAGAGTGTGGGTCGATGAGTGAGGAAGGGATGATGGGAAACAGATGATAGAATGGATGGAGATGCTGCCCTCTTATACACTTGTACCGCATCACACTCTAGACTCAGTGAAACATCGAGTCGCTATGACAGTCATGATGCATGTGTTGCCATCGAGTTTTCCCACAGCCCCCTGTGGTGGCTACCTGAACTGCGTACCTGGTTGCACTCCTCACCAAGCGTGGTGGTGTGGACAGACCGAAGAGGTCACCGCTGGGAATAGAGTAGCATTGGTGTCATGTACATGTATTGGACGAAAAGTTAGCAATGAGAGCAATGGTTGTTCAGTCTAGGTACCGCCAATGGGATCTTGCGGGAGAAAGTGTGAAGGCGAGGTGTGATCCCACGGTGGTTGAGCACTGTGGATGCCGGCACACTAGTACCGTAGCTGCGTAGCTGCCGCGTGGTGTTGGAGAAAACCATACTCGCTGCTAACTCGGCGTTCGATCGAGCGCGAATGACGGTGAGATAGATTTGACGCAAGCACTACTACACACCTTACACATGATTATGATGGTGCATAGCGGGTGCTGCGTAACGATCGACGTGCTTTAGCACGAGCGCGTGCCCATGCGAGCCATTGGGAGTACGGAAGAAGACTTTGCCGCCGCATGGATTGGAGCTGTCTGCATACACCTGCTGGCTCGGTTTCCGCTGCCCGAGTGCGAAGAAACAGGTCTAAAATAGCCCGTGTGTCCCGATCGGAAATTATCTGGGCTTAACAAGCTTTGGCCCCTCATGCAAGATCCCGTCGCCCTGCCTTCATCCCATGGGCGGTCATGGCACAGATGAGAAGCTTGACAGAAGTCTGCCCGTCTTTTCCGGTTACTCTGGGAATTTGGCAAAGTTTTTCATGAGGGACCCAATGTGCAGTTCTGCAGTACCTACAAGTAGAGGCCGCTTGCTTCATCGGTGAGCTGTTCCCTGTTTACTCAGCGTCAGGGCCGGATGCACGGCATAGGTGTGCGATGGCTTGCTTGTTCGGACATCCGGGCGAGCCCCGGCATTCACACTGCCACAGCAGAGACAAGGGCAGCGGCCGGGTGAAACCGAGTTGGGGTAGTATCACACTCCACATGGCTCGCCTGTCGGAGTTTCCGTCGACAGACATGCGGAAGCAGTTAGGCACCTCCATCCCTCTTGGCGATTATCCATGTCGATATACTGCAAGACATGCACATACTCAACGTGTATAGTAGGGCAAACCATATTTTCGTCGATAAAAAACGGTGCCATAAGCTCGACTGCCAACTGCGGAAGGGGAAAGGGAAAAGTGCAAAAAGGAAATAGGGAGTGGTGGCCGAGGAGAAACCTGCTGGCGTGGAGAGCGGAGTTGCGATCCGCTATACCGCGGGCCACAAGATGGGCCTATTTTAGCTGGAAGCAATATGCGCGCATCTCAGTAATCTCAAAGTCTTGCGGGGTAGTTGCAGATAGAGAGGATGTTCATCCAGCCCTGAGGGGAGGGCAGCATGCTCGGTGAGGATGGCCCGTGTCACGAGGCCACAGCGTGGGTGTCGGCGATGGCGATGGCGATGGCGATGGCGATGGCGATGGCGGCGACGATGCGAATAACGCGCGCCTGTCGTCGCTTGGCAATGAACAACAATGCTGTGACGGCACCTTGAGCACCTCACTCGTCGAGCATTACCGCGCCGTCACAGCCAAGACGGGGCCTTTCCAAAACGGACACCGGGTCATGCCAGACACCTTGCTGGCGACGGGATGAAGGGGTTGGGATGAGCGGCCCTGCAGGCCACAGGAGAAGGCGCGAGAAAACGGTAGATGCATGGAAGGGGTGGCATCGCTGGGTGGCATCGAGCTGTCAGCTCTGGCTCAACTGCCGAAGAGCTGAATCATCCCGGGCTATATCATCTCATCTCTTGGGGCCCGCAATGTCGAATTCCAGGATGGCTTCAGTCAGGACGGCCGTAGGCGAACAGGGGTTCCGCAGATAGGCACGGCTTCGTTCGTGGCCGTCTGGGCGTGCGATGATTTTCTATGTCATGCACCGCGAACAGACGAGACGAGACGAGACTAGACAGGCCTGTGAGCTGCGTTGGGCAGGCTATGGCTGGGCAGGCCCGTCGTCAGGCGGAGCATCGAGGACGACGGTTGAGATGAAAGTCCATCAAGATGATCAAGATTCGCTAGGCTTACAAGGTTGGAGGTCAACGGTGCCAAGATCGACTCTGGAGCCGTTCTCCACTGACCCATCGATGTGCCGCCTTGGCGCTGAAAGCTTGGCTATTCCTCCCTGTCCCCCGTCGCACTCCCCTGTAGATCAGCAACGGGAGGTGGGAGTGTGGGTGGGAGAATGTGGGGCATCACACGCTGAAATTTTGCGATTGCTCGCTATCACGCAGCACAGCCTTGGTGGAGAGGCTGAGCGATCGACTTTGGTTAATGACGGATTGACTGACCGAGACTGCAACCGCAACAAGCATCTCAGAAACAAGTTTACAGGTCTGCTCATCTCAGCTGAGCAGTGGCGCCGTCCAGTCATGACGCAGCAGACGTTCGACCAGAAAACATCCGAATTCTTGAATTGGTTCAGGGCACAACCCGGCACCACCTTCCACGATGACATCGAGGTTCGAGATCTGAGAGACAGAGGCGCAGGCCGTGGAATAGGTGAGTAAGCAAGCACACGCTGCGGCAGATCAACCCAGCTGAGCTGAACCGAGCTGAGACTTACACGCCCTGCCGTAGTCGCGAAAGCCGACATTTCCCCGGACACCATCCTCTTCACCATCCCCCGCCAGTCCATCATCTGCACCAACACCTCGTTACTGGCCACCAAGATCCCTGACCTGTTCAGCCCCCCTGAGGAACACGAATGGGCTGGCCATGACATGAACTCCGAGGCCGAGGATGGCGAGGACGACGATGTAACCGACACGTCCCAAGACTCGTGGACCTCGCTCATCCTCGTCCTCATTTACGAGTACCTCCAGGGCGCCAGCTCCTCCTGGAGGCCGTACCTGGATGTCCTGCCCACAATCGGCGACTTCAGCACGCCCATGTTCTGGGCCGCTGATGAGCTGGCCGAGCTGCAGGCCAGCCCCGTCGCGGGCAAGGTAGGCAAGGACGAGGCGGAGAAGATGGTGCGGACCAAGATCCTGCCCGTCGTCAGGGCCCACCCCGCCGTCTTCTTCCCCGAAGGCTCAGCAGAGTTGAGTGACGAGGAGCTCGTCCAGCTCGCCTTCCGCATGGGCAGCGTGATCATGGCGTACGCGTTTGACCTCGAGAAGGAAGACGACGAAGAGAAGGACGACGAGGACGCCGAGGACGCCGAGGAAGAAGACGAGTGGGTCGAGGACCGCGAGGGCAAGACAATGCTCGGCATGGTTCCCATGGCTGACATCCTCAACGCGGACGCGACCTTCAACGCGCACGTCGAGCACGGCGAGCACGCCCTCACCGCGACCTCGCTGCGGCCCATCAAGGCGGGCGAGGAGATCCTCAACTACTACGGGCCCCTGAGCAACGGCGAGCTGCTCCGGCGGTACGGCTACACCACGCGCGCGCACAGGCGGTGGAACCTCGTCGACCTCGCGTGGGAGCCCACCGTGCTCGCCGCGCTGAGGGCCGAGCTTCCGCTGCCGGCGAAGGAGTGGGAAAAGGTCCTGGGGTCGCTGGACGAGGATGAGCTGGAGGAGGCGTCCGTGATCGAGCGCGGGGCCGAGGACCCGGACTCTGAGGGCAGAGTTAGCGAGGTCGAGAAGGCGGCCGGCGCGCCCGAGGAGCTGGTGGAGCAGCTCAAGGTCGTGATGAAAGCCGTCAAGAAGGTCAAGCCCGACGCCGTGCCTGACAAGGCCGCCCGGGATAGGCTCATCTACTCCGCCATCGCCAGGGCGCTGGACGAGCGGACCAGGCAGTACGGCACGACGTTGGAGCAGGATATCAAGCAGTACGAGGAGGGTACTGATGGCGCAGACCAGAAGCTGAGACGACAGCGTATGGCCTTGGACGTCAGGATAGGAGAGAAGGTCCTGCTGAGGCAGGCGGCCGAGTCTGTGAAGGCGAAGCTCGCCGAATTGGCCAAGGCCGAGAGTGATGGCGAAAAGCCCAGCGCCAAGCGGCGGAGGGTGTGAGGTCTTACTGATTAAATCTCACTGCATCTAAAGATACCCACACACAACATAAAGGCAATAAATGTATGGACGGAGGGATATTCATTCCCTGCAGGTCTACTTAAGGCCCTACTGGTCCTTAAAAACTGTGTTTTCGAATATGCCAATACCCAATGATCCCATACGCAACGCCGCACCAGTTTAAAACCATTTATGCCTTGGGGTATCCACCAGTTTCCTGAGAGTCCAAGTCCAAGCTTGCTTGCTCTTCACGTGTTCCCTCTGCCAAAAAGAAGACAATGCTAAGAAGTAAGACCCCATTCAAGCCGTTTTGGGCTTCTTCCGCACCAGACCGCCACCAAGGGTATTCACAGCCGGTGTTTCACTCGTCGCACTCGCGGCGTCCCCACCTGTCGCTTCCACAGCGCTTGCAGCTGGGCCTGAATCTTCGGAGCCGGACTCCTTGCGCTTCTTTCGGGGGACGAGCAGGTTAACAGAGGAGGCAGCAGCTTCCTCGCTCGATGCTGGCGGCGGGGTCGTATCCTTTTTTGGCTTCTTCCTGGCCATGAGCATGGTGACCCCGCCCTGGGCCGAGGCAGAAGATGCAGAGGCGGACGCCGGACTAGGGCTACTCTTGTCGTCGCTCGCCGCGTCCGCTGAAGATGGTTGCCCCTTCTTGCGCACAAGGTTTGCCATGTTGTTGATCGCAGTAGATGCCGTGGCATTCGGCGCAGCGATGATAGGCCGCCGCCCGACAACCTCCATAGCCCACTTCTGACCGCCGCCGACCTCGTTGATCCATCTCTTAGTACTCGCACTGGCCAGCTCCAGGGTCTCGAAATCCAGCTTGGTCAGCAAGTCCACTGATCTCTTATAATCGGCTTCGGCAGCAATCCGGGTTCCTCGCCCCTCTGGAGGCCAGTAGTAGTATGAAGTCGAGACGGGTATGTCTGGCACGTAGTTGCGTGCATGCCTTTTGACGCGTGGGAGACGGGGAACTATTGGCCCTTTCAGAACAAGCTTTTTGGCCTTCGCGCTAGCTTTGCTCTTGGAAGGGCTTTGCTTTGTGGGTGTCTGCTGCGTTGAGCCCGGGGTCATTGCCGTTTTGAGAGGGCTCGTCTTCGGGGTCGAGCCCAAAGGCACGTCTCGCCTTCTTGGGGGAGTAGACGGCTGTGTTCCTTGTGACCCATCGAACGAAGTACTTGGCGTGACAAGAGAGTTGGTAGGCGACGAGGCCGCTATCGTGTTCTGCTCGGCCCAGCCATATGGTTCAAGCACAACCCAAATGAAGCCTGTCATGTGCCCGCTTGAGCACTCTTGCCGGAACGCCATCATCTCCCAGAACTGATCCATGGTTGTGGCGCTCCGCCAGAGTCCCTTCTCTTCATATTGCGCCGACTTGGAGGCTTCGAGGTCGAGCTCATCGCGAAAGCGCGACTTTGGATCGTCGGGGAACTTGGGCACTAGACACCTGGGTGGGACCCAGTCGTACTCTCTGGCGAAGTGCGAGATGCGTTCCAGGGGATGACCGAGGACCCAATTGGAAGATGCGGACGGTGTTCGGGGCAAGAACGCTCGCAATTCGTAGGCGTCGAGACCGGGAACAACCAAATACGCCCTGATATCCTCCCAGTTTCCTGTCTTGTTTGAAGGGCGGAAGATCTTGTCCTCGTGTGTGTTTTGTGTTTCCATCATGGAGTTGAGTACGCGACACCACCATCTGACCAGTCCTCGGTCGTCCAGGACGTGCTTGTCCTTGTTTTCCACGCTGCCGGGAAACAGGTATTGGTTCTGCGCCCTCGCGAAAAGGCTGACAATGGTCTGCACATTGTCGCGACGCCGCTGCTCGACAAGATACGATATGAACGCAGAGCTGATCTCGCGGATCGGGGAGGGAGTCCCCTTGGGCAGGTTGAGGAGGCTCAGGTAGCCAGTCGAGTCGGCCTTGGACACGAAGAATGTGCTCGCCCAGGCCGTGGTGAAGATGTAGATCTCGAGGCCGAGGACCAAAACCTGCCTGCCTGTTGGACTGGAATCATGGGGGGCTGCGGGAGTCAAGGGCGACGAGGGCGTGCTCGACGGGGCCAATTTCGCGGTCGCATCTACGCTGACGGCGAGGAAGTGGGATTCGCGGTAGGTTCGGTCGGGACGCGCATCAGGAGGAGCTGAGTACAGAGCATCAGTGCGAGTGGGCGGCGTGGAGAGGTGGTTGATGGTGAACTTGTGGCCCTTGGGGAGCACCTTGGCAAGCCTGCTCAGCAAGGCGGCACTGCACTGCTGCTTCGAGCCGGGCGCACTTGGAGACGCTGCTGAGAACATGTTGCTTAGAGGGAAATGTTGTATTGCGAAGTGCTATCGAGGCATTATTGCAGAAAAGTCCATGCTATGGAACGCGCAGATCCCCCAGTCAGTCCGTCAAGCCGGCCAGCCAACCAAGCAGTTGGGTCGGCCCGTCCAATGCGAAGTCCTTGCTGACGACGCGATCAAATTGCGCCTCCCTGGCCCTCACGTCGCGGCGCGGGCGCGATTGGGACTGTAAGGAGTAGCTTAACCGAGTCGCGCTGAACCAAGCTCTGGTGGGTCGCATGTGCCTGGAGCAGCCAGTGAGGCCCGTGCACAGTTCTGACCCCTGCCGATGGGTCGTCGCTCAGCTTAGCCTGCCGCGAAGTCTGAAAAAGTTACAGTCGCGAGAGCTGGCGCAGTCGAGCCGTCAGTGACAGGAATCGCAGTCCACCAGCCCAGTCCGACCAGGAGGGAACGCGCCAGCCTCTCTCCTCCGCGAACTCCAATAACCATGGCGCTCAACACTTCTCGCACCGCCTGGTCGACATCCAGACAAGCTCTGCGCCCCTTCATACCCGCAGCTGCCCGGCCAGCATGCCGAGCGAACCACCAAATAGCACGGCACCCGACCGCCCTGGGAGAGAAGAATGACCTCTTGAACGAGCCCATATCAGAGGCGGACATAGGAGGCACGGCCAAGGTGGTCGTACACGCCAGAGAGGCTCAAGGGAATCCATGGCTTCTCGCTCAACGTTCCCAAGGTCCCGCACCGGTCGATATGGCACGTCAACGAGGACCCCGCCAAGCTAGACGACTTTCTACGAGCGATTTCTTGGGCGCAACGGCTCGAAGCTGCTGCCGGAAGAGATCAAGTGGTTGGCAGTTACACACAAGAGTTTCGATTTCGGCCGGAGAGGATTCAACACGAGATTGGCCTACTACGGTACGTGACATGTCTCTGCCTCGAGAGGCATGGGGAGGCCTGATGGACGCAGCTAATGGGAGTACTCGCTCCAGGTCGGCAGATAATCGTCCTTGAGGCCATGAACGAGATCATGACCTCCCCCCGGGTAGCAGATGAATACCTCGGCGACCCATGGAAACGGAAACACTACGAATCTCCCGCCCTTCAGAACGTCGACAAGCTGAGCATGACTCGGCCACAAGACATGGTTTCAGTATCAGGCCTGGCCTCTGTTGGATTGAACAACCGGCTCAACGAAGTAATGCGTTGGAAGCCAAGGAACGTAAGTTGGCCCCTATGTAGCCACGCACCACGCTCCTCCAGACAACCAGCTGACGTGCTTAACCGCAGCCCGACAATCTGAAAGGGTCAGGTATAGAAACGGTCCTCGCCACATCCATCTTTGCTATCATTGGTGCTGTGTCTCTGCAGCACGGAGCGGAAGCTGCGAGCAAACTTGCTCGTGAGAAAGTGATCAGGCGGATAAAGCAATGAGCGAGCCTTTGGCGGTGTACCATATATACTGTACTATTCATCAAGGGATAATGTGCAGACCCCAGCAATTTGGGAAACAATATCACAATGAAAAAAATATTGAGAAAGGCCCATGCACGACTCTAGGGCCATGCCTCAGGAATATCACGCTCTACGCTACTTACCGAGAATCGCAGCTATCTCCAGGTTAAAAAGGTAGCCGAGGATGAGTGTCTAGACAGCTCCGGTCGTATGAAATTGACTCACTTACACCTATATCGTTCTTTGCTTTGGGGTCGGTAACGCTAGCCTATCATCCCAAGGACTGAAGAGCTTCAGAAGCGCTGAGGTTTCCCCTGTCGTTTCTCGACATTGAGTTTTCTGTTGGATTGGAAGCGTGCTTACCCGCAAAATGTAAAGTAAGTCTGCATTTATTAGAAGGACCACTTGTCTGCAAGTGATTGGTGTGGAAGCGTCAAGATGAAGTCATCGCCGATCGATGCCTCGCCCCCGTAATTCGTTCATCAACCTATAATTATGAATACGGATATTCGCACCTGCAAAAACAGAGGGTACACCGGTACATCAACTTATACCATAGCCATAGCTAATTAGAGCACATTACCTAGATCTAATTTGTTTACCTACACCTAATACTTATACACCTAAATTGAATTAGGTATATTAATTGGGTGTATAAGTTGGGTATATAAGTAAGTTGGGTGTATGAGTTGTTGGGTGTATGGGTGTTGGATGTTAGGCGTGGGTATGAGTAAGAGTGTGGGTGTGGGTGAGGTTGTGATGTACCGGTGTACACACTCCGATTTTGCAGGTGCGAATCTCCGTATTCATAATTATACTGTAAACCGAATCTTAAACCAAACACTCCTCCACCGCCGGTGACTTTCATACACAATCATCGAGGGAAATTAGCTTTCACAAACTTCAGTTTAAATCTATCCGAATTCATCTTGCGCATTCGACACCAGCATATCCGTGAACGCCACTAATCCGACCAACCTTGGAAGTTCGGCATCATGGCAGAAGGCACTCTACCCAAGGACGAGCTCAACACTCGCGCAGTTGAGGGGGCTCCTCTGTCCCAGGAAGAGGTGTCAGCTATAGAATCGGAGGAAACAAGCAGGACAGGCTTTGGCCCAGTCAAGGGCGGACCGGCGGCGACCGCCCAGCGTATCCACGACAAGTAGCAAACCTTCTTCCAAAAGGCTGGCGACCTGGCTCGCAAGCCCGTCGGTGAGATTACGATGGAGGATGCGGCGGAGGTGCAGAAGGCAGAGGTTCGTGCTCTTGTTTCCCCAGGACGCGAGACAAAGAGCAAGTTACGGAAGTTGACCTTTCTTTTAACATAGGCTCGGGTGTTAGGGGGGCCGCCTGGAACTGGCACCACATCATCTGTTGTCCAGTCTATTGCTGACAAGAATTCTCATGCGACGCATCAATGAGACAGACCAAACGGAGTGCATATATCGGACAGTATTGGTTTCATGTTTCGAAATGTTGGGCTAGTCACTGTATCTCGGGATGTCACCTATGTTGGAAGGTGCGAGGGTCGTATGCTTATATGTTAATGCTAGCTTATAAATAGGCTCATTCTGAGCGTTTGATAGCGGGAGACTTCTCTCCTTAACACATAACAATCAGCTATTGTTTGCTTCATTGCTTCATCAACCTATAGCACTAATTTTCGAGTGTATTTCAACAAGTTCTTTGTTGCATTATGTGCCTCATCGTATTGAGATATGACTACTGATCTTGTTGTGATTTAAGCGGCGAATCATCCATCGACGTGAACAGGTCCTCACTGGTGAAGCTGGAATTTCGGAGTCTCATAACCAATGCACCACACCAGGGCAGTTCCAACCAGGCTGGTCTCCTACTGGTTAATATTCAGCCACCCAAACCACCATTTCGAGCGGTCACATCTCTCAAAGCCAGGTGTCCGAATTAAGTGTGAAATCTAACAGAATAGTGCTTCTGTGGGCTGACTGAGTCGTAATCATCTGCATGTGCTCGGTCTTACTGTGCTTTGCAGCAGCCGACTCATTCTGCGCAGCTCCAAGTTCACGCAGAAAAGTCGTAGAGCATCCTTTACGGTCTTGCACTAGCCCTTCATTGAAGCACCTAGAAACGATTCACCGGCTCCAGTGTACTTGAATAAGTGATTGAGTGACAAGTGTGCTGTTCGTGCGCAGGGAACGGCGCGCCGTGCCTTCTCCCCTTTGACAGATTCGATACAAATCATACCTGGCCCACTGGCGGAGGAAAATCAAAGAGGCTGAATGGCATCCTAAGAGTGCAGCCTGACTCAGCGCAGTGAATCCCAGACTCGCGGTCAAATCTGTTTTATAGCAAGACCAGGACGGCGTTCATTGTGATTGTTGAACCGACCCATCTGACTCAGGGTGATGAATTTGAGAGTCGTGTCCAAGTGAGCCGTTGAGTGACGGGATTATGAATACGCCACGAACTCTAAGCTCGAACTCAATCGATTCAGGAGAACAGGCGAACCGATAGATATGCTTTTCGAAAGCTTATATGGCCCTGGACAAACTGACTATTGTCCAGAAGATATCACGGTCATTTCTGCGCAATATGTATCTACTAGTAATGATGAATCGAATAATCTGGGTCGATGGTAGTACCTCAGCACAGATTGAGTTGTCCAGAACAAGATGGATTTCGAAAGAGGTCCAAACTGCAAGACTGAACTTTGATCGATTCAGGAGAATTGTCGTCCCGATTGACGGGGTTTGCGGGAGACTCCAGAGCCCGTAGAGCCGCAATACGATCTTCCTCTCCGCCCCCATGTCACGGCCAACCCGGAAAGGAGGAGCTGTTACCAACAGGGTAGTCCCTAGAGCAATACCTGTGATCTCTACCAATCACACCGCACCCTCTGTCTGTAATCTTAGTGCCAGGAAATTTCTCCTTTCTCGGCACCGCAATATGCATGAACAGGTTCTGAGCACAACCAAAGCAATCTCTGAGTGGGTCGTACCAGAACTCTCTTGACAACAATGAAGTTTATTCCACGACGAGGATCTCTCGGGGCAGGATTAGCAATAGCCTGCGAGTCACTTAGCTGCGTGGGAGGAAGAAATAATATATCTGCGCTACTGTGCGGCGGTCAACACCAGGATATATAAGTAGACAGCACGCCAAGCCGAAGCCTACAGTTATTTAGCCAGGTTCATCTCGTCTGTTTGATTCGTCTCAAGACTATTGACTCCCACGCCAAGCCTGGGGTTATAGTTCCGATTATGTTCATTCTTCGCCTCGTTCCAACTTGGTTCCACCTGCTCTGGCTGGTTTTGGCCATAGGTGCACAAGGAGCAAGCCACGAGGAGCGCCGGAGTGTCGCCCTTGCCGCCCAAGCTTTTGAAGTTCTCCAGGACTATGTCGAGACTCAATCAACACCAGCCAGTAACTGTACCTTTGAAACTGCAGCCAGGAGACAAGAATGGTGAGTGAACCACGCCAGTAACTCACGGCACCCGAGGCTCCTTTTGGAAACAGCGATAGCTTACCTGCCACCCTACTACAGGACAAGACTGTCGCCAGAGCAGCGCATGGCCTACATCAACGCCACACTCTGCCTCATGTCCAAGCCCGCCCTCACCGACCCACGCCTCGCCGCGGGCGCAAAGTCGCGGTACGACGACTTCGTCGCCATCCACATCAACCAGACGCAGACGATCCACAATACGGCAAACTTCCTGACGTGGCACCGCCTCTTCGCGTGGAACTACGAGCAGGCCCTGATCAGCGAGTGCGGCTACGACGGCGCCCTTCCCTACTGGGACTGGGCCGCCACGGCCGACGACCCGCTGCACGCCGAGATCTTCGACGGCAGCGACTGGAGCATGAGCGGCAACGGGGTTTACGCGCCCCACGGCTGCACCGCCGGCCGCCCGGGGAACTGCATCCCGCCCGGGGACGGCGGCGGCTGCGTGGATAAGGGCCCTTTCCGCGACATGACGGTCAACCTCGGGCCCATCCAGCCGCTGCTGACTGTCGAGGGGATTGTCGCCATGCCTGCGAATGATTCGCTGAAGTGGAACCCGAGGTGCCTGCGAAGGGACATCACGAACTGGACCAGCACGCGGTGGACGTCGGAGAAGAATCTCACAGATCTTTTGACGCTTCATGATGATATCTCAAGTTTCCAGTACACCATGCAGGGCAATTACTCTGCGGGGGACTATGGTGTGCATGGTGGTGCGCACTGTGAGTTCTCCCATGAATGCAAATTTCGCAAGCCTCTGCTAATCTGGTTGGTGTCACAGTCATCACAAGTGGTGACCCAGGCGGTGATCTTTTCAACAGCCCGTAAGTAGCACTCCATTTCCAAGGGACGGAGGTCTCGAGAATGCTCGGAAACCAATTGCTGACCCATAACGCGCAGGGGCGACCCAATCTTCTTCCTTAACCATGCTATGATCGACCGGGTTTTCTGGATCTGGCAGAACCTTCACCCTGAAGAGCGGACAGAGGTTGTCGGCGCAACCATCACCCGAGGAAACAACCCGCCGAGTCGGAATGGGTCGCTGACGGATGAGCTCTACATGGGCGTACTGACCTCGTCACCACCTGTCACGATCGGCCAGGCGGGAAGTACCCTGGGCATCACTGGCGCTCCGTTCTGCTACATTTACACTTAATCTTCTGCGGTCGATCTTACAGCAGACTTTTCGTTAAATTAATGGGAAACCGGAGCACTTTTCTGGAAATGTAGCCAGCTTTCTCCTGCAACAGAGTGGTGTCTCGGGATAGAACTAATAGATAGATTCCATAAATAAAATAGAAAGCGCCCAGAACTGGACTGTCAGCGGCGACTTAAGTGTCTCTTCTGTCAGCTACAAGTAGCACACTGCTTCAAACTTTGATTTTGATTAAATGTGCTGCCGACTCTTCCTTTCGAAACTGCATGAAAGTACAAAAAGAGATCGATCTAATGGCATTTCAACAGGCATCTCTACCTCAGTTGCCTGGTAGGAAGGATGGCCCTTGTATGATGAGACTCAGCGGACCCATACAAATACCCAAGGCTGCCGTCCCCACCACGTTCCCGCCTCGATGTTCATGCACCTATCTGTAGCTTCCATCCACCAGAAACGGGCACAACCTATCACCACGCAAGATACCAGCCGTTTCCCAAGATGACACCAGAGCCGACGAGACCAAACCCCAGCGTTCGACGGTTCGGTGGACGAGGCCCGCAAGTTGATAGTCGACATCCTCGACTCTAAACTCGCCTCATCGTCAATTTCGAGATTGGCCCCCTCAAGATTCTAGCCCTTGCCGTCCCCGTAATCAAAGCTGTTGTGGTTATCCTTGACCCTCATATGCACTCCTCCATAAATGATACACCACAAGTGACATCCCAGAAACGATATCTCATAAAGAATGACCCATAAATCATATCCCACAGAAGGATTTCCCATACACGATGTCCATTGTTCAATGTCCCATGAATGACTCCTCATGAATGGTCATTTCATAAGAAACTCTTCTTTACGGAGTTGGTCCCCAGGAAGTCATTCACTACGGACTCATTTTGTAGAAGAGATACGAGAAGCCGCTGATTACCAAAGTCAAAGAACAAGCCACCTCCACCAAAATCAGGGCTAGGCAGTTTTACGGACCCCATATGCATACACGCAGTGTATCGAACATGCTGCAGTGCTGCCAAACTCCCTAGACAGTACGTCTCTCAAAGCATGCACCGTTGTTCTTAATCGTGATCATCCTAGAGCAAGGAATCTCGAGCCACACACACCAGCAGGCTACGTACCTCTGGACAAGTTGCCCAGCAACCAGACAGGACATCTAGGAGACCGCGATTGAAATACCAACACCCAAATAATTGCGGGGCTACCAAGCCTGGAAGCTGCCACCATTTCAAGAAGATCCAACCATTTGACCTTCACAGAGTGAACCTCACGAAAGCCCCAGCCCGTGTGGTTTGAACTGGGCAGCCTTCCAGCCCCTTCGACCAGAGTCTCAGGTTATCAATCTTTGCCTACTGATAGCCATCTCACTTGGTCCACTTTCCTTCTTCCATCACCCAGTCAAGGTCAACGCCCTTTTAGCACTGACACGCAACGCGCAACGCACAACGCGTATCTCACATCCCACAACAATACCACAAATCTTGTTGGGTTCCACATTCACCACCCAAATCTGCTCCATTTGCGACCTGACGGCGCACATGAAGCAATCATGGACCTTAGGCCTCCAAGCCTTCAAGGTCGCCTCGCAGCATTCAGTCGAAATGTTGAGGTAAGTCAAAGTCTCAACACGACACCCTGCTCTGCCCACGTGCCCCTCTGCTAACCCAAGCGAAAAGCATCGCTTTCCTGGTGCACCATGGAGGGTTGGGGAAATCAGATTCCACGTCCTGAACCCGATCGCGCGCGGCGTGGACCCTGATGACTGCTTGGCTTTCGTCCAAGAACACCTACGCAAAGCGAAGGAGCTCGTTGAAGACTTCGAGGACATTGCGAACACGTTTGGACGACGCGCAAGGGAGCGTCAGCTGCAGTTGACTTCGAACCGAAACCAGCAGCTGACTTTAAACCAAAGCCAGCAGCTCGCTTTTCGTCCAAGCCCTACTTCCTTTGCACCCCAGTCTCTCAGCCAGGCCAGTGCAGCCAGTTTCTATGCAGCTAATAACAATGCAGTCAATGTCAATACGTACGCTCCAGCGAGTGCCTCACGTCCGCCGGCCACAATCTTCAACGCTCAGCCACAAAATGTCAATACGTACATTCCAGCGAGTGCCTCATTTCCAACGGTCCCAGCTTTCAACGCTCAGCCACAATCGCCCTCAAACGAAGTCAATCATTCGCATGACACGCAGCACTACCAAGATGACGGCCGTCGAGACGATGTGCAGAACCTTCTTGTTCTGTCAGAGGTGGACATTCCACCAAGCCAGAGAAAGCAGACCCCCAAGCAGATGTCCTGTGACCTGACGGAGCACCAGCGGATCGGCCTTACTTGGCTCCTTCAGCAGGAGAGAGACCCAAAGAAGAAAGGAGGCCTTCTTGCAGGTTTGTCACACACCTCGTCCCAGCTCTCTTGACTTCACTAAACGCTGGCTTCCAGATACAATGGGCCTGGGAAAGACTGTGCAAGCGATGGCACTAATCTTGGCTCATCCATCCACTGATCCAAAGCACAAGACCACCCTCATCGTGGCTCCATTGGCACTTCTCAGACAATGGGAGCAAGAGATTTTGACGAAAGTCAAGCCACGTTACAAGCTCAATACCCTCGTCTTTCACGGTGAAGTCGCCAAGTATATGTCAGTCTCGGAGCTTCTCAAGCACGACGTCGTCCTATGCACCTATGGCAAACTGCAGACCGAGCACAAGAACAAGTACGAGCACAAGAAGCCTGAGAAGCTGAAGATCTTGGCCGACAAGGCCATATTCTACCGCGTCATCTTGGATGAAGCACACAACATCAGGAACCAGACCACCTACTGCTCCAAGGCAGCAGCAGAGATCCAGTCAAAATACAGACTTTGCATGACTGGCACCCCGTTCATGAATCGGGCCGAGGAGATCTTCCCTCTCATTCGGTTCCTGAACATCCCACCATACAACAAATGGGATCGTTTCAGCGAGGACATTGTCAGGCCCCTGAGGAAATGGGATGGAAACGAGAAGGAGCACGGCATGATCAAGCTGCAGGCCCTCTTCAGGAGTTTCACACTCCGACGGACCAAAGACAGCCGGCTCAATGGGAAGCCCATCATCGAGCTGCCGCCGCGCACCGACAAACCATCGTTTGTCGAGTTCAACGACGAGCAACGAGCGTTCTACCAGGCGCTGGAAGTGCAGCAGCAGCTGAAGTTCAACAAGTACCTGAAAAACGGCGCGGTGATGAAGAACTACATCCACATCCTCATTCTACTGCTGCGACTGCGCCAGGCGTGTGACCACCCGTTCCTCCTTAAGAACCTTGGCATCCCAGATGGAACCAAGCTGGATGAGAAACAGATGATCAAGCTAGCCTGCCAGCTCCCCAGCGATGTGGTGCAGAAGCTCAAGCGTCAGGAGAGTTTCGAGTGCCCTCTCTGCAGCGATGCGACAGACAACCCTGTCATCGTGTACCCCTGTGGCCACCACGTCTGCTCTAGCTGCTTCACTGGAAGCGTAAAAGTCGTAGAGACTGAAGACTTCAGCAATGGTGGGGCGGACGATGAAACCATCTCCAGGAAGAAATCTGTCGTCTCCTGTCCTGGTGAGGACTGCCAGCATGCCATCACCCCGACCAACATCGTGTGCTACAACTTTCTCGCTGACGTGCCTGACTCTGGATCGGAGTCTGACGATGATAACATCAACAAGCATTCATTTAAAACTCCCAGGAGGGATGATGAAGACGCCGACCGCCATGGCAATCTTCGAGGATTCGTCGTGAATGACGAGGCCGCCTACGATGAAGACAGCTCGGATGACGAGGAATCTGACGACGACAGTCAAGATGGCGAAGGCGATGCTGAGTCCCAGGAAGCTGATGGCGACGGACGCATGACCCACATTGGCGGGTTTGGTCCTTCTCAGACTGATGGTGCCTACGATGACCTCAACGCCAACCGCCGACTTCAAACACCCAAGCGGAAGCCTTCAGCCAGCGCGCTGGGTGGTCACAGCGGGAAGAAGTCTCGGGCATCTGCAGGGTCGCCGAGTGGAAAAAACAAGGGCAAAGGCCAGAAGAAGAAGACGAAGATGATTACAATGGCTGATCAGAGGCAGGCTGCCCAGCGCAGCGCGATCGCCATGTCCCGCTACAAGGCGCGCCTGCGCGAGGAGTGGATCTCCAGCGCCAAGATCGACGCGATCATGGACATCCTGGAGCAGATCCGCCCAAAGAAGGAGAAGACCCTGGTCTTCAGCCTCTGGACCTCGTTCCTCGACCTGGTCGAGATCCCCGTCGAGAGGGCCAGGATCAAGTTCACGCGGTATGACGGGTCGATGACCCCCGGCGCGCGCGAGGCGGCGGTTAAGTCGTTCATGGAGGACCCGAGCGTCCGCGTCATGTTGGTCTCGCTGACTGCGGGCAACGCGGGCCTGAACCTCACGGCTGCGAGCCAGGTCATTGTTACGGAGCCGTTCTGGAACCCGTACGTCGAGGAGCAGGCCATCGACCGGGCGCACCGGTTCGGCCAGGAGAAGCCGGTCACCGTGCACCGGCTGCTGATTGAGGGCACCGTCGAGGACCGCATTGTGCAGCTGCAGGAGAAGAAGAAGATGCTTGTCGACGCGGCTCTGAGTGAGAGGGGTGCTGCTAACATCTCCAGGCTCAATGTCGCGGAGTTGCGGAACTTGTTTGGTCTGAGTGGAGAGTTCGGGGGCGAGTATCCACCCGCTTGATGGATCATCTTGCCTTTTGACAATACAAAAGTCTTTTGATTGCTTCTTTGGGGGCTGCAGTGAGCACCTCGGAGCTCGGTTTTTTGGAACGGTGACGGTTGGGACGGGTAGTCTTGGTATCTGGAGTTTGTGTGCCGCCAGCCAGACTGCACGAATGGAAGATCCTTACGGAAAGGACTTTTATTGAACCCATGGAAATTAGCTATCCACTGTCCCCTCAACATCAGATCGACCCAGATAGACCATGAAACTAACAAAACACAATTTTGACATGCTTGTGGCTCACAAAGCTTTCCTACGAATGCCGCGTACTTGGATGTAGGCACAACAGAGGACTTGATCCAAGAGAACGGATATTCGCACAGAAAGAAACGGATGTGCACACATACATTACACACCTAGTACATTTATACCCAGAACACCCACACCTAACATACCCATAGCCACCACACGTACACCCAATTCACATACCTAACCCCACTTAAGATTGATATAAATTGGGCATAGGTGTGTAAATTAGGTGTAGGTTTGGGAATCTGGTGTGGGTGTTATCCTCTGATTAGCTGTGGGAACATTATTCAAGGGATATCTGTGTACTATCCGTTTTCTTCTGTGCGAATATCCGTTCTCATGATACGATAGTGGATCCAATTCGGTCTGGAGGCAGCGCCCGCTGGCTGGGCGGCGCAAGGGCTCGTTGCACCCAAGGAGTATTCGCCGAACTAACTTGAGGCTACGTTCAATCATTTTATAGGACCCAGTCGGATATTGGGGATTGCTAAGCATCCGTTGCTCGTGTGCTGCCAGTCCGGACCCTCAAGTCGAAGGGGTCAACTTGAGGCATTGTGGGACTTCGTTCCCTAACTCCCCGGCGCGGCTGCTTTAGTCTATCTCCAAGGCTCAGTACTCAAAACATACAAGTCCTGATAGCCTGCTGCTGTTTCGGGATGCAAAGCAGTTAAGTTATTCAAATCTTATTCTTATCTTCCGAATTCTTGTAACCATCGTTCAAAGTAAATCATGACTTCCAAAGTTTCTCAAGATGGCTACCACTGGATCGCCAAGGCCATCGACTCACTCGACCCGGAAACCGACTACGAACTCATCTGGCGCCTCACCTCGAGCTACCACCTCTCGGACTACCTCTACACCCTCGCCTTCAGCGCGATCCTGATGCACCGCCTGCGGCTGCGGCTGGGCCTCCCCGGGTTCAGCGACAAGCAGAAGGTCGCGGCGCACCACTTCTGGCGCGACATGGCGCCGCTGTTCACGGTCGAGGGCAAGGGCGCGGTGGAGGACTACCGGGGCAGCTTCGACGGGTGCGTGGCGTTCTGCGAGGCGTACGAGGCCACGCCGCGCGAGTACGACGAGCGGGCGCGCTACATCGGCATCTCCACCTTCAACCTGTTTGCCTACCGGTATTTCCCCCCGGGCCTGCGGTGGCTGGGCTTCGAGTTCCCGCGGGCGCTGTCGCTGCCGACGACGCTGCGGGCGTTCCGTATGGAGCCGACCCACCCTGTGCTGGCCGCTATTATTGTGTTCGTGGTTAGGACGGTGTTCCTTGTGACGGAGGCATTGATGCCTGATCCAACGGTGGCATTCATCCAGTCGTTGGATTCTCTGCCGGAAGTCGAGGCTCGTAAGCGGAGGAAGGATATCAGGACGCTGGACAAGTCGTACTGCCAGTTCGCAAAAGCGCAATGAGGGTCGTTGGAGGACTATTTTTCGGACGTTCTGCTGCGCCGCCCGTTGGCATGCAAGTTGGCCGTGAGCGCCCAATGTAGGGACCCAACAGCCGCCAACGGTCGTATTGGGGCGGATCGATATCTGAAGTTGAACGGATAATTCCACCGCAATGTCCGCCGGAGGTATCAGTACTGATGGAGTTGGTTTGTTCCCAGCCGCCTCCGGTGCTGCATGGGTTCTCGGAAGATGTTCGACGATGTTGGTTTCCTTGCTTGTTGGATTTGGATCCGCTACTTGTCTGTATCGTAGAATGTTAATACACTAGTGAGTAGACCAATATGTGCATACCAACCGAGATCGCATCAGAAGTGGACACTTTTTCTGCAAGAACACCCACCCACTTGCATTTTTAGCCTTTAAGTACTTGCACAAGCTTCTTAGCGAAAGGAAAGCCGCACCAACTTTAGAACACATCTCGCAGCTTCCCAGCATACACCTTGCACATCATCACCATGTCGGGCCAAGTCACCTCTTCGGACCTCAGTCCTGTCATTACCACCGGTGGCTGTGGGTTCGTTGGCTCTCATTTAGCGGAAGGCTTACTCGCAGAGAACCCAACTGTCAAATCCATGTCATTGATCTGAACACTGCAAGGAATCAAGTCCCTGGCGTCCATTACCACACTTGCGATATCACATCCTCCGCGGACATAGAGTCCGTCTTCGTTGAGGTCAGGCCCCAGACTGTCCTCCACGTCGCATCTCCAGACCCGCTGGTCCTAAACCCAGCTCGATTCCGCAGCGTGAACGTCAACGGCACAAAGAATCTCCTAGGCGCGGCTAAAAAGACAAAATCCGTAAAGGCGTTTGTCTACACCTCAACGTCATCGGCTATCCACGATAACGTCAGCGAGCTGGTCGACGCCGACGAGTCGCTGCCAGTCCTTCGACACCCAGCCCAGAGGCGCGTGTACACTCTGACCAAGGTCGAGGCCGAAGACGAGATCCTTGCAGCCAACCGTCAGGATGGCGATTCCTCCATATTGACGGCATCCATTCGTCCCGCTACGGCTTTTGGAGCGCGCGATTTTGGCTTCCTAGGCAAAGTTATTGCCCAGGCCCGGGCCGGAAAAAGCAAATATGCAAATCGGGCCCGGCAAGAACTACTACGATGTCACGTATATCTCCAATCTCGTGGACGCCCATCTCCTCGCTGCCCATGCCCTTACCGACGCCTACGGCAATGTTGCTCCGTCTCCTGAGAGGCGGGTCGACGGCGAGGCTTGTATCATCACCAACGACGAGCCAGTTCTTTTCTGGGACTTTCAGCGGGCCATTGCTACATCCGTTGGCATGCCTGTTAAACAGGAGGACATCAAAGTCGTCCCTTACTGGGTTGCTATGCTGGTAGCCACAGTGAGCGAGTGGAGCACCTGGATCTTTTCCTTTGGCAGGAAGCAGGCCCCCATCACCAGGGAAGCCGTCCACCTGAGCACCATCACGCGGACCCTTGAGTGTGACAAGGCCAAGCGGATTCTGGGCTATAAGCCGAGGGTGGGTGTCTACGAGGGGCTGGAGGAATCTAGCAAGTGGTTTGCTGATGAAGCGAAGAGGGCTGAGCAGGCGAAGAAGACGGTCTGAGCACTGCAGAACTTCAAATGTTGGTTTGGCTCACATCTGTTCTCTTGAAGTGCCAGCTCTGACTTGAAGGGACGATTGTATCGTGCCGAAATAAACCATAATTTAAATCTAGAATTAGGGTCTGCTGGAAAATATATATTAGTAACTTTAGATCTTGGTCATGTAACCAAGTATTTCCTCTGTAATTTTGCAGACGAATATTAGGAGATCCTTGCTAACGCCTCAAAGTCTTTACTATGTGCAACTTCTTGCAGGGGGCTGCGGTGCACAGTAAGCAGTGTAGAGCTACGGCTTTTCCTCGTTGCTGGTTGCCAAATCAAATGCTTTCAATTGCCCTGCAGGAACGAGACATCCTAATTTCGAAATTTGGGTCCAAGATTGGATCTGCCGGCGACATGTCGGGTGTAAATGAGAGCTGCAGTGGCCGAAAAGCTGCTCCCCAACAGGGCAGGTTGTCGGTGATGGACCTGCAGGCGGCCACAGCGGTGCACCAATTAACCGCCCAGCCAGCCGGCCAGCCAAACCTCGGTGAGTTGTGGATTATCGGATGGGCCTGATGGGGACCGAGGGAGGGGGAGGGGGGCACAGGCCTAAGATGACAGATGACTGACTGCATGACCGGCCTTTCCCGGGAAGCACAGCGGTCATCGAGTGGGGGATTGGGAGCCGTTTCTCCAGTGCTGCTGACAGTGTAATCTGTACGTACCAGCCTCCAGGTAGGCTAGTCCAGGGCAGACCAGGACTGCGGTGCACAAAGATTACAGGACAGGCACCCTGGCAGCACGTTATCTCAAACTCAATTCGGACGCCATGTCTTGCTTTGTGGCACTCTGGCGCTGGCCCAACACCGTTGAGAGAGCGAGAAAGAAAGAAAAGTGCGAGAGCCGTCGGGAAAGTCCCTGAAGATGAGCCAGAGAGGACATCCCTGATGAGCGTCTTGGCGATAGGAGGCCCGGAGGAAAAGATTGGATGGCGGGCGGTTTGAAGCTACTGGGTAGGGCAGTCGAGCAGGCTAATCGTAGTCGAGCAGCCCGCGGATCCCAAGCAGAACAAGAAGCTCGACTGTGCCGTCCGAAATGATGACATCTTTGTGGAGCACAGATGGACTCCTTACATGTGTACGTTCGTGACCTTGTGTCTCCGTCCTTCCATGTGCGACAGAGGCCACGGGGCAAAGCAGAGCAAGCAGACACACTGATCCACACCCAACCGCCTGTCTGTCTGTCTGTCTGTCTGTCTGTCTGACTGCCTCTCGTCTCGGCCCGTCTGGCTGCCTGGGGAAGGATTCACGGATAAAATGGCGCTGTACCTGGTGGCGTGAGGCTTGTCCCAATCGATCCATCTCAGGGTACCCAGCATGGCTAGGCACCGCTCATGCAGCCACCCCATCTCCCACATGTCCATGTACGACCGACCGACCGACAAGGCAGGGCTAATACAGATGCTGACATTGCTGGGCCCATGTCCATGTCTGATGCCATTCATGTCCATGTCCATCCTACAGATGGCACACCTTTTTTTTTGCCCAGCACCACCGGCCGCAAAGCCAGGGAGGGAGGGGCTGCGGCCTGCAGATCCGTACTGTGCAGATCCTGCCCACCTGCCAGTCTTGTGCCCATCTTGAGGAATACTAGATGGCAAACCTGCATGCGCCTGCGCCGCCCTGCCCTGTGACTAGCTGTGTCGCTAACCATGTCGTTTGCTCCATGTCGCCTCTTGCGTTGCCTTGCGCCGCACCGCACCGTACCGCGCCTCTGCCCTCTTTTTGTTTCCTCTCCCCACCCTCCATCTGACAACCTTCGGTAACACAACAACCACAACACCTGCTTCCTGAGATTGGTGTCTCCCCTGCGTTCCTACGTCTCTGCGTCTCTCAGCTGCTGATGAGACGAACATGCTGCTGCTCACGAGACTTTGACTGACGCAGCCGACAAGGGCCCAACCACCACGCCGTAATCCCTCAAGCAGCACCCCACCGACCCGCGACCTCTGAACAAGCTCGTCACCAAGCTTTCGAGCTGTCCCGTTCCGTTGGGAACGTGTCCGTCGCAATGGCCACTGCCCTGATGTCATACGCAAACAAGCGATCCAGGCTAGTAGCCGCCCTCGCCTTCGCCATCTTTGTGCTCTTCTTCCTTTTCAGAATAGGAGCGGGGTCAGATGCAGGCTTCTATGGCTCAAAGAAACCGGTAGTCGAGGAGCCACCGCCGCCACCCCCCTACAGCGGCCCGCGAGTCGAGCTGTTTGGCCTGAAGGATTTTGGCGCAGAGGTCGAGATCGCGACCCTCAACATCAGGGTCAAGGAGCAGCAGCAGCAACACATGAGCGACAAACCCAACGCGAACAGCAAGCCCGCTGCCGCACAGCCCGTCCCCGCCAAGCCTGCGCCTCCAACAAGCCCACAGGTCGAGCAGTCGCACCCCGACCACCCGCGGCGGCAGGGCTACGGCATCTTCTCGCCGTCTCCGCTGCAGCAGCAGCTGCCCATCGCCCTGCCAAAGTTCACAGCCCACCGTGTCGATGCCCCGGATTTTAATGAGACCGACCTTGACATTCCTGTTCCTGGGACCCCACCCGCCACTACTTCTATCACGATACCGCCCAAGAAGAAGAATCCTGATGCCTCGAGGATCACCTTTGGCGTGGCCACCCTCCTCAGCCGCATGCCCGAGGCCCTGGAGAACTTCAAGCACTGGGCGGCCCACACCAATGCCCGCTTCGTCGTGGTGCATGAGCCCCAGGACACCGAGGCCCGCCCGGGCGAGCTTTCCCCTGATGAGATCAAGACGATGTACCGCGATGCGGGGATCGGCCACCTCTTCCTGGTCGAGTCGGAAAAGGGCTGGGGCGAGAGGTACCTGTCCCTCCTCGGCTGGCTGAGCAGCACGGTCGAGAAGCAGACCGACTGGGTGGCGCTGATCGACGACGACACCTTCTTCTTCGACATGAACACCCTGATGGGCATGCTGAAGAAGTACGACCCCGCCGAGCCGTGGTACGTGGGCCGGCTGTCGGAGAACAAGTGGAACATCAACAACGGCGGCTTCTTCGCCATCGGCGGGGCGGGCGTGTTCATGTCGCGGCCCCTCATCGAGAAGCTGGGCCCGCACGCCGAGTCGTGCTGGGCGGACCGGCAGGAGGGCGCGACGGGCGGGGACTGGATCGTGGGCGACTGCGTGTACCGGCACACGACGACCAAGCTGTCGATCGAGCACGGGCTGTTCCAGCTGGACCTGCACGTCGACGTGACGGGCTTCTACGAGGCGGTCCGGCGGCAGCCCGTGAGCGTGCACCACTGGAAGAGCTGGCACCACCACGACCTGCCCACCGTCGCGGCCGTGTCCGCGGCCTGCGGGAAGCCCTGCGTGCTGCAGAACTTCCGCTTCCGGGACGGCTGGCAGATGGCCAACGGGTTCAGCATCGTGCGGTACAGTTATAACGAGACCGAGCTCGCGGCGCAGCACCCCGAGGCCATGGAGCACACGTGGAAGAAGACCATCTGGGACATCGACGACAGCTGGACCCACAGCCTCGATCCGCTGAAGCCCAGGGACGAGGGAAAGGTGCAGTTCCTCATCGAGAAGAGCGTGCGCGACGAGGCGGCGAGGACGACTACGATGTACTACGTCCGACGGGAAGAGGGGATCGGGAAGGGCCTCATCAGGGTGGTGTGGCAGGAGTCATGACGGAGATATCTTTTTGTCCTTAGCGTGCATTTCATTCTATCAAGGCTACGGCGTTCAAGTAGAATTACACCAAATCAGTCAACACGATGAATAATACCCCATACATAACAATCCCTGGGTGCATATTTGAGTCAATAGCATCCTACAGGTTATCGTCTGTTCCGTGACCTTGCGAGTATGAGAGGCCAGTGACATTCGTAGCTGGCATCCGCGTCCGAGGACCACCGACCGCAGCTGCCCGGCCGCGTTACTCGAGACATGCGGATGCAGACCGTGCCGACGTGGGTACCACTGGTGAGGTACTCAAAAGCAGCAACTATGTCATCCCGCCCAGAACCGAACTCCTTCTCCACGGGGACCGCCAACCCGCGAGCCACGACGTACCGCGCGACCTCCTCCAGGTGCTGCTTCGAGCCGACCATGATGCCGCGCACGACCGCGCCCTTGGACAGCGCCAGAGCCGCGACGTCGGGCATCTGGTCCTGGGGGGCAGGGCGCGAGGAACCCTATGACGGCGATGGAGCCGCCGTAGGCCACGGCGCCGATGCTCTGGGCGATGGTGCCCGCGCCGCCGTTCTCGAGGACGAAGTCGGCGCCGCGGCCGTTTGTGAGCCTCAGGACCTCCTGCGACCAGTCCGGCGTGGTCTTGTAGTTGACGGTGAAGTCGGCGCCGTAGGTGTCCTGGACGTGCTTGGGCTTCGAGTCGGAGGACGAGGTGATGATGATCGTCGCGCCGGCGGCTTTGGCGAGGATGAGGCCTGTGATGGACACTCCGCCGGTTCCTGGAATGGGCCAGATTAGACGTTCAAGATCCTCACAGGGGTGGGGTTCAAATAATCTGATAGTTTCTGGGAGCTACCTACCGAGGAAGAGTACAGTCTGCCCCGGCTTCAGGGCAACGTTCCCGTACAGAGAGTTCCACGCGGTGGATCCGGTGCAGACAAGCGCGGACAGCTGGAAGTAGCTGAGCTTTGATTCTGCCGGTGTCTTGACCAAGGCAGAGCTGGGGAGCGCGATGAACTCCCGGAGGGTACCGTCAAGCATCCCACCGAGACTGTGGTTCCAGTCTTTCATAGCTCCGTAGAGAGTGCTGAGGTCGAAGGCCGCAATGACCCTGTCACCTTTGGCGAAGTCATCGACGTGGTGACCGACCTTGACAACGTCGCCAGACAGATCAGAGCAGGGGACCGCATTATCCTTGACAGGGAACGGGTACTTCCCGGTGGCGACAGCAAAGTCTCGGAAGTTGAGAGCAACGCTTCGGATATGGATCAAGACCTCGTTGGGAGAGGGTTCAGGAACTGGCTCGGTGCCGCTCACAAGGTCTTGTACAGAGGTTCTCTGAGGCAATCTGAAAACTCGCTGGGTTGCCATGGTGGTTGAATAGTAGTAACGTTGTAACAAGTATATTTCTGAAGGATGAGATTAAGACAAATGATTATTCAAGTTGGCTTTTGGAGACAAAGATGATGGTCGCCCTTGCGAGCAGCCTCAATATATATGAAGACTTTCTGCCCTGCTTGCATATAGGTCGGGCCTCCTCCATACATTGGAATTGCTTTTCCTGCTTAGAAACTCCTGGATTGTATTACAAATGATCGAAAGTTCACATTGGTATCTTGGGGTAAGAAAGACACAGGATTCTACAACATGACTCCGTATTAGTTTAGATGTGAGGGCAACTTTTACCCCGAAGTTGGGGTCAAAAAGCTGCGCAGTCTCTTATGCACAAAGTCTAGACCCATAAGCCTTGCCGCAATTGTATTATTTAACAAAAAGGCAAGGGGCGCCGGAGACCGCATTATATCGCCGTTTTGAGTACAACATATTTTACAAAGAAAGACTAGCATCTAAGGAAGCGAGCCATGACCAAATTCATGGTTGGGATGCGAGAGGAGATGTGGTTTCACGGAATACAGAGCATGATACAAGGCGATCTGTCTGATAAATATCCATCGAAGAAAATTGAAACATACTTAGTTACTTTCAGTCAGCTTCTATTCCTTCCTGTTAGAACGGTCTGCTGTAGAGTTTAGTCCAATATAATTTCGCCACTGAGCCAAGCATGTGGCAGGGGATCACCCAGTCTGAAACAACATGAATAAGCACTGGCAGTTTGACCACAAAGCGGTCTTCCCCCTTATCGCGAACCAAGATCATTAGCCAAGTGAAATATCTCTCCGGGGAGTTCATCCTGGCAATGGATGGACAAATGTTGTCATCTTCGGGGTTTGGATGTTCCGAGGTTTGACGGTTCAGTTGGAGGGAGACAAAATTGTTGGGGTAGAAAATGATTTTAACCCCACATCCCGTGGCCGGCTCGCTGACGTTGTCGAGACCTAGTTACATCAGCATTTCACATACCTGTAAATGTAATCTTGAGGTTGTCTCCCGGCATGATCGTTCTGCTTTTGCAGTGGTGTATAATTTCTTGCGCTTCCGGTGCATCACTGTCACCTCGTTTGCCCAGTTTCTTAACCAGGTGATGATCACTATGCCAGTGATGCTGGTGGGATCAATCATAACTGGTGCAAACGTATCGAATTGGTGGTAGTATTTCCCTCTGCTATGTCTCGAGATGCATGTGTGAACGCCCGTTCTTGGCCCATGCAAGTTATTCAAGGGTGGAGAAAACGAACTTGGCCACGTCGAAAGAAAACATTCTGCCCCGGTTATCAACCCTACTTGACCTCACTGACGCTTGCACCCAACAAAGACGGCCTTCTAGTTACCCGAAGGATTATAACATGTTGTATTGGTTTGTAATGCCTGTGCCATCTGGTTGTCTCAATTTGTTGTAAAGGTGGAGGATACAAAGTTCCGGGACGGAACAACGCCCGGGGGACGGTGGTCAAGGATGCTAAGTAATCAGAGCCAAGATAAGCCTTGGTTAGGACGAGCTGAACGGAACACGTAGGCTCTGTGATGGCATCAAGTGAACCCAGGCAACGCCCGTAATTGACATTGGCCACCTAAACTCGCTTCATTTCTCTGGCAGTAGGATCATTAGGATCCTCAAATTGAGACATAACTATGCTTCCCCTTCCACGGGGCCGACCCCGTCGCAATGTTCCGCCCTGCAAATTTTGTCAGAAACAATTCAAAAGAACTGAACATCTCGAGCGTCACGAGCGCACCCGTACGATCCCATTCCTAGTTTCCGCCCCACTGTATCCTCTTCTACGATGTAGCCGATAGTCCCAGCCGATGACCAAGAGCTCATCGGATCTTTATGCAGACACTCGGGAGCAACCGTTCCTTTGCGATTGCGGTCGGCGATTCGGGAGAAGGTAAATCTAGTGATGGGATCATGCAGGAAAAGGCACATGATTGACGGGCAAGTCACTTTGGGCTAACATGGCCAATAGTGATCTTCTGTCTAAACACAAGCGCATCTCCCATCCCGAGCAGGGAGAGCAACGTTACAAAGTTCGAAACCGTGGTGCGCCTGCGATACCAGGGCCATCAACAGTCGAAACGGCAGAAAACCAACAGCAACCTTCAGAGAGTCGTTTTGAGGAAGTGCCGCATGCTACTCCGTCGGAATGGCAGCAAACAGTGCCTTCGCCACAGCACACCGCTGCTGCCACTGAGCAATCACAACTGTTCCAGGGCGATGTCTTTGGCCAGACAAACGAATTAGCTTTGCAGGATCCCACGGCGGCATTCCCAGAACCATTCCAAAATCTATTAACACAGGATTTGCTAGCTGGTATAGATGGCCTCGAGTTTGACTCCTTCTGGAACGAAACACACCTTTCGAGCCCCTTCCTACCCACTGAACCTCCAGGCGGTGGCCAGGATGACCAGATGACTTCGCTGGTCACTTCAGACACTCCTCAGCGGGTCCATACTCTAGACTCCCAGGACCATCCTGAACGATCAGAGACTGAGCCAGAACCAGGTCTTGAGTCGAGACTTCCTTCAATGGAGCCCGAAAGGCCCGAAGTGGTGCCCCTGCATGTCCCTAGAAGCGATTCGCAACAAGCTCAAACACTGAGGCAGGTTCATTCTATCCGGCCCTGGAAAGTTTCTCCCCAAGAACACGCCCAAATACTCGATAATCTCTCCGGGATTCACGGTGTATTACCAAATAACTTCACTTTGCCATCCCAACACACGCTCTCTCGATGTCTCGAAGGTTACTTCCGCGGCTTCGCCATACATATGCCGTTCCTTCACTCCGTCACCTTCTCTGCCGCGTCCATCAGCCTTGAACTGCTCCTCTCCATGTGCGCCGTTGGCGCACTATTCCGCTTCCAGCCTGCCTTGGGTTACCAGCTCTACGCCGGTGCGCAGGCCCTGATTTCTCGGCGGTTGAGCCAACGGAGCCGTGCTGTCTTGGATCGTCTGGCCAACGATTCTCAAGGAAGACATGGTATACCGAGGTCTCCTACAGGACCTCTCACCTTCGCCAGCTCCGCTTTGAATGGATCCAGATCGGAGACAGAAGGCAATAACCTTCAGCTGCTGCAAGCTATGATAGTACTCATGGCGATGGCGTCTTGGGGCGATCATGAGCTTACACAAGACGCCCTCTCCATGTCCAGCCGGGTCGCCATGCTTGCCCGAGAGTTGAAGATTTCCGACCCTGAAGAGCCACCTCCAAATCAGCCATGGGGCGACGGTATAAAACATGAAGAGCGCCGTAGGACGCTGTTTGCCGCTTACGTCCTCCTCAACCTTCAATCCATAGCTTTCAACGTGCCGCCGCTGCTCCTGAGCCAAGACGTCGCCATCAACCTGCCAGGGTGCGCGTCAAGCTGGCAAGCACCCAACGCCGCCGAGTGGTCCACGTTACGGGACACGTACATGACGCCGAGGCCGTTCCAGGAGATTCTGAACGAGTTGCTGTCGGGAAAGAGCATCCACCGTGAATCCGCTGTCTCGTCTTTCGGGAATTACGTTCTCATACATGGCCTACTCCAACAGGTCTTCCTCGCTCGCAATGCGGCTGGATGCCTTCCAGACGCAGGAGATGCCTTGAGCGACGGCCTCGTCGAAAAGTTGCACCTTGCACTACGTGCCTGGCAAGAATCCTGGGAGGCGACATACGAGTCCACGACGGACCCCTCGTCCCCCAAGGGGCCCCTGGGATTCAACTCGACCGCCATCCTTCGCTTGGCCTACGTTCGGCTGAGCGCCAACTTCGGACCCAGTCAGCAGCTCCTCTTCGCAAGAGATCCCCAGGTCATAGCCAAGGCGTTTTCGTCGAGACGCGCCATCAAGGCCGAGGACAGGTCACCCCGCCTTGACCAGGCGGTGCTGCAGTGCATCCACGCCCTGAGCATTCCTGTCAGGGTCGGCATCGCGTTCGTGGCGCGCAGCCAGACGATGAACTGGAGCGTCGAGCACGCCCTGTGCAACCTTGAGTGCGCGTTCCTCCTGGCGCAGTGGCTCCTCGTGATATCGGAGTGCGTCGAGGCGGTAGGTGTTGGTGCGTTGCGTGCTGAAGAGCGCAGGTTGGTGAGTGTAGTCGTGAGTTTGGTGCGGGAAACCGAGCTCGGGGGCGCCCTTGACGAAGACGGCCAGAACCACGCCGTTCAGATCAAGAATCTGGCAAGCTCCACTGTGTTTTTGTGGGCGCAGACGTTCAAGGGGTCCCATGTCTTTGATATAGTTCAACTTATTGGTAGCGGGTTGACAATATTAGCAGGGGCTTTGGGAGGACAACACGACATGGCCACAATCTGATTAAGTTTGAAAGCTGGGTAAATAACGAATATCGTACCTGGGTCTGAACATGTTTCTCTAAGTGGCTGTAGGAAAGCACTAGAACGCTTCGCTTATCTTACAAGGTAACACGTTCGGGCTGCCGTACTTTAGGGAAAGTCTCGATGTGGCTACAGTGCCCTGCCCTCATCTGCAATGATTTGGGCGGAGTCGTGCCGTCTGTGTTAAATTAATCACCCGGCAGCGTTGCACAATAAAGCATTGCTGACTGGACTATGGTAAATATTACGTGCCCCCTGGCTTCTATAACGATTACTCATAATAGATGACAGCAGAGCCCATGGCTGATGCTAAAATCACTCTTGGTGCGTAGTTCGTCGCCTTGGCTGTGATTTACATGTTTATGTTGAGCACCAGACAAGATTTATCTTTATATGGGAATTACCAAGGCTTTAATGCAATTTAAGATTAACAGTATTCTAATAACCATTTGTTGGAATTTAATAACGTTTAAACCTTGACTTAATCTTTATATTATCGTGGAAAATGATTGCATTGCGTGATCTAGTCGGAAACTACTCCTCTCTGGTGGATGTGTTTTGGTTGTCCGTCATTGCCGCCACGGGAAGCTTAGAGCAGAGGTCAGTAATCAATTCCTCAAGAATGACCCATGACTTATTTGACCTCGCACCAAGAGTTTGAGACTCTGTAATGCGATCTGCTCGACGACCAAGCAAGTGCCAAACTGGCAGGAACTTTTTGTCCTCGTGGCTCTGATCCGTGATGTTCTCAAATGCCCTCCTCATGTTTTCTCTCATCCGCAGCTTGCCCGCGTAAGTGGCATACTTCAAGGCGGCGTCAGAGTCCTTCCCGACTGCGTGTTCATGGTACGCCTGCAGTAGTCTTGGCAAGTACATGACAAGCGACGCCAGGCCGGCTGCGAGTGCCGTCGATACTGAGGACCCACTGTGAGGCTCGGGGGCTGTCGTCGAGCGCGGATCTTTAGCCTCAGCGACCTGGTTACCTGGAAAGAACCAATTGATGTGTTGCTGGTCCTCACTCATCATATCTCGCTGGCCGCTTGGGCCTGCCGCACCGATCCGAAAGATGTAGCTCGGTGCCTGCGCAAATGGTAACGAATCGGTACTTCTCAGCTTGATTTCATCCGAGGCTGAACAGAACATGATAAATTCTCCTGGCCTTGGCGGCATCGATGGCTCTTCTCAAGGCTTCTATGGACTGTTCTTCGTACCTATTAGGGGCCTTGGTGCTGGTGTCTCCATCAAGAACGTTGCGAACAGTCCATGACATCGTAATGATGTCAACATCGCGGATGATGGCAGCCCGAATCGCCTTGGCCGCACTTTCTGCGTGCATCTTCACGGTTCCGTCACCGTTCAGACTATTGTCGTCCAGGTCCTGAATTCGGATGACGTAGAGAATTACCCAGGGGTTCACACGCACCAGCATATTGGCCATGGTAGTCCCATGACCACGCGTAGACTGGTGCCAGGATTGTCCTATGAAGGTGCCCTCAGCAGTAAATGTAGGTGTCCAGTAACTTAGTCCGGTAACTTGAACGGACTCGTTATAAGTATTCAGACTGGTAAGGTGAACACCGTCGTCGATCAGCGCTACCTATAACAGCTAGGTCAGCAAGTCGAAGGATTTTGTGGCAAAAAATCAACAATAAATCAGGCGTGCGTCCTACGACTGCGAGCTCTCCCTACCTTGATTCTCTGGGGCCGGATCTCTTGTGGCATATTTCCGTGGACGGACAAGAGCGATCTCCTGAAGCTTTCCATTGACTTGACCCAATCATGATCGGGCGGGCTCTGAGATTGCCCGGGTGTGGATTCTCTAAGCTGGCCGTCGGCTCGTGGCCCAGCGGCTCTGTTTCCAGCCCAATCACGGATGACGACTTCGACTCCACCCGCCGTGCGATTATCGATCTCATTCTTGAACTGATCGAGAGCCTTGCCCATCCTCTTGGCGCTCTCTATGCCCTGTATGACGCCGTTATATGATTGTTCAAACCAGTTGGGTGGTAATAGGGCTGACGCCGCCCCTTGAAATCGGGCCGAGAGGGAACTCACGGGCGACGCATGTAGAACTAGAGTTCTCAACTTCTTTCCATTATCGAGATATAGGCTGGGGATCCCCTTTTTGCGTGCCCAGCCTCGTAGCACGGTCTGGTTCCCACTCCAGTATAGGTTAAGCTTCACGGCGTTTGGTGCTGCAAAACGAATGACGTCTATGCTCAAATCAGGTTTAATCCAGTCCCTGTGACTGGTGTTTCAGTTTCTGATTCTCCTGGCCACAAGAAGGGAGTGCTGCTCACCAAATCTCTACATCGATGCCGCCCTCGGCTCTCTTGGCCTCGGTGAAGAAGCTGTCCACACCACGTATCGACCGTTCAATGGCGGCGTCCGTATGGTACAACCTGTTGTCGTACATATCATCCACCTGGAGATGCAAGATGTTACGAACGCCAGCAGTGGCCAGCGCGTCAAAAACCGCAATCAATGAGTCACGCCCTGTGCTGTGATCATTGTCGGGCTTGGACAAGCGTTGCCGTCCCTGATTCGCAACGTGTGGCCTCGAAGCCGAACCATAGTTTGTCAATTTGCTTCCATCCGAGCTCAGGCATGGGAGATAAACGTAAGATAGAGTATCCTCAAAGCCACCGGGTTGAGAAAGCATGTTAATAAGCCCCACCATGGCAGCGGGGTTCCCGCCTTCCAAGTGTGTTGCATCGAAATACAGGTTCTTGTCTGCAGTCTGTTAATAAATGTTTTTGTCTGGTAGCGTGCCCCAGCATGAACATGGCTGCACACAGCTATCAAACCCACCTGATGCAACTTTTCCATAAAGCAAGTCTTTGGCATCAATATCTGGCCGTGTACGTATGTAGTGAAGTTTCAATCGATGGCGGATCTGTTCTGCAGCATGCTTGTAATCTTGGGAGGACAGCGCAGTCTTTTGGATCGACTTTGTGCCCGCAACGTGGAGTGCTTTCGCCTGCTGCTTACTCATATCGTTTGGCTGTGAAGGCGGTGGCGGCATTTGAACTGCGGAGACGATATCGACTGTCGACGACTGACCCTCACTTTCCGAGTCTTTGGCTGCGAAAGACACCGGGCTCTGTGTGCGAAACGTGGGGCGTCTAACGAGGGCATGGACACTGCGAGTGCCTAGAAGACTGGAATCCTTTGCCTCGGGTAACATATCCTTCGGAGGCTGTTTCTCATGCCCTGAGCGAGCTTGCTCATCAGAAGCAAATGGAGTGGTCTTCCCCTTCTCGACATAGTCCCTTGCAATTGCCCCTCGAAGCCTCATTTCCTTCGAAGCCTCGAGACCACCACGAGAAGGCTCATCAGCTTTCGCGACCGGCAGAGGGACGCCATCTTTTGACACATACGTCTTGGAGTTTAGCTTGCTTGGCATTCCCTCTTGCACTGTCGGTTTGCGTGCCGCCACAACTGAGGATGCTTTGTTGGGCAGTGTCATGAGAAACTCCCTCTGCGTGCGGAGGAAGTAGAGGTAGGGAGACTCGGGGTCTTCCATGTAGTTGAACTGGTTGCCTTTATGGGAATTCTCGCGCAGGAAATCGTCCGCAGCCTCGAGCATTTGGAAGACCAACTTTTGATGAGTGTCAGTGGGTATGTGGCAGAGTCTGTAGTCCAGCGCGTAATGGAGAGGCGTGTTTCCGTGCTTGTCCTGTGCGGCTATGGTCTTGGCGCTTGCAATCTTTGCGAAAGCCATTGCTAGTTTGTAAGTATTTCTGAGGTCTAGTCTCTTCTTGGGTGTGGTCTTATTAGAGTAGTCCCGAATTGCTTTCAGAAAGTGTTCTCTGAAGATGTGGTGGAGGGTGTTTGTTCTTTCCTCGTCGCTCGCATGGAGCAGGTCTTTCACACTGTCTGGACAGTGGGAAAGGAGAAATTGGATGAAGTCCTTGTTATCCCATCGTAATGCCACGATCAATATGGGATCCTCGAGGTTCTTGATTTTGAGGCTTGCTTGACTTTCGTATTCAGTTTCTCGGTGGTCAAGGAGGAAGTTGATGATTCTTTGCTTTGATTGCTCATCGAGGCGTGCGAACCCATTCTTATCAAAGTTTCTTGCCAGCATGTGTAGTACCGTCGGAGACCTTACGTCGCGGTCATCTTTGATCTTGAGGCCTTCTTTCTTGTACCCTTCGAGGAAGTTGGCAACACTTGAATCGCCACAATGAGTGTCCCATCGGCAGGGGACCTCCCGATTCTGTAGAAGGCCCATCACGTCTTCCCACTTGTCTTCCATTGGAAGCTGATACCAGCGATCAACCTCATCTTGATGCGCCTCAATTCCCGTGGCGTGGGCATCGAAATCATCATCGATGTCTCCAAAACCTGGATCACTCTGGTTGTCAAGATCGATTGCCCTAAATGCGGGACTGTTCTCGGAGGCTAGTATATCTTCAAGGCCATCCATGACTGTCTGATCTTCTTCAAATTTGTACCCGAGATGTCGCGAGGTATTTGCTATGTCCTAGTACATTCCAGGAGAATTTGGAGTTTCAGTAAGAATGCTCATCACCAATGACGCTTGCGGGGTGGAAAAACGCAACGAAATTAGTTCACTAGGACGAGAATCGCAAGTGCGGCTCACAGCTGGCTCAATGGTCACTTGCCTGGTGCCACTCCTGTAGTTTTGCCAGCGCCCATCAGCTGACAGAATATCCAAAAATTGCGATCTCCGGTTGGGGGGTGGGGGGAGGAGAGGGGGTTCGTGAGTATTCTCTGCCGTGATATGCGGACACATCCCTGCTCTATCAAAGCCACAACCAATGAACAATGCTGTGTCACCACATATGCATATACCGGTCAGACCGCTGCGCAAATCAAATGCTGAAATGATCCCGAAATCTCTAAGAGCCTGATATAGTTCAGTCTAGTCCACACCTCCGTGCTGACAATGCAGCCCAAAAATCACGCGAATGTACACTGTGCATCAGTCGCGCGGAACGGAGTCTCCGACTGAGATTTGGCAATGTCTGTTTTTCGATCCACAGGCTCAAGGAGCAGTTTGATTGCTATCTGTACCCTCTCGACACCCTTATGCATCTTTTGTCTCCTCCTCCTGCACTTGGGTTTTCTTCAGTGCTTCTCCATAAGTGTTGTACATGGTACAGGACCACAGGCAATCCATGTTAAGCAACCCTAAGTTGTTCTTGTCGATCAAAACGGAGGGATTAAGTTGATTCACCAAAGTCTCCTTAACACTGAACATGATTGGGTCATCTGAAGATCGGGAGGATGCCAGAGAGGATATCAGAGTCGACAATCCAAAGTTGGGCATTACTTCGATGTAGGGTGTCATAATGAAGTCCTCGTCATCTTCCCGCTCCAGTAGAACGGCAAGGGTGGCATGAGAAGGAACTCCTGTTTTTTGCGACGGGTTCTCTTCCAGTCTGAAGCGAGCCTCAGTGTGATATCCGAAATCCGGATCTGGCTGGTTTACACCGATGATGGTCGTGTAGTATTTCTTTTCTTTGGATCGGGAATGCTCTCCTGACAGAGCCACCCCTGCATCAACACCGGGTATACCTGGACTGAGATTGAATGACAGTACCTCGTTTGATGTCAAGGCCTCAACTGTTTCTCCCATCTTGAAGACACCATCAGGTCGGATTGCCTAATCGATCTTGTTTCTTAGCCATTAATACATTCACCCAAAAGAGCGCTTTGGAAGGTGAAAAGAAAAATAGAACAGCTGACAAGAGCCTCGACAAAGTCCAAGGTTTCGCGGGTCCAATGAGCAGTCTGTGTGGGGGAATTGATATAGGGGAATTGGTACGAACCGCAACCTCTGGAAAATGGGAACTGTCAGACCCCTTCTTGAACTCGAAGCGTATGTCGGCCTCCTTGATTCTAATGCCTCGTCTCGACAGGAATTTGAGCTCGTAGACTAGTAACGTAGCACGCTTTCCATAATCCCCAGCTATAGCACCATGAATTATCGCTTTCGCATGGCAAGACACAGTGAAAGCTGGCCTTTTACGAGAGCCGGCTTGGAAGGCCGAGACGGTCGTTCGCTGGCGTTCGCCAGTTCGATTCCGAACATGATACCCTGCCGATGTGTTGAGTATCGAAACTATTACTACAGTCAAAGACACGTCAATCGACATACCTCCCGCCACTCCACCCTGGTATGTCAAGGCCAGGCCGAAAGCCAAAGCGTCTTGAGAGTTCAGAAACCCTTGTTCCTCCTCGTCCACACCATCACTCAGCCAGATTTCTTCGTCCATCATTTGCCGAGAAGGTTGGTGAAAGGGAAATCATAGGAACTGAAAACCAAATGGAATGGTGCCAAGTTTGGTGGATTTGGGGGAGGATGACGGTCCCTAATATTTCACGTCCCCGGGATCCCGATGACCATGTCAGACTGCACCCACCATGGGCAGAGCGGCCAGTCTAGCTAACAACTCACACTGTGCAAATACAATGTTGGACTAGCCACATTTCGAATTCGAACACAAGTAGCCGACTGTAATCACGCCACATGCAGGCCTTGGAAGAGTGAGCGGGGAATCGGGAACATGAAGGCAGACCAGAATCAGTGCTAACCGTAATGCTTGTCCTCTACTTGTGTTGTTCATCCAAGGCGTGTATGATTACCTGTTCGGATGCACCCTCTCGGTTGACCACACTGCCTGACTTATCTCAGACTTCTTTGGCGAGGCTCTTCAATACCTAAGATAGCACGACGCCGTTCCTAATGCGAACCATGGACCCGGTTGACAGAGAAACCGGGGGCGATGAGCACGATAGTGTCCAGCCAGACTCCACTGAGCTCCCAAAGCCTGAACAATCCCAAACACCTGCAATTGAGTAAGTACTGAGTTCCATGAAACTGCGAGCGACTTCCACTTGTCAGATACTTGTTGTTGAATACAGGCTGACAGACCACGGATTCGTTGCGACTATAGCGTTGTCCATGTCATGGGAATTGATATCGAGCTTCAACGTCTTCCATTGTCTCAAATAATCTCAACAGACGCCATGTCCTTGACAAAAGAACTGCTCTTCAACATCGAAACACCATTCTTAGCAGATGATCTTGTTCTGACCTTGGCACTCATTGAAGGCGAAGCCCGTCGGCTCTTGGCCAGGCTAGAAGACTTCCGACATAGTCGTTCACATGTACGAAACTTTGCTAGTGCTGCATGACCGATGCGGGAAAGTGAAAGACGAAAATTGCGAAATGCTGATGATGCCATTAGGACAGTGCTATCATTTTCGTTGCTTATGAGCTAGGTGCCCTAGTTGTGAAGAAGGTGAGCCGATTGCCGTCAACCTCCAGTCGCCCAGTCATTCACCTCTTATTGACGTCCAATTTAGGCAATTTCTATGGCTGAAAGCGAATCTGGGGATTCGAGTTGGAAAAGTGTCTTTGCGAGAAGTGTTAGATTCGTGAGTACTAAAGCAAGCTTTTCGGATGCCTTGAAGATTATAAGAAAGAAAGATGGAACCAAGATTTCAACGACTCAGCAGACCCGTCTCTAACCCATAATCCCGTAGGTTTTTCATGGCTGCTTCCAGCGGGGGCTTGACCACCACGATGCAGTGTTGAAGATGCTGAACTTTCTTCAAGGGTGTGGGAATAATCTGTGGGCCCAGGGCCTAACCGCAAGAGCCACAGAGCAACTCGTGAAGGCAGTAATCGAACTCAATGAGGTGTTCCTTGCGTCCGATGTGATACATCGAAGCAGGATTTTCAGTTTGTACTCTGCTGAATCTGGGCTGCAGCGAATACCCAAGGCAGGTACCTTACTTCTACTCATTGGAAACAGCACCTAATGCAAGCATCTGGTGGATAGGTTTTTGACTGGTACACTGCCACTCTGGGACTGCCAACTGAATTGGCCGTGTGTAATAACAGCGAAGATGGTGCAATTCCTTTTCCATCATTAGCTGACAAAATTTGCTTCGGATTAGGAGGCAGGTTATTCCTTCCTCGGTACGTGAATGTGACTGCTGACAGGACTAGGCTGGATTCCCGAATCGTCGCTGGCCGCAATCCAATGTACACTTGCCTCCGTTGTGCCACGTCAGTATCAAATGCGATCGACCTCCGATTCTCCTTCCCACCCTGTGCTCTCCAGCGTCTCTCATCGATCTTGGCTAAGGCACAGCGGCGTCCGAGTTTTATATCTTCACGGCTCAGACCACGCTGCGAATATCGAAGCCGCGGAACAAGTAGCCCTTGCCTGGACTACACGCAACCAGGCCCAGGAGCAATACGAGTTTCGGCCCTTCTTGTTCATGTTTTCTTCTCAAGATCCTGCGCACAATGCTGTCCGACACATGCTTGCGGCTAGCATGCTGCAGTCCATGGCGGAGCTGTCCACCTCTAATCTACACGATAGTATGGAGGCTCAGATCTTGGAAGACATAATAGAACTACAACACGCTTGGACAGACGAGGCGCTCTGCAAAGCTGTTCAATGGGCAAGAACGTGGGTTGGCTCTAACGGACACCCCCACACACTATTAGACATGGACGAGTGTGCACCCCACAGTCGAATGACGTTCTGGTCATTCTTGGCGGGCATTGCAGGGAAGACCGAGACGCCACTGAAGGTTGTCGTGACGTCGAAAAGGCCAGGATCACTGTTGCAAGAGTTGCGAGAATTCCCGGAAATTCAATTTTACGAGTACAGGGCGTCGAGTTCTCCGGATGGGCTCGAGTCATCAACAGACCCGGACTACCAGGACACCATGATCCGACGCTTCTGCCCCGGAAATCTCGGCGAGACCAGAATTCGAACATGCTTTGAAAGGTTGGCTAATATGAGTCGCCCTGCTCTGGAAAGCATTGTCAACTTACTGAGCAGCACCACCCGTTGGCCTGAATTGGTAACCTCCTCGAACCTCGCGCGGTTTTGCGACCTTTTCGATAGCGTAGCACATGGGTCTACAGCAGCAACAGTTCTCTCACGAGTTCTAGAATCTGTTCATGACCAGTCTGGGTTACAATGGATCCTTGGGTGGCTGTTGTGCGCTTATCGTCCCTTTGACGAACGAGAGTTGGCCACAGTCCTATGTTACGCACCAGGTAGGCTGGAGAGAAAGGGCCCACCGTCGAATTTTGAGGTCGAAAACGCAAGGATGGCCTTGAAAGATATGCTGGTTGGCATAGTGAGCTGGCGCAACAACCGAGTCGAAATTCTTCCACACATCTCACGTCTCATGGACCAAGACATTGAGAAAATCTGGTCCCGTCTGAGAAGGTCTGCTCATGAAATAACGCTTATATTCCTACTGGAGTATCTGTCTCAACCTTCTACTCAGCTCCGTCTGGATGAGTTGTTTCTCCGGTATCAATCTCGCATTGAACATGGGAGCGAGGTCGGGACCCCGGCTTTGGTCCCTAAGGAACAAGGTGATTTCATATTTTACGCCGTTCAAGCACTGCCACATCATCTGGATGCGGTTGTTGGAACACCCATCCATTTGGACACCACGACAAAATTGAAAGACCCCAATGGGCCATTCTTAGCTTGGTCACGAGTATACTGGGCCATGAGCAATCCATTCGCCCGTCCATCAAGTGAGTCCTTCAGTTCAGCTTGTAAGACATGGCGGGGGACCAACATCGTCGGCCCTTTGAGATTTGATGCTGACGAGGTAAATGGACAAGACTTACCAAAGGACGACGTCGTGCTTTCTGGAATGGATCAGCTTGTCGACACTGTGAGAGGCAACAACGAGGATTCGGCACTACAGCTGGCTCAGCAGTTGGTGGATCACGCTGAAATCAGATCGAGGACCGCGGGGTTTTCCCAAGGATCAACCATTTCCTGGCCGTCAGCACTTCTTTGGGAAGCAACTTGGCTTAACATGCACCGCTTGATGGGCTTTTTACTAAGACATGGGGCGAACGTGCACGACAAGGAGTCAAAACATTGCCCGTCTCTAATATACAGAGCTGCCCGGCTGGGGTACTCGCAGATGGTCGCATTATTCCTCCGGTGAGTTCAACGTCCATATACCTGATCCCGCTTAAAATCATCCAACACGATCATCCTCGTGGATACGAAAGGAGGCTTCGAACACATTCAATAAGGGACCTTTTTTTCATTTTCACCCGCTCACTGACGGTTGTCTTAGGTATAATGCGGACATCACGCCCAAGAGGCGTGGCGTGTATAATACACTGCACACAGCCGTATGCAATGGGCACGTAGGTGTCATCGAAGCAATATTGGCCCATCGTAGTGAGCTCATCAACGCGAAACAGCCCCTAAAGCCGCTGTACGCCGCATCCATCTGGGGCTGCTGGAAGGCCGTGGAAAGTCTGATGAAATTCCCCGGAGCCGACCCTAACGAGAAACACATCCGAGGGTGGACGCCACTCACTGCTTCTTGCGATAACGGATTTTCCAGAACGGTTAGGGTCCTTCTCGATCGTGACGTCGACCCCAATATTCCAGGCCCTGGAGATAAGTGGACGGCTGTTTATTACGCCGCGGCGATTCGCGGTGACGCGGATATTGTACGCATGCTGCTTGCACGGGGTGCTGCAATCGACCACAAGGTGCTAGAGGAGCCGCTACTATGCGGTATTATCAACAATGTCAATTTATCCGAGGAGGACAAGATCTCGCTCTTCGAAATTCTCATTCAGCATGATCCATCGATGAATGTTGACAAGGGCATGTCCGATGGTCTTGCACCGTTGATGCTTGCTGCGATGGACGGGAATGCGAATATGATAACATGGCTCTTGAGACATGGTGCAGATATAAATCTCACAACCCCTTCCGGCCGACATGCTCTCTTCTTCGCCCTGGCAAACCGACGAATCGCGGCAACGAAGGAACTTCTCGAACACGACACTTCTCCAATACTTGATATGGAAGACGAGCATGCTGGATTTCCTCTAGAGGTTGCTCTCGCCGACGAAGACACGCGGGACGACGGTGAACTGGTGGAAATGTTACTAGAAGCCGGTGCGAATTTGGAGTTTGAGAACAAGAACAAAGTGACGGTGTTTACAATTGCTGTCTACCGTGGTCAAAAAGAAGTTGTCAAGCTCCTTCTGAAGCGAGGTGTCGACATCAACCACCGAGATGTATGGGACTACACCCCTCTGCTCGTGTCCATTCAGAGCAAAGCACCTGCAAGCACAGAGGTTATGCGACTTTTGGTTGACAGCGGTGCCAACCTGAACGACAGACTGCCGGGTGACTCTACTGTACTTCACGTCGCGATGTGGGAGGCCGACCTGGACAAGGTTCGAATTCTGCTGGAATTTCACACCTCAATCGATGTACACTCGCAAGATTCTGATGGGGACACGCCTCTGTTGGTTTCGACGAACTGGGACCGCCCGCAAATCGTTGAGTGCCTGAAACTCCTCGTCCGGGCAGGCGCCGATGTCAATGCGCAGAATTTGAAGGGCTGGTGTCTTCTGATGAAGTCCTCGTGGCGGAGAGAAGCAGCCAGTGCCGTCCACGATTTTCTACTCTCGCTCCCCGAAACAAATGTGGACATCTTCACTCCAGCTAGCGGTTACCCCCTCCAGGTGGCATGTCGCATCGGATATGAGCCACTACTACGCAAGTTGCTGGGCCGGGGCGCCAATGTCAATCTGGCTGTGCCGGGGTTTGCACCAACCGCTCTCATCAGTGCTTGCCTTGCCGACTCGGCTAAATCAGACGAGACGGTAGAGTTGATTGTCCGCAAATTGGTCGCTGAAGGAGCTGAGCCAAATTTCATGTCAAAAAACACAGTCGGTCTCTTCAACGCATTGTGCGCAGCTTCATTTCAGGCCAGAGTTGGAACGATCAATTTCCTGCTTGACTCTGGAGCTTCGGTGCAGCAGCCGGATCGAATGGGTCGCCTGCCGATTCATTTTGCTGCGGCAAACGGACTGCGCAACTTTGAAGCCGTTGCCCTAGCGTACACAGGAGATATCATGGCCGTTGACAAGGCGGACAAGAACGTGCTCCACTGGGCCGCCCAGTTCGGGAATTGCGAGACGGTCAAAGCCATCTTGGAAAGAATACCTGTAACCGAAAGAAAGGCCGTCGTTGATTGCAAAGACTCAGAGGGCTGGACGCCCTTGGCTTGGGCCATGCGCCCTGTAGACCTCGACCCAGATTTTGCCCAGGGCTTTCCAGAGCCCCGGAACTATGCCGGCACCGTACAGTATCTTATCCAACAAGGGGCCAACGTGGCCGTCACTTTCCGACAAGGGCGAGGGGAAGCAGCAGAGGTGTTGGCGCCGGTGGAACTGGCCCAGCGATGTGGAGCCGATGATTTGGTTCAACTGCTCGTTGGTCCTCAAAACCGAGACAACGACAATATCGACACGGACGCAGCGGGAGAGAAACATGCTTCCCGATCCGCACGGTACATCAGCAGGCAGACCATGTGCTATATGTGCTTCTCGGTATGTACTCACTTTCATCATATGTTGGCTCGTCTACAAGTCAGACTTGATCCCAGGGTACATGGATTAGCTCAAGCGAGGAACGAAGTGAGCACGTGCAACGACTAATAGATATATCGGGCAGACAATTTACGGCCTTTTATATGAGTGTCAGACTTGCGTCGGGCAGGTCCGCTTCTGCAAGAAATGCCACAGCAATGTCGAGCTATACCACATGGTCGATGATGGGAAGCTCCATACTTTCGGCATCAACAGTGATGGAGCAGAAGAGTACATGGCGCCCAATTCGCCATCATCACCAGCCTCATCAAAGGCAATGAACACCATGACTGGGACTGCGGTCAATGCGGATGGCGATAGTTCGGATTTGGCAACGGGACAATCGAATCATGACAGTCCCCAAGACGATGTCACAGAGGTGGTCGACTTTTCGGACTTGAAAGACCTCGGAAGTTTCACCGACTCAGAGTAACCTGTCATGAATCAGGGGCTCCGCTATTTTGTTGCTCAACTCTGTATGAATAGGAGTGTTCCTCGCTTTCTTTGCAAAAGTGTTAGAAACCAGTTGAGTTGCTCAACCTATTCAATCAGCTGCGATCGAAAACGTGACATAATAATAGACGTATGAAACTTGGGTGCCCCCCCTTTTCAGCGACTGTTCGCCCCCTCAGACCCAAGACCGAAAATATCACAGCCTTTTCGGACCAATGTCGCGGACACCGACCTTCATCCCGAGGGACAAAACTAGCGGAACTCGTGTCCGCGCTCGACGAGCCTCTCCGCTTGTTGAGAATCGTGGATATCAACAATGGGTGTCAATCATGCATATTGAGGGTGGAATTCATGTTCAAACCTCTTGCATTATTTTGAGGACTGGACTTTGCAATGGGGAAAGTCCTTCAAAGTCAGTCCAACGCACCAGGGAGGTACAGTGCGAACTGAAAACCGGGAGGTGGGGGTGGGTCATTCCAATGCCATCCAAATTCTATGCATTGTAGTTTACCTGGACCTTAAGTCTAATCTTTGCTACTCACCGCTACAGCCCATGCTAGCAGCAAGGCTTAGGTAGTCTATACGTAGAATGACTTTCAGCAGAGACCTTCCCTGGCCCATGATGGGGAATGGAGTTTGGAGGGCCCAAAGATTTTCCTGGCAGAGTCCAGTGTAGGTATACCGACATAGCTGCGATTGTATCCTCTACAGCCAGTCTTTGGCTCTGCTGGCTGCCCCTTATTACAAAATATGAACTATGACGCAATGCTATGCTTGTCTTCCCGTTTCATATTTCTACACTCGCGTCTCGTTGCTCTGCGAGAATCCAGGACAAGACGAAGAGGGTCCCGGCAAAAGCATAATCGGCAGCGGGAAGTTTGAAAAGAATGACTGACTCGGCGATGCTACCACCAGTGTAATTGGGCAATGTTGTTTCTCTCCGGCCTTATGTGATCATCTTTCCCCTGTCATTTGTTCCCGAGGTCCCTTTTCCGTTAGGCATAGTACGGTGCACAAAATATTCTGCGAGCAAATCATTACTTTTCAAGAACCACTGCCACAAGCTTCAATTTAGTAACTATGCGTTCAATAACACGGGCTTCTTTATTCGCATCAAATTGAGCTGCCAGTATAGTGACGAGATTAGGAGTGTCAGGCATGGGTTGAAATGGGCAGACGTCTAATAAAAGGGACTTCGGCGGGAGGCGTTGCATCGCGCGCCCGGAGAACAGACCGTCGCGGATTACATAAGTGAGCCAAGCTTCACTTTTTTGGCGAGTCAACGTCACTCTGCCCGACGATTCTTGGCCGCTCTCACTTTTCCACCTCACCTCAGCCCTCAGCCCTCAGCAACACCGCCAGACACTCAACCCAGCACACCAACGATGGCGCTTGCCCGTGCCACTCTCTCGCAGACGGCCACCGACAATGCTTCCCGAGGAGGATCTTGCGCGCGTGAGGGAGCACATCGCCCGGGCGGTAGCCGAGCGGATGGTCGAGGACACGGCGATTGATTGGACGGTCGTCAGGCAGCTCGACAGGCCTATCCTTCGCGTCCAGGCCTGCCTCCAGGATGGCTCGAAACAGACGGCCAACCAGTCCATACCCGGGCCCATCATCACCGTGAGTGATGTGGAACAAGTCACCACCCATGCTGGGGTTTTGCTGACTCTTGAGTAGCATCTCATAGACCTGTCAGGGATCGTGCACCCGAGTCGCGCGTCGCCGGAAGCCCCTGAGATGCTCCGCGGCGGCAGCAACAACAGCGTCATCCAGCCGCAAATGCACACAGGCAACCAACAGCCATCAGCAGCAACCACATCTACGCCAGCTGCCATCGTACCTGATGACGGCAGGATTACGCCGCCCGAGTCCGAAGTAGTCTCCAGCGGCGATGGGACGCCTGCACCCGCTGACCAGGTCGCGGAAGCTTCGACTGGTCGGCAGCGAAGACCACTGGGGGGACTCAGACCCGCACGGAGGGACCAGAGCTCAGTGGACCTCGAAGACGAGCCCACCAGCCAAAGGCAGATATCCAGCGGCGACAAGTTCCCGACGCCGGAAGCAGCAGCCCACTGGCCACGTCCTGCAGCCCTCCACCCTCGACAAGCTGATCCGCGGAATCTGGGAGCAGATCCACGGCAGCCTTAGTCTGGATCCCCAGAACCTGCTCGATCAAGTCCAGCTGCGGCCGGTGGAGTCGGCCCCATTCGATGAGGTGAATTCCAAGCTGGGCCTCGTGCTGCAGCCGGGCGGTCAGGGAAGCATCGTCCAGGACAGCGTCTACGACAGCAGCCGGTCCTTCAAGCGCAGCAACGTCTTCTGCAGCCAAGTCACACAGGCGAGTCGCGCGTGCCGCTCACTAGAGGTCATCGTCCAGGCCCCGTTGGGTCGAGCATTTCGACGCCTACGTAGACAGCCTGGCGGCGAATGACCTGTCCACACCTCGGAGCAGGTTCAACAAGGCAGCGCTGATGGAGGCGTGCTCCGACTTCGGGTGGTCTGAGAAGGAACTACGTAACAAGATGTCCATCTGGCGCGGTTACATCGAGATCCAGCAAGCCGGCGGCTGGGCAGCACTCGTCTTTGCAGGCATGGGCATCTACAGATTCTGCAAGTATCGAATCGGCTTCGACAAGGACAGCATGCAGCGACTGCGCAACCTCCGACCGGCCATCGAAGTCGCCGCCGACACCCTGCACCCAAACTGGAGGCAGTTGCTCACGGCCATAGGGGAGCCATCGAAACAAATATACCGAGGTCATCCCCACGACTACGTGATCTGTCTGGACGGCTCGCCTCCCATGCCGCTACGGGCGACATACCTGCAGTGGGACCCCAACTTTTCGTATCAGCACATTGAGGAGCCCGTCATCGATGAGCACGCGTGGGGCTGCGACGACCCGCGGTGGACGCCGCCGACAACGAGCAGCAGTGTCGAGCCGTCCGCGCTTCCCCTCTGCGACACGTGCGGCAAGGAGCAGTCCGACGACCCGAAGCAGAACTGTTGCTTCTGCTTCCCCACCCTCTTCGGCGCGGCCAGGCCGCTGCCGGCCCCTGTGCTCATCTTCCGCACCGCGGATGGCCGCAACAACGGGCTGATGGCACTCTGCGCGTTCGAGCGCGGCGCCCCCGTCGGGGAGTTTGTCGGCGTCGTGACAAAGGGCCTGTCGGACGTTGATGTCATGGAAAGTGCGGTGGCGGCCAGCACCGACAAGTATCAGATATGGCAGGGCAGACAGGGTAACTTTACGCGCTTTGTCAACCACAGCTGCAAGGCCAACGCGCAGTACCAGCGCTTCACCTGGCTGGGCACGCAGCGCATTGTGCTCGTCAGCAAGGGGATCGAGGCCGGCAGCGAGATCAGTGTCGATTATAGCGACAAGTACTGGAGGGGCCTGGACAAGAAGTGTCTCTGCGGCGAGAGCTGTTGCCGTTACCGTCGTGATGAGACGGATGCCCGCTCTTGAGTGAGCTCAGGTAGTATCACGTGGATTCTGGGAGCTTTGCTGGATATTTTCAAAAAAGTATTTCCATGAATTGTTCGCGTCAGGGTATATCATCACAGCAAAAAGAAGTACAGTAGTAAGTACATGTCTAACGTAACATCCGGCCCCACCACGCGCAAGGTCAAAGGCTCACGTCGCAGTCGACCGACGTCCATCCTCAGGCCCCTAGATCGGGCTGACCTCATCCGGGTTTCCCCTCCTCGGCTCACGAGTCGGCGGGTCCTCGTGCGGCGTCATCGTCCTCCACGTCCCGCTCTCCCTGTCATAGCCGTCGCCGACCGAGCTCGTCCACGACGCCGCACTGGACCTCCTGCCGTTCCCCGTCAGCGACCTCGACCCCGCGTTGCCCTTGGGCGCCGGCTGGAGCGGAGGCGGGTAGAGCGCCGTCTGGGGCACAAAGGTTGACCTGGCGCTGTTGCCCACCGAGTCGTCGCCGGTGGCCCAGCTGCGCGCGCTCAGTGGCTGGTTCGGTGTGAGCGGCCCCGGTGCGACGAGATATGTCGCGGTCGTTGGTGTGGGTGCCACCGAGGGGGTGACGCCGTTGTAGCTCGGTGATGGGGGCACCGGCATGCGTGCCGAGAGGGGAGTGCTGGGTGTCGTCAGGGGGTTGCTGTTGAGGGGGTTTGGGTTGCCCCCGGGGAGCCACCGCTGGCTGCGCAGCCAGCCAGTCACCGAGTGCTGCGTGTCGGTCTGCGCTGCTGTCTGCGGGCTGGTGGGCCCGGGCAGATGACTCCCCGGCCGGCCCGCCACCCTGGCCGCCGCCGCGTCCCACGACTGCTGCGATGTGTGGCCGGGCCTGGTGGTGTTGGTCGCGCCGTAGCGCGGGTCAGTGGTGGTGGTGCCGTCCTCTGCCGCGTATACGGCCTTCCAGCAGTCGTCCATGAGCACTGAGTGAGACCTTTGTCTCTCGTGGCCATAAGCTGTGGACTCTGAGACGGCTGGGGACTTGAGGGCCTCTCCATATGGCGGTGGCGCAAGGCCGTTCGGTGCGCTGATGTTGCCGAAGTAGGGGGCGTTCATCCTCTTCTGCTCATCCAGCTGCCTCAGCTTCTTTTGGCGGCGACGCCGGTAGATGACGAAGAGCGTGACGCTGATGATCATCGCAATCAGGACTGGGCGACGGCGTTAGTGGTGGCTCACGAGATCAAGGAGGAAGCATATATCATAATCAATATGATGCATTGGCACATACCAAGTATTTGGAGCACCAGGGCAGTTGAGATTGGGGTTGTCACGGACGAGCTCGACCGTCTGACAGGGGCGTGATGTGCTGGTGCCTCTGGTGTGCTCACAGCTCGCCTGCGAACGACGAAGCCATTCCTCTCTGTGATCCAAGATTCCACCGAGTCCAACATGTTGTCGAGCGGTTGGCGCTTGCGAGGCGCCGCCCGTGGTGGCTGGCCGGGAATTCTAACCATTGTGACTGGAGTGCGATATGGCACTTGTGGTTTTTGGTGGTGGCGACTGGCTTGGAAGTGGTCGTGACCCGGGGGTGGTCCCAAGAAACGGAGGGCGGGAAAAGCAAGGTGAGCCATGAGCGGGCGCAAACGAATATTTCTACAAAGCCGCTGCCAACGCGTACGACATGCATGAGCATGCAGGGCTGGCCGGCTGCCGACCGAACTCGTCTACAATAGCACATGAACGGCCGAGCTATTTTCCCCATGTCATCGCCCTGCGCGGTCCTGTTCTTTGTCAGTGGGCACCCCACATTCCATACCCAAGTTTATCGATCGGCAGGGGCAGGGGCAGGGGCAGGGGCGGCCCATGGAGCGTCCAAATGAACGCAGGAGGGTGTTCCCCCGCCCAAACGGCCGCATTGGGACGACGGAGGCGTGCGGCTCGGAGTATGGATGTCAACGTCAGACGGACGCTGCTCGTCAAGGTTGTGCCCATCTGTTTGATGTCACGATTAGACTTTTGCAGCCCTTCTCCTTTTGGGCTCGAGTCAGATATAGATAGACTTCCTCCGCTCGATGCAAGATAGGCCCGCGCGGAATAGATGGTCAATGCAGACGATGCACAATTGGCTCGGATGAGCATTAGCATCCCATCCCGCACAATGTGTCTTGCGTGTGGGCCACTAGAGAGCGTCGTTTGGTTCCCGAGAGGAAAACATAGAACATTGTTCCTATGCGTTTCTCCCTCGGCCGCAATCCACCAGGTCCCACGCCCTGCAGGATTCGCAGCAGGGAACTACCGGGGCCGAGACTTAGCCATGATCTCCCGAAAAGGGAAGCCCGAGAGAGGGTTGGGGGGGGGGGCACAGGTAACGCAGCCCCGACGGATATAGACTCCAGGCCACAAATATAGCGACGACACCAAGCAGTGCAAGCACCAGGCCAGTGCCACGAGTTGCGCGCCGCAGATCCGCTGAGTCGGTCGTCAGCGCCCACGAGTAAGGTTAGGGGATAAGGTTTCAGAACACGACTTGGCGGGCACGGATTGGCGAGCCTTACGCACGCACTCTCGCGAGCGTGCACTAGGCGTACATGGCCAGGGTCGAAAGTGCCAAGGATCTGTTCGGTCTCGTTCCTCTTTTTTAGCCGCGCCCGCCCCTCTCTCTCTCTCTCTCTCTCTTTTTGAGCCGCAATCTAAGAGGGACAGAGCCTCAATCAGATTAATTACGGACAGCCTCAGCCGTGACGGCAGGACCAGGCGGGGTGGCCCCTCCACCCCTCCCTCGGCTCCACATTCGGCGTCTCCTCCTTGGCGGGTTTGTTTTGCACATATACATAAATGCCAGGACCGGCTCGATCGCCCTTCCCCTCTTGCAGTCTTGGGAGTTCTGCCTGTCTGCGATCGGCCGGTGGTGGTCCTCCGTCGAAACGCACTTCGGACGCCGCTAGGAAATTCGCACCACTCAGAGGACGCGTGCGTTGCGGGTTTGTTTTGAAACATCGCCCTGTTGGCCGATGTTCCAAAGAGATGACGTTTGTCTCGGGACAACTCCCCTCGACGTTCGGTGCCATTTCTCCCAAACTGTTGGTCAATTGGGGGGGGAGGAGGAGCTTCTCGCCCCGTCTGGACTTGTCTTGCGCCGGCATGTCATAAAACATCAGTCCATCCTGTGAACCCTGCCTTTTGTATAGTGCCCGGTGTAGTCCGGGTCCCGTCCATTGAGGGCTGCCAGAGACCCTGCATCCTTCTCGCTGCCCGAGCGAACATCACCCGGGCCGCGAGGACCAGGGAGACAACATTGGATCTCAAGAGGACGATGCGCACTCACCCTTGACCACACACCACCTTCTGAGCTCATAAGGCGCCGGAAGAAAGTGCCATTCGCTCGAATACTGTTCGCGCCAGCCGATAAAGCCGGAGAATCAAATCGGGAATGGGTGATGACCCCTCCCTTGGGACCAAGCATTCCCATAACCACACCACCTCTCTTGGCACTTTAACAACCACTGCACTTCGCATGGACGCTCTCGTAACCACGACGGGGCTCGAAATAGCCCCGGAACCCAGCCTTATTAATCAAGCTCTGAAGTCTAAAACTTTCTGCTCTCGCCGTCAGGACCCAGTTCGGAACTTCCGGTCACTGCTCAGAAGCTCACGTCATGTCTGATACTCAAAGGCCGAGATCATCGTCAGATTGATTTTGTTCTTCAAGGCCCGATGAGATTCAAAATCATAACATTGAGTAAGCCCGGATACGCTCGGGTTAATGTGAAGAAGTCTCAGCCCTGCCAGACATAATTGCAATGGGATGGAGATATCATCGTGCATTTCCACACAAATGCATCAGCGGTGAGCAGATTGTACGGCGCATAGGTAACCTATAGATTTCGGCGTTGATGAACTGGTCAGCTCAAGTGTATACAGTCATACGTCCTCAACTGACATGACCCGGATTAGTGGTTTGGTTGGTCTCAAATGCTTTTCTCAGACCCTCCACCCCTAGAACATTGAAATAACTAGAATGTGACAGTCACTGTCTTCACTGGGCATCAAAGAGTAGAATACCTGTAAACAGACTAAGATTAACCTGAGCAGTTTTGTGTGAAGTCTATTCCTGGAAGGGGCCCTGGCACAACTAGCGGTTCGCAAGAATCGAGTCTTCAGGGCAGTCATGCCAACGAAATCCGTCCGTAGCCCTTTCAAAGAATCATTCTTTCCAAGGAACTACCACTTATTCGTTTTCTTTTTTTATAGAATAGGGCAGGGCCACCGCGGACGAAAAATGCTTGCTCCCCACGTACCCTGGACGAGACAAAAATTGAGCCTGATTTGGAAGGCGTGTAACAAGTTGACGTGTGCCAGACTCGTAAAAACGAAGTCCTTGGACTTAGTATGCTTCGAGAAAATTGAAGACTCCGCGGCCTGTCCCAAAGTGAGTTCGACTGGGTTGACTATGGGTAGGACAAGGACGACTAGCAGGTGCTTAACTACTCGAGGTGAGTGTATGTGTGAGTGATGTGCAATATGAACATGGTGATGTCTTGGATATTCGGATCTCACTAGATTGTCGCCTTCCCGGTTTGTGTAAACCTTTTTGCTTGTTTTCTTGGCCAACACGTCTGTGGCATGGTACCCATAGGGGCTGCTGAACCCGCGCATCTGTTGACCATTTAGCTTGACAGAGTTGCGGCAAGAGCATTGGATAAGCCAGGACAGCTTCATATCTAAGTTTCTTCCACAGATGCGTAACAGAAAGCAGAACGCGTTGCGTGAGGTTCGACTCGACAAGCAATATCAAAGATGGCACCCCAGACATAAAGCAACGAATCGTATTGATCAACGTCTGATAGCAGATACCAGTTCGTAATTATCATACACGTCTCCAATATTCAGGTCCATTCCCTCCATACCGTACCATCATCAGCTTGCCGCCCCCCGCCGGTTCTGACCCGCAACCTCAGTTCAGCAGCCTACTCATCAATGTCCTCCACACTGGCCTGGAAGCGCCTATGACCCCCCGCTGGGCCCTCCCGATCCTCCACGTGTGCCCGTGAGGGCTCACCCCGGCCCACGACAGCATCGTCCCGGCCCATTTGGGGCGTCGGCGCCACAGACCCATCCGTGAACGGCTCGTAAGAGCTGTCAGCCCCGGTCCCCCCGCACTGAGAACAGGTTCCGACGGTACTGATGGAAGATTCGATTGTGGGGCGCGGTACGTCGTGACTGCGGAGCGGGGTGAAGCCACCGATGCCGTGGAAGCGACGGGGGCTCCTGCCGGATTCGGGGGTGTTCAGGCGGCGATGGCGCAGGATGGGCGTCACCGTGACCGAGGAGGAGGGGGACGAGAGATACGGCGAGAACGATCTGGTAGGGGAAGGCGACATGTGTCTCGTGTATGGGGTGAGCTCGCGGCTGCGGAGGCGGAGGCGGTCGACGCGGGTGCCGTAGTGGTCTCTGTGACGGGAGCCAGGGTTGCTGGCGGCTGACCAGTCGCTTGTGCTCTGGGGAGCGTTTACGCTCAGTGCTCCAATTGGGACCAGCACGCACAGCCCGAGACTGGGATGGATCGTTGTCAGGTTGGTTGGGACAGACGGGTCTCTGTATGAAAGAGCGCCTCCGTTCTGCTGCAGGCCCTGAGTCGGTGCCACCTGCTGAGATCCCATGGGGTACTCATTCGGGGAGAGTTCCACTCTGAACAGTCTCGTATTGGGGGGTTGGCCGCTGGGTGTTTTCGAAACTACCATAACCTGGGGCCGATATGCCAGGGTATGGGAATGGGGCCTGAGGAAGCTGCAGAGGAAACTGTAGAACATTGGAGTTCATCGGGTACGGGTTTTGAAAAGGGCCCGGAGGACATGAACCAGTGATGTTGTTCGAAAAGGTCGCAGATGGTATCTGCCCTTGCGGAGTAGCAGGGTAGCTTGCTGCTCGGCTGCTGGGAGGCAGTGGGTATTGAGGCATGGAGAACTGGTTCAGCAGGGCCTGAGCGTGGTGATGATCTCCCTGCTGCCCTTGCTGAACCTGCCGAGAGATCCACAAGGCGAAGTCGTTGGGTGGGAAGCCTGTGTAAGACATGTTTGTTCTGGTGTTGGATTTGGCTTAGTGTGGGTATGAAACTGACTTGAAGTTTCCTGGGTCTTTATGCGGCTCTACTGTGGGAGGAGAAAGGTAGTTGTGGCTATAAGAGTTTGCAGGAAACATCGGCAGCAAGTTTGTGGGTTTTTATAGCCAAGGACGGAGGTTGCGAGCAGGTCATGGTCACCTGTGAGACGGAAAGTAGAGTGAATCACAGCAACGAAGCTATCATACTAGGTGCTATTAAGTTCACATTGATTCCATCCTAACTAGGCAGTTTTTGTACAATAACAACCATATTTTGAGCTTATTGAGTGCAAATGCGTGTGGCACGGTTTCCGTACATGATTACTACTTGCAGCACCTACCACACCGGAGGCTCATGGGGATGAGACAAATTTGAACAGTTCGGCTCGCAGATCTTTAGATTTCGGAATGTCCGTAAGGCGACGTTCTGATTTTGTCATTGTTCAATGGATGTTTCCACTTCTTTCGTTGCTATTGAACATTTGTGTCCAGGGTCTACCGCCAGAGCTTTGATGATATACGCACATGCAGGCCGACAACATATTAGACTGACAAACAGTGATATGGGGCGGCGAAAGATTGGATGATTTGGGTTCAAAATTGACCTCCTGACTGTTATGATTACAGACGATTCGAAAAACGTGTCCAACTTTGGACATTGCAAGTCAAGATTGCCATCCTCGTTACTTCCTTTCCCTTGTTGTCCTCAAACCACCGCTTGCTGGCCTGTCGTCTTTCCCACGTTTTCCTTCAAGTCCAACGAATTCCAAGACCTGCTGCCTTAAAAGAAAACAGTTTCTGAGTCGTCTACGATGTGGACTTTGATACTACCGTTCCGAGGATCCGAAGACAGCGTCAGGCCCTCCTCAGCTTTCTCGAGAGGGTAGACATGAGTGACTAGCTTTTTCAAGTCGATAATACCACCGCTTATGCACGAGATTCCCGCCGGCCAGGTGTCTGTGTACCTGTTGATGAATCTCAGATCGATCTGCCACGGAGTCATAGTCAGTCAACGGCCAGTCCCTGTAATATGGACTTCAATCCTAGCGTTGAAGAAGAACAGTCACAAAGACGGAAGATTTTCAAACCCAGAAACGTACCTCAGACAAGGACAGATGCATGAACGGCAGATTGTTCATGATACTCTTGCCAACACCGACCACGACGACCCGACCACCCCTCCTCACAGTGAAAGCCGCCGTGCAGACACTCGACTCAACACCAGTGCACTCGATCACGCACGGCGGCGCAAAGTACTCATCCCCTTCCTCGCCCTCGCCGCCCCGAGCACCAAACAGCTTCCTGATGCCCCTCGCGTTGCCACGGGCGTCCAGGGACGGGTCGATCTGGTAGGTGAGACAGGTCGGCACGAGCTCCTTGGCAAATGCGAGGCGCTTTGGCTCGATGTCTGTGACGACGAGTGGGTGAGCCCCTGACGCTCGTGCCGCGAGGAGGGCAGTGAGTCCGATTGGGCCTGCGCCGCAGATAACAGCACCGCGACCAAGGGTCAGCTCGGCCACACGAAGACCAGCCAGGATGACGCTCAGGGGCTCGAGCAGTGCGCCGTCTTGGAAGCTCATGTTGTCTGGTAGCCTGTGATGGTGTCAGCCTGCCCCACCTGAACAGATATGGTAGATAGTTAATAGAGGCCTACTTGTGCAGCCACCTAGCAGGGTGCACCTTATACCGCTGCAACGTCCCATGGTACGGATACACACCCGCGAACGCAACGTCCTCACACAGGTTGTACTTGCCCAGCTTGCACAGGAAGCACTTCTCGCACGGCACGCCGGGCTCGACGGCGACCCGATCCCCGGGCTTGAGGTCCGTCACGCCCTCGCCGCACCTGACGACGACGCCGGCGGCCTCGTGGCCGAGGATGCAGTCGCCCTCAAACACGAGCGGGCCGATGCAGCCCGTCTTCCAGAAGTGCACGTCCGAGCCGCAGATCCCCGTCGCCTTGACGTGCAGCAGCACCTCGCCGGGGCCCGGGGCGTACACGGGCGCGTCGGCGGTCTTGAGGTTGTGGTCCGCGGTCGCCTGGAGGGAGGGGTTGGGCAGCGGCGCCTGGATCACTTGGCGGGCGCCCGCGTTGCCGGATCCATTTGTGTGCGTCATCTTGGCGCTTTGCTGTGGTGTCGAGTCGTCGTGTGGTGCTACTTATCGTGCGCTTGTGTGTAAGGCGTGTTGGGGTATGAGGGGATCTGCAGGCGTCGTGGGAGGCGGCTTAACTTAGCTGTACGTGGGAGGTCACGTTTCGAGCCGGTTGACTGCGAGCCGAGCTGCTTCGAGGGCATCTACCATGCGAAGTGCCAACGGGGCTCCGCAATTGAAACCACTGACCGACCCCTCTCGTTCCAACGCTGGACCACGATGGGCTGTTGGAGGCGGACGAAATACCCGCTGTGTGGAGCTGCTCCTTGAGGTCTGTCCATACAGTCACGATGAAGCGTTGAGGCGTGACACGAGGAGACCCGTCGGCTGATGCAGTGGCCACTCCACAGTCGTACCGATAACGGTGCGATGGGTCCGGGTGAGTCTCTCCTCGCGCGTCTTGATATTTGTCAAGCGGCTTCTCGTTGGTGTAAGTGGCGGGCGGGATTCCCCCTTTTGGACATCCGGGGGCCCGCCATTGTGGGCTCTCCCCGGACTGGTCCCTGCCTTTACATATGCACCCCAGACATTGGAGCAGATCGCGCCTCAGCGGGACACAGCCGACCGATGCCACAGCTGCCGCTAAGCATTCTATGTAGGAGAACTAGCTGAAATATACCTAAAGCTCCCCCAGATCAACACTCGCTAAATATCGCCACTGCATTGCTGATGCCGGGATCACGATGTTGTGCATTTCCAGACGTTGAAGACGTTCAAGGGTTCCGCACCAGAAGAGTGGACCACCACATGATCCTTCATCGACGGCACTGGACACGTCCTGACAGCATGTGTTCAAACACGTTTAATTTAAATAAGAACTGTTTCTAGCACAAAATACGTTTGAACGGCCAGACTAGATTCTCATTTCATATGAACGTCTGATCATTATCATTCACACAGTAATGCTGTGGGAATATCGTAAGCACATTAGACTCGTTTGCTGTCTCACAACAGGGCTACTTACGCCAGCCTGATGTAGCACTCCTACCTATCGCAGTCCTGGTAAAACCCCATTTGTCCAAGCAGCTCAAACCAATCTTTCACATGTTCACAACTAGGCAGAATGTTTATCCAATCCACGAAGGGAGGATGGGGTTGATCCGGAAGCATAACGGAATCGAGGTGAACCGGAGGTCTCGGCGTACGCAAGGGTACATATTTGATCATAGCATTTTAAGAGGAGGCTCTGCTCGTAAGACTCAGTGTTTCGTGTGGGAGCAGTGAAAGATGCAAGCTCTCATTCTTCGACGGTTACAGACACTTGGCAGTTAGAGCTGGTAACTATCTTCATTCTCATCTGATGGATGCCAACACCAAAGAACTTATGACTCGTGCCTCGTTGTATAACAACAGATATCAAATGATTAGCTGGCTTCTAAATATTTATATGAGCTACCCATGTGATGCAGTTCCTTTGGAGACAGTCACATTTTCTACACCCGTATTATATCGGACCTTCCTTCCGTTTTGCTTGCTACAGAAGAACCTCAATAAGCCCATATAACTCGATCTGGAAGGAGCAGCGCTAGCTGACTCAGAAACATGCAAACTGGTGGAGATCGCCACGGTCACATTGAGCAATGACCCAAGAACACACATGTGCGCACGTCCATTGAGTAGCGCGCCATCGACATCTGGAGTCGCATCGTACACAGGCCAATAACCTGACTCCCCACAACCCGATTCGTCAAACATGTCAGAAAGCCTGACAAGCTTTCACAGTACCATTTGTCGACCCCAGGAGCTGGTTTCAATGACCGGAGCTTAACTTTGTTCACCACCAATTTCTCCGATGCGTGACATTGGCCGCTGCCGGCAGCTGGGAGAACCACACAACCAGCACGACTCGACATGCAAGGTGGTGATACATGCATCCGATTCACACCGCCGTGGCTGAGGATTTGAACACGGAGGCGGCGATTAGGGAGATCGAGAAGCTAGTTGGCGCCGTAGATCTGTGCGGCGCAAGCTCCATGCATGGTGTCATTTAAAATGCAGGCACCGCTCCCCAATGACTTCACGGTTCCTGTGAGCCACACGTGTCTTTCGTTCCAGGTTGAGCAGGTCTCTCCGCCACCACATTAGCCCATCATGTCCAAGGAAATAAGCAGCATCATGTCTCACGGCTCGCCGACCCCTACGGGGGAGAAGCCAGAGACGATCGACGGCCAGCTCATCGACCCCAACCGGCCGTCGCTTGACAAGATCAGGGCGTTCACCAAGGCCGAGGCCCGCGCCGCCAACATCGCCGAGCACGAGCAGACATTCCGCCATGCCCTGTCAGCCAACAAGAAGGCCGTGTTCTGGTCGCTGGTGATCTCCATGGCTATCGTCATGGAGGGCTACGATACCGCGCTGATGCCGCAGTTCTACGGCTATCCGTCCTTCCAGAAGCGATACGGCGAGTTCTTCCCTGACATCGGCGAGTGGAGCCTCACGGGGGCATGGCAAGCCGGCCTGAGCAACGCCCAAGCCATAGGCGTGATACTCGGGGGCTTCATCAACGGCTGGGCGAGCGCCATGTTCGGCTACAAGAAGATGATGCTGGTTGCGCTGTTGTGGATAAACTCCACCATCTTTATCGTCTTTTTCGCCCCCACTATACACGTCCTTCTCATCGGCCAATTCCTGTGCGGCCTCGGCTGGGGCGTCTTTGCGACTACTGGACCCGCGTACGCGTCCGAGGTGTGCCCCTTGGCGCTGCGTGGATACCTCACTGTATATAACAACCTGTGCTGGGCCAGTAAGTCACACCGGCAGGACTTCTCATACATGTATTCCACTGCTTGCCTTGTATGACTGGAATCATTGCTAACCTCAATGTGCCAGTGGGTCAACTAATTGCAAACGGCGTCCTAAAAGCCCTCGTCAATAACTCCTCGGAATGGAGCTACCGGATCCCCTTCGCGGTGCAGTGGGCGTGGCCACTGCCGCTGTTCGTCCTCGTGGCCTTCTCCCCGGAGAGCCCCTGGTGGCTGGCCAAGAAGGAGCGGTACGGAGACGCCGCCATCAGCCTGCACCGGCTGTCGAACCGCACCGAGAGCGACGTCCAGAACAGCCTGGCGCAGATCGTGTATACCATCAGGCTTGAAAAGGCAAGGATTGCCCGGAGCAAGGAAAAGGCCGCTGCTGCTCGCCCTGCCTCTGCACGGAACAACACAGCATCCCAGACACACCACCACTCGAACTCCTGGCTCGCACGGTTTACACGGCATCGTGTTTGTTCGCCCCTTTCTTCACTTACCCGTCCTTTCCTGTCGTCCGTGATATATACATCTCATCTGTGAATGTTCCATGGAAGGCCCAGGGAGACGAAGCTAATCTGAATCACCCCCTCTGCAGGAATTGCAATCCGGGTCCACCTACCGAGACTGCTTCCGCGGGCTCGACCGCCGCCGCACCGAGATCTGCTGCGTCGCCTTCGCGGGCCAGATGCTCTCGGGCGCGCAGTTCGCCTACGGGCCGTCGTACTTCTACCTGCAGGCAGGCATGTCCGTCGACGACGCGTACAAGCTGGCGGTCGTCAGCCCCGCGCTGGCCTTCATCGGCACCGTGTCGTCGTGGGCGCTGCTCACGTACTTTGGCCGCCGCGTCATCTACCTGTGCGGCATCTCGGGCATGACCGTGGTGCTCTGCCTGATCGGCATCATATCCGTGGTCACGCACAGCAACGCGGGCCTCTGGGTGCAGGCCGCGCTGTGCCTTGTGTGGCAGCTGGTGTACAGCTTGACCCTGGGGCCTATTACTTATTCCATTATTGCGGAGACGAGTGCGATGCACCTGCGTGCCAAGACGGTTGTGTTGGCGAGGAATACGTACAATGTTGTGACGGTTGCATCGCTGGTCATTGAGCCGTAAGTAGTTGGCGCTGAATTACTTCATGTACCACGCAAAACATGAGATGTAGCTGACCACGTTTCTTCAAATTCAGATACTTGATCAACCCAACAGAGCTGGACCTGGAAGGCAAGACAGCCTTCTTCTGGGCCGCCACAGCTGCGTTGACCGCGGTCTGGGCTTACTTCCGGCTGCCGGAGGTCAAGGTAAGCATTGGACTGCACCCTATCTCGCCTACATGAAGATCGTCTTCTGACCTTATTCTTTCCAGGACCGCACATACGAGGAGCTGGATGTGCTCTTCGCCAAGAAGCTCTCGGCCAGGAAATTCGAGTCCGCGGAGGTGCATGTCTACGAAGATTCAGAGTACCAGATATTCCTCGACTGAGGCAGAAGACCGGTATCATTCCATGTGTCTATGCTCACTACGAGTTTGCTTTGCGAAAGGTTGTTCACGGAAGCGTGGTGTTTGGGAGGTGCATGTTTCGGGACAACAACATATCCAATGTCACGTCACGTCTTCCACTTCACACACTTATCGAACGATGTTTCGCAGGTCATGATGCTCGTCCACAACTTTCAATAATTATCATGCACAAACATCCGGTATTTCAAGAACTAGAACATCACAGCCGTCGCTCTCGCCATGCAACATTGTCGCGTATATAAGGACCCGGGTATATTGTGCATGAGTGGCGTCACTTTTGTCCTTATAGTGTAGCGGCCTAAAAACGTGACAAACATCTAAGTACCAAAGCTGAGACGGCCATTTTGCCTGCTGATGAGGAGCGTCTAGACCCAGCCTGTGTTTCAACAGATCACACTTTTTTAAGTTCGAGATATAGACTTTGCCCGATCGTCCCCTGACACAGGAGCGCCAGCTCAAGTGACCAGCGATGCTCTTGGCCTGCCTCATCCAATCTTCTCCCGAACCCGAGAACTTTGCACCAGCATGCGTGTCATAATAAGCTTGCCTTTGAGTAGGCACTATACAGGCGTATTCTGCAGAGCCAGGGGGAGCAGCCCCACTAGCTCATGAAACTACCGAGCTCCCTCCGGCGTCTACTAGTAACATGTGCAAACCTCAGCCTGCGCTAGTCCTGACTTGTTGAACTGCTCTTGGGCGAGCTCTGCAGCAGCTTGAAACTTGTGCAGAGCTTACGATCAGCCCGGAGCGTAGAACCGCACTTTGATATTGGCACACCTGTTAAGATTAATCTCTTGTGATATTGATCAGTCAGAATTCTCTGGTTAACGTGATTTATCTAGTCAAATCTGGAAGGTGGGAGCAAACAGCTGGGCTTTCTCCTGAACCTGTGGCACTTATTAAGAAACCGCCGAAGAAGTCTGCGTTGAACATTGGCCACTGACGGTACAGCCCCACCAGCTCTCTTGGACAGCTCGGCGGTCAAAAAGTAGACCTTTGTCGGTCGTGATCGTCGTTGTGGACGTAGAAATGACACAGTCGATATCCAGCTCTTCGCGAGACTGTGCTGTCGACCCTGGGGCAAATACTCATCCCTGTTCCAACATTTCGACCGCAGAGTTACCAGTCAGCACGAAGACACTGATGCTTTTGCTGACGTCGCATGCAGACAGTAATCTTTGCACGGTCACTAGAATGTCGTGCAAGTATGAACGGACTGGATGCCCAGGCAGGGCAGCCCATGCCCCAAGCACATAAACAGGATCAGTCCATGAACAGCTCCTGGGAAAAGGGCGAGACATTGAAACGAAGTCGACCTTCCAGGGACTGTTGAAATATCTTCATTCCAATCGTAACGCTGACGTGGGTGTCGCGGTCGATGGCTCTCCAAGGGCTTGACTTTTCATTGTTCTTTGCAGCCAACGATCCAACCTGATTTATTCGGCGGCCTCGGTTAACTGTGTCTTGTGCCCCGCCGTGTTCTTGTTGCCGAGTCCTGCCGGGGTATGACGCCAGCCGAAATTCGTGTTTGCTCTCTGCTCCCTCAGTTTTCCGTTCCTGGCTCGTAGCCATGGCCTCCCAAGGGAAGGCAGTGCTCCCAACTACATACAAAGGGGCAAGGACAGCTCATGGCGCATATCGTGGCTCACAGAATGACGGATCGCCGCTCATTGGCATGTGAAAAGCTTGCATCTTTTTCTTCCCAGGCAGTCTGGTAATTAGTCCGAGCTGTGGACGTTTGCCCTTCGCCGCCTCGCTAGCTGCCTTTTAGAATTCAGTTCCCAAGACATGCTCATTCTGTGTGTCAGAGCAATCACGGGCCTGCTTGAGGTGCAGGCCGTCTCCTCTTGGGCTCAGCTTATGCCTATGTCTTCGATCAATGAGAATGTAAACATGAAATGTGGACCCGTCTAGTCAAGACTAGCGCTTGGGCGGGCTGTAGATTAGCGGATCTAAGCAAGTCTGACAGTTTGTGTGTAGTATGAGTACATTGAAACAGTGATGTCAAGATTGAGAGATAGAACATAGTGAAGGTGATAATACGATCGTACGACAAGCCTGCGAACCGAATAGCCGAACCGTGTGAGTAAGGTGGAAGTTGTGGGTATATGAGTCACTTTATAATCGATCAAGCCCACATTTCCTATTTACGTACTGAAAGGAATGTCTGTCATTAAAGAGAGATGGGCCGCTCAAGCTAAAATATAACTGTTTACTACATAAATCATCGAGAAAACGCCCAACACAGTGAGCTAGTTGATGGAGCGTAATCAGACCAGGTGCATTTAATTCCTAGGTACAAATTAAAGAGATATGTGATCATGTAGTGCTAGAAATCGTAGCCGCTGCCATTGGTAAGCTAGTGAGTGTAGCTCGGCTTCAACCTCCTCACGCTAAGCAATGTTTGTAATTGTCCGTTCGGCACCATAGTCCGTCCAGTCGAAGATGTAGTGGCATACGAGCAGCAGCAGTTCGCCAGAAAAGTCTCGCTGTTGATGTGAGTACGACGGGTTGGGATTTGATCACCGTTTACGTAGTAGTACGGCCGTGCGGACCCAAGTTCTTGTAAATATCCGTTCCTGCCATGGCGAACACCCAGAATCTACTCCTCTGAACTCTTCAACTCGTTTCTCTTTCATCATCCGCAGAATCATCAGCGTCACCAGTCACCATGCACCCTTCAAACATTCTCGTGGCGCTTGCTGCTCCCTTCCTGGGCCTGACCCATGCTGCGGCGCTGCACTCCAAGTCCCACATCACCGTTCACCTCTACGGAGAACACGGAAAGCACTACGTTGAGAAGGTCTGGCCAGACGGAGATGAGCACTGGTTCAGTAAGTCCTCCATCTCGTTCCTTCGCTACTCTACCCTTCCCGTCGCAGACGTCCCCAGTCCATGTTAAACGTGCTGACAGTTCCACACAACAGACGAGGGCAAGGACAAGTGGAAGAAGGACTTTGATGTCAAATTCATCAAGTACTACACGGAGAAGGAGGACAGTGACATCCGTTGTCTCCCAACCGAGTCCTACTACCCGTGGAACCCGCTCAAGGTCAAGCTCTTCCAGCTGCCTGACGAGTATGGCCTCAAGGTCTACGGCCTGTACTTGGAGAAGTCTCAGCCCGTCGAGGTCCTTCGATGCGATCTTCCCTAGACTGAGGGGCATTTGGTAGTCTGGTGTGCGGAGATGCTGCGGCACTGGAATTGTGGACGGTGTGTGAATGCATGATCTTTGACAGGATCGTCACCCTAAGATATGATACCTAGGCACATACACTTCGAGAAATGACATACTCCCATCACAACTTGTCCGTTCTCGGTTGGATCGTTGGAAGTGATGCCGTAGGAAAATATCCTAGAGAAGGCATCACATAGAGGAGTATCGCGTAGAATGGTATTCTGTACATTCCGTCCCGCCCAGGGATGGCTTTGGGGACCTGAATCCAGGGACTTGCCGGCTGTTTATGATTTCGCCACATGAATGAGGCTATTCTGGGGATGGGTCACCTTGTTTTGAAAATTTCGGTGTAATTGGCAGTATCAAGATGCTGCAACAACGAAACCGAAGGCATCATCACGTACCATATCCGACACACGGAGCACGCTGGAAATGGTTGAAGTGGAGAGTGAACCTGGTGTTAGTTCTGGCCTTCAACCGATTTTCCAGAAATAGTTACGAGCTGCCTTTGTTGCGCCAAGGAGCAAGAGTCGCTTTCTTTCAGTGATACTCGGTTGACCTGCTTTGCTTTCTTTGTTGCGCGACCTTACCCTCAAAGACACACAACATCAGCTTATGCAGAGTTGGCTGCGGTAATACGGTAGAGCAACGGAGATGTTTCTCTGTCCAAGGTACCCAGCAGCGGACGGTATAGCTTGCCTAGGTAGGTAATGTACGGAAAATGATTTCTTTATCGTGATTCTCGTGTGGATTTTCTTAAGGAACATGGATAGCTCAATTCAAACTAATCTCGATACAATGACACAGATCATTAGATGTTTTATCTAGACACTATAGCAATCAGTGTAAGGGGCCATAAGCCATGAGATTGGGAGCTCAGACAAGCAGACTATCAAATACAGTTTCCCCTTGTGGTAATGCCACACATGCTATCATGCTACCGTAGAATCCATGACCAGTCCCCAAGATGTGAGATACAACCTGAGCTCTGATAGAGTGTACAAATGTGCATGCCTCTTGGAGACCATCAAGCCTTGACGCAGGCCAGGAACTCGACACAGATCATGTACTCTCCTTTCTTTGCCTCCTCTAGACTATGGACAACTGCGAAGCCATAGCGATGTTGAATATGGAAGCAAACATCGGAATGAAAGTCACGACTCTCCTGAGGAACGACCCACCCAGCGCAGGTCTCTTTGATGTTGGCAGAAAGAGCGTAGCACTTCACGCCATGTCCGTGAAATCTGCCGTTGTGTGTGGAAGTGTGGCCTGGCAGCTTGACGGCTGAACGATCATCAGACTCACTCTCTGATTCATTTGGGGGCTTGGTTCCATCATGATTCGTTTGTGATGTTCCTGCGACAATCGCGTGTTTTGGCTTCATGTCGTAGTCCAGAAGATAGATCATTTTCAGACCTGGGTCTCCATCCTCATTGCCAAGTGATGTCGCACAGTCATAGTCGCCATCAATTCCTCCACTGAGTTCCGTGATCCAGTTACCCATTTCGTTGCAGTCGAGATACGGCCGACGCTCGAGAGCAATGCGCACGGGATCCAGTCTTGGTAACAAGGAGAGGCGTCGTGGCTGGCTCCAAGGAAAGTGCGGATCGGGGTCTTGGACACAGATGATGTCTGTAGCCAGGTTGAGGTTGTAGGAGTCCGTGGAGACAATGTTGGATGAGTCTACCCCGTGGGCGTCGCTGTCGTGGGCTTCGCTCGAGGGAGTGTGCGCGAGACAGACGCGACGCGACTCTTGGCAGGCATGGAGCAGGGCGAGGCTGGCGAAATAAGACGAGTAGCGGCCCCAAGTGCGCGCACGTATGCTTGGCTCGCCTGTGTCGGGGTCTTTGTCGACGTTGATGGTGCGATTGGCGTTGGCCAGTTCGCCTCGCCACTGGTATGCGCGCCTCTTGTGGCGGTCCTTTGGCGGGTATGAGAGGAAGTGGACAGAAGGGGATTGAGGGATGGCTGCCTCCCAGATCTGGAGTTGCAGCTCCTTGGGCAGCTCAGAGAAGCGGCTGAACTCTGCCATGGTGGTACGTATCGATGGGAGTTATGTCGATGGGTGCAGGAACCGCTCGCTGGCTTCAAAGAGGTGACGCTGCGGGGCGACCTTGTGGTAATGAAGTTTCGGATGCAGGAGGAAGTCGTCAGACAAAGTCATGAGATAAGAGGTGAAAAGTCGGTGCCTGGACCGCTGGTTGTACATGGCAGGCACGCGGTTGCGATTGCCAAAACGCGACGGCCACCTACAGCTCTGTTGATACGGGGGCGATTCCTGAACCACCGTTTTGACACGGACCCGGAGCACAGAGTCAAGACCTCAATCCCGCATTTCACTACATTACAATTCGTCGTGATCGAGCTACCAACAGGCAAATTGATGATGAAGGGCCTTCCATCGCCATTGCTCATGTAAGAAGTACCGGCGTGTCCAGGCCACCATTCAGCAGACTTTACTCCCCTTACTTTCGGAACGGATCGGAGCTCTCGTTGATGGGGTGATACGTCCAATACCGCTTCGAGAAAACCGGTGCCCACGTCCTCTCCCAATAGAATCCAACCTCGGGGTTCGTCGCAATTGCTTCCTCGAACCTCTGCAGTGCTCTTTGATGCACCTCGACCGGCCGGCTCTGGACTGTCTCGCGCCTTACAGCAAAGATGCCTCCATGCATTGCCCGGATAGCGGGCGGGTGCTCCTCCTCGAGCACAAACCGCCAGAACTCGGCGGGGGTGTAGTTGGCCCTGGCCAGCGTCTTGAGCTGGTTCTCTGTCATCCACGGCTTCTCCTCCGAGGCGGTCCAGTTGGTCTCCTCCCAGTCGTCCTTGTCACGGATCAGCTTCTGCTTGTTGAACGGCGTCACGTCATCGACTGGGACTTGCATCGCTGCAGCGACCATCTCGTTGCTGTTGTTGACGACCGGGCCCGTCAGATCGAAAGGACTGGCTTGGGTGAAGATCATGACGTCCTCCAGGTAGTTTTAGTGGTTGACTATGTGCGTCAGGTAGGTCTGTCCCTCACGCCCAACGTTGGGCAGGTTGGTATAATTTCGAAAGAGGTCATGGGACACAGTATAATTCTCCTGTCCAATACCTCCCTTGGAGTAGAGGTATGTGTTGCTGGCCAGTGGTGCCCAAGGCTCGAGTGGCTCCTTGAACCGAGCCACGACGATGCCTAGCTCTTGCGTTGGAACACCTGAAGCTGAGGCCATGACCAAGAACAGCAAGCCCGCTTGCAACATGTGCAAAGCGGTCGGGAGAGAGCGGATAAATGGAATAAACGAAAGGAAGACGCTTGGAACTTATGTACGAAGAATGGGGCATGGCGTGAAGCTTGCTTATGTATGTGTTTGGCAACGCGTTTCTCCCCTTTTTTAGACCCACGCAAATCCAAAACCATCTTTGATGTCAAAATAAGGTTCTTATGCGGGTTGCACTATGGCACTGCTCACTCATATGCCGTAGCCTCATCTTTGCATTCACTCCTCAGGCACGGACTGACAACACCAAATTTGGTCATCCTGTTCCTTTCGGTTTAAGAAACGGACGCTCAGTACTCAGTCCCAGCTCTTCATGATGAAATCGACAAGACCTTTGTCCACGGATGGCAACCGGCCGCTAGCTCGTAGAAGAAGCCGATTAGATCGTTCTCACTTTCTCTTAACTTTCTCGCTTCCTCAGATATACTTTAGACGAAACCTTATAACGAGTCAGCGTACGCCCACCCAGCTTCTACAGTACGCCCACCCAGCTTCCAGCGTTGGCCCACCCAGTACAAGGAAATTGATTGCACGCGCTATAAAATATTAGTACTGCAAGGTTATTAATAAAGCATAGCTATAGCTATTTTAAAGGGGTTTCATAGCTACCCCTTTATTTGCAACTTAAAAGTTACTTCTACCCTCTGCCGCCCTCTGCGCCCTCTGCGCCCTCTGCGCCCTCTGGGCGCTCTGCGGCCCTCTAGGCGCTCTGGGGGCTCTGGGCCCTCTGGGGCCCTCTGGGGGCTCTGGGGCCCTCTGGGGGCTCTGGGGCCCTCTGGGGGCTCTGGGGCGCTCTGGGGGCTCTGGGGGCTCTGGGGGCTCTGGGGCCCTCTGGGCGCTCTGGGGCCCTCTGGGCTTTTTAGGCTTGTATTTTTAAAGTATTGCTTAAATTGGAAAATAGCTACCCTGGCTTGTTGGGAACCCCGCAGTACTTGCATTTTAATGCGGATGCAGCTAATTTTCTTTATACTGGGTGGGCCAACGCTAAAAGCTGGGTGGGCATACTGTAGAAGCTGGGTGGGCGTATGCTGACTCCCTTATAACGACCCCTAAGGGGTAACAGAACTGAGATCCGTGGTAACAATGGGTTAGGGTTTCGCGTCTTACTGCTTCGCCCTCAAATTAACCACACACGAAGCGACAAATGACGGGCCTTGATGAACTAGAATCTGCACGAGCTGAAAGAATACAAAATTTGTCCAAAAGGTTAAATCAGTCTGTTCTTCTTGCCATCTGCACGCAACACATGTTGAGTGTGACTCCATAACTGCTGAATATAGTACTCGTGTCAGAGTCAGCATTGAAATGGTCATGATTCGAATTGTACGTACCTAGATACTCATCGACATATAATGCGGCCGGCCCGGCACGGATCAATTGAACACAAAGAATGTCAACCGCTTTACCTCGCACCATTTTCTATTTTTAGAATATTATCTCTGCTTCTGCACCCCGTTGTTCTAGTGTGGCTCTTTTGTCTCATGTGATTGACGTGTACTCCAACAGTCTCGTTAGGTTGTTCCAGTAACACAAACAGATGGTAGTTGTCTCTCTGCCTAAAGCATGGACTCATGCATTAGATCTTAGACGAATCTATCTGGACATAACTTGGGAGTAAACAGCTCGCGAAAAAGACTCGCATTACTTGGCACGTAAAAGGAGATTGGATTTGACACGTCTAATAGTCTAAGAGATATTCAAGAGCACCTCATGTTGTTTTTGCCCGAAAAAGTCGAGGGCAAATCAGTAATCTCGCCTCTAGATAGGCCAGTACGTACTTTTACAATCGGAAGTATAGGTTCAGAATGATTCCGTGGAATGAGAACTCTCGATGCAATGCACGTACTGTTGTTACCCAGAACCAAAATAGCAGCCGTTGAGTTTTCCAGACGCGCCGAGCGGCGCGGCCTCCCGTTCATAAAGTGATATCGGTGGCAAGGACGGGATTCTAAAAAAAGTAACACAATTGAATGCTTCATTATTTGGCTATACCCGAGTGCTTGGTTCGCGGAACCTCTCGGACGGATGTCTTTGTTGCCAGAATGTTCTTCAATATGTTCGACGCCGAACTTCATCAATGGCCACCACCATTCAGATTTTTGAGCAAACTCACAGCTCTTCAAACGCGAAGACCCAAACTCATCGTACCAACCACTGGCACCTCTCTGAAGAATGTCAGCTAATCCTTACAAAGCCTTCGGGCTATCATGCCCCAATGGTGGAGACTTCCACATTTGCGAGAACACCAAGAGAGAGTTCATCGGCTGCTGCACGACGGACCCATGCGCAGACGGCTCAGGCCTGTGCGAAAAGGCGAATCTTCGAGCAGCCTCATTCTCCGAGTCCAGCTACCTTGACATACCCCCTCAGAGCTGCGACAGCACTGGTGGCGACAACCACTTCTATACTTGCACAGCGAACGACCCACCTTTCATTGGATGTTGCACCATCAACCCGTGCGTCAACATGACCTGCCCGTCTGCAAATCTCCGAGCAGCGGTATTGTCATCTGATCACTACGACAGAGCATCTTTTCTGGCGCCGTCAACCTCTTCTAGCAACGGAAAGTCCTCAACAACAGCAAAATCCGGCTCGAATGGCTTATCATCCGGAGCCGTCGCTGGAATCGTGGTCAGTGTAGTCGTCCTCCTGCTTCTGGTCGCGGGCTTTATGCTCTGGCGACGATACAACTGGAGCCCATTTGGATCGGCCAAGCCAAGACATCGGGACATTTCCTCATCAAGATCCTTAAATGACTCTTTGGTGGACAGTCCCAACACCCCAGGATCGGGCCACACGGACTCACCTGCTTCCAGCACTCATTCGCATCTGAGCGATCCTCGCTCCGCGTTTTACTCGCCGACTTCAGCCTCCCCTTTACCTTCGTATAAACAGTACCAGTCTGCGGGCCACCATGGGCAATGGCACATGCCACAGACTACGCAACCACCGCCTCCTGTATTTCACCCCCACCGTGACATTTCTGGGACTTGGCCATTCCAAAGTCCCTTGTACGAGACACACTTTAGCCCGTCACCCAATGTCGGCCTTCAGAGTGCCTGGCCGAGCCACCAGCCAGTCCACGAACTTCTGGCTGAGGTCCAGAGCTCAAAGCCAGAACTTCCGGCGGAGGAGCGTGCCCAGGAGTTGAGGTCGTCGTGTGTCGTCCAGCCACTCCGTCCACCACCTCCTGTAAAGGGTCTGTTGCCAGATGGAATGCCGGACTCACCGACCTTGGGCCCGCCGTTAAGCCCCGATCGGGTGCACCCAAAAGCTCGGGCTGCCCTGGAAGGTCGCTCAACTGATGGCTCATCCACGGAACGCCGGAGCGCACAAGAGAAGAGCATAACCGAAACTCCGAAAACACGTCACGCCAGGGGCGGACAGCGTAGAAAGGGACAAGCGGATTTGTCGTTCGACAAGACAAATTTTATATGATACGAAACTGAAAGCATTATAAAAGTGGAGCTAGTTGAAGCAGCGTAGCATTTTTGGTGTAGCATTTTTTATCAGCGCGAAGGTGCGCATTGCTTTGTGAAGGGATTAGATGCCTCGATTTGATCTTCTATGCTTATAGACTGTTCACATAATAGCCGAATAAAATTTATGACGCCATGCAGTGCTTGAAGAAATAGACAACCTATGGACTTGAATGTAGTGCTGGAAGAATATTTGGACAGCTGTAATAGCGGCAGTATCGAGAACCACCTTCAGGCATGAGGGCCCGAAAGATGACTTGTTCTTAAACTAATTCATCGTTTAGTACTTAGATGGATAAGCTCGTTCTATTAATGTTTGGGAGATGTTGGTAGTAAGCATGTTTCAAGTGTTACCTGGCCTTCGAACCAAGATTTGAACTGATGAGTTTACGACCGCATGTTATGCTGACATAGACGGCCTTATTCATGGCTTTTAGGCCTTTCTGCCCTTATCTGGCCAACTGTTTCCGCCAAATCCGCCCAGGCTTTTGATCAATACTCGGACTGGGTTTGCGCCACCGACGAATGAGGACATGGCGATGAACAAGTACAAGAAGCAACCGTTTCTAGTGATGTACATAGTGTCGCTCAAGCTCTGTTGGCCTAAAATAACTTTGCTGTCTCAATGGTCAGAGGTTAGAAGATGGTTAGCGGGCTCACCGTCATTGAGCCAATGTTTCCTCCTTACTCGGCTGTTTCTGTCACCATAGATTTACTCACGGGACTCTCATACCTATCCATGGCAGTATGATACTTATGACACGGTGATACAGAGATGAAAATAATGTTATAGAGATCTAGAGGTCCCGAGGAAATTTACGTCTAAGCCTTTACCAATTGGGAAATTTTGACACCGGCAGTTACACTTTCATTTAGAAAACGGAGATTCGCACCCCCCAAATCGAAGGGTACACCCATACATAATCACATAATCTGCAACTTCACTACCAATGCCCTGCGTAACCTTTATCGCCACCAAACTCAACTTAATCACCTTATATCAACGCCATATTAAATTAATTAATTGCTTATCGGCATTAATTAATTTTGCAAAAATAATATTTAATTGCTTAAATCTTATTTCTTTTAACATTGCAGCAATAATATAAGTTTTAAATTACTCTTCTCTTAAGGCGTAATAACAAGCCAATTATTACATTATATATACAGCTAAAAAGCAGCATATAAAGGTTAAAAGAAATTATTAAGGATATTATTGGCAATAATAACGGCAAGGAAAGCATTTTAAATGAGATTATAATCTTAAAATACTATATAAGAAAGCAATTAACGCTTTAAAGAGTATAAAAAAAGCTATAATGGTGATAAAAATAACAATGGGTATGTTAATTATAGCGTTGCTAAGGGCAACTCAATGTTGCACCATACTAATTTGGGTATGGGGCGTTAAGCGTGCACTAGCTGCAGCATGTACGAGTGTACCCCCCGATTTGGGGGTTGCGAATCTCCGTTTTCTTCATTTACGACACGCGCTTTTCCTACCACAGACGTACGAAACTCCCACGATAATCCTTTCCTTTACAGGCTACCTCATTTCGTCCAACAATGACGCGTTAAAATTTCTCCAAATGCCCACCGTTCTTTTTTCTGACTTTCCAGGGACAGTCTCCCATTTCGGCCGCTGGATGCCCATGCGGAAGCGGGACACCCGGGATGCCCTCTCAAGCGACTCAGTTGGCACCCGAAGAACGGTCTCGCGGTAGAAAGTCTGGGTGGTCCAGTCGTACGAGCAGCCCACCGCCCTCTGCTTGCCGCCCTCGCTGCCGCAGAACAGGAGGACATTCGGCGGGCGGGCAGCCTCAAAGATGGTCACTTCCAGGTTGTAGGTGTCGACGAGCGTGAAAATCTGTAAGTTCTTGGTCAGCACGGGGATCTACTTAAAGCTGACAAGAGTAACACCGCTTACCCTCATATCCCCAGGTTTGGCCTTTTTCGCCGCTTCGACCTTTTGTTTGGTGTCCGCAAACCCGCACGGGTCTACGCCAACCCTTTCCTTGTGCTCATTGATTTGCGACTGGCTGAGCAGGCTACCATGGATCGACCACTTGAAACGGCCAAAGTTGAATCCGAATATAAGGCACTCGACCGTTGCAGGATTAAGATATCCTTCCACTCCATAAAAGGCCCCCTGGATGTCCTGTATCTTTCCGGCCAGCATAATGCGTACCAGTAATGGGTTGGCCAGGGCGGTGGCGAACCAGATAAGTAAGAAGAATACACCGAATCCGACATGGCAATAATAAGGAAGCTTGACCTCGCTCCCGACCTTATCGTACCGGTACTTGGGTCCCTCAAACCGTATCAGCGAATCAAGGCCGAGGTAGCTGAGTAGAATTCCCGAGGCGAGAAAAGTCCAGCCCAAGCGTACAAGGAATGAAGCAATCACCCTTTTCCACGAGGGACCGGTGGCGTGCCAAATGCAGTCAAATCTAGACCACTCAATGGTTGCGCCTCGGGCACCATCAAGCACGACTGTGTCGTGGTCACAAATGGCAGCGACTTGACATACAGGATCAATATCCCACAGCTGAGATCCATATGCATCCGTGATGTCCCACCATGGCTGGTTCGGCTGCCTTGGAAGCGTGCAGATGTAGCGCTCGAGAAGTTTATCGCTGTGGTTTGCGAGAGAAAGCCTGCCAGTACGTCTTAGGGCGACAGATCGCGAAAACAGCTGGGTCTCCAACTCACCTCGCGAAGGCTTGGAATTGACTGTCCATCTTGTCAATCGGAGGACGTACGCGCAACAGACCCATGAGCACATAAGCGTGGTCACCTCTAAGATACTCCGTAGTATGCCTGGCATAGAGACATCTCAGAGTCAAGACAGAGAGTTCTATCGTACTGAGATTTATGGTTCCTAGATAATGATCGATGAGTTCCCTTGAGATGTCAGCGTCACTTCCCCACATTCTGGATGCAACCTGGTTCTTTGGAATGATTTCTGGCTCGTTTAGATCGCCCCCACGACTGTACACCGTGATTTCCTGGCCTGGACTGAGTAGTACCTCAGGTAGTGTCCACATGCGCGAGCCCCATTGCTGGAGTGGATCAGAGGTCGATCTGGGATCATAGCTGTACTTCGACGGACCCACGGCAATGATCATTTTCTTAGCACCGCGTAGAATGTCTGAGATTCGGTAGACCTTTTGTATAGTCAGCTGCCAAGTCTATACACGCAAAGAAATACGAAATGGAGAGTGCCCACATCATTCTCAATTTCGTTCTCATCTCGCATACAACTGCCGGCCACCCAGAAAGCAGCAACCCCGGCTTTTCGGGCTGCAAACATTCCAATTTCGTGCAAGTCTATCATGTCCTGGTTGGTATCGTGGTAGAAATGCTCGCTAGAGTAAGCCACGAACACATATGACAATGTTCGAGCTGAATTTGCAGGCTCGCTCTCCCATTGGGCCACATCGATGGGTTCCCAGAGATCACTCGTCAGCAGACAGAGGTTGCGAGGCTTCAGCGATCGGTATTGGGACGTGGAGCCAGCGAGTTGAGAAAGCTCCCGTGGGTTTTCTAGGAGATTGCTCCACAATCTGGCAACCCCCCAGTACTTATGGGGAACCGGCGGATATTTACCATAGTATAGTTTGCTTGAATAGAGACCCCCAAAACACTTGACACCGGTTAGCCCAATGACGCTAATAGATTGTAGGTGTAGTCAGACCGACCACAGGGATTGTGGCCAAAGCAGCAGGAAAATTTCGCCACACTTGGACACGCCAGGTCGTCCAGCTCTTTGAGTCCTGTGTAGAGCCACTCGTCCAAATGGCCAAACGGACATAAAATGGCGACGGCTTTCGCACGTAGGTACGACACCAAGTAGTCACCCCGTGAGCCTCCTCGTACACATCGTCAGTACACTGGACGATGAGAGGGCAGAGCTCGCCAGTCCTGGGGTTGACGTGGGCATCATGACGTGGTAGCGTCTCGACTCGGTTGGCGAAGTCGCGATGACGATGACTGCTGTCATCGCGGTACTTGCAGCTATTGGTACGGTAGGCGAAAGTGAAAGCTGCCCAAATTCCATGATGCCTCCAGGTTTTCAAGGGAATCAGATCGTCCTTGTAGTGCTTTGGTGGTAGATTACTGGGGTAGACGGAAGGGGGAATTTGCGGTGGCATGTCGAACTCCGCAAAACTTGCACCCAGGAGCATGTTTTCGGCCATGGAACTGGTGTGTCTCTTTTGAGCTTTTTGTTGCCAGTATCGATAGTTGACTTCGTGTTCCTGTTGCGGTGCAACAGACACCCGTTGCTGTTGAGAAGACGCGTATCGCTGCACAGCATTGAACAGTCACTTGTACTTCAATATGCTCAGGAGTCGGTGTGCTTATTCGGAATCTCTAGACTACTGCATATGATTGGCCCAAAAATTAGTTTCCTGAGACACAGAGCAGTCCGCGAAGCACGGTATTCACGGAAAATAGCTTTGGGTGGTGGGAGACTGACAGCCGCTGGAATCCAGCCACCACGATGGCTCTCGGCTGCGGTCTCGACGACGATTGAGCGAGGCAGGGATTAGGAGCAATCGGGGCAGCAAGATTTAGCTTTTCCAGAAACGGTAACGGAAGAACTTGTTGCGAAACCGCAGCAGGAGGGAATGCTTGTCTTGAATAGGAGCCTGTCCGGACAGGGACTGCTGTGCCTTATCACCCTGCTGTTGAGGAGACTTTGGCTGTGTGGTCGGACGGAATGCAGCTGATGATGAAGAGGAGGCAGACGGTTTGGTTGAGTATTCTTTGGCCTAAACCGACGTGGTGTGCAATCTTTAGATTAAGCATTCAGAAATAGCCTTGTGGACGCGCATAACTTACCGCTGCCGGCGTCCACGAGCCGCCGTGCCTGGTTGTTTTGCTCGCCTTCAAATGTGAAGCGTATCAGCCGGTAAGAATTAAATAATCAAATAGTGGGTGCAGGCTATGAGGCGGGTTTTTCATACCATGTATAGCAGAGCCGTCAGGTATTGACTTGTGGTTCGTAAGGCGCTTGACTGGAATTATCTGACTGCCTTGGGCCGGCGATGCTAAGGGGCAGGGGATTTTATAGGGTAGAATCTGCCGGTAGGCACCGGCTTGACGAGCAGAGCGCCATCTGCCACAAAGCCTGCTGCGCCCCTGTCCGAGATCATCCAATCATTTTCGCCTTGGTGTGATGGGCAAAGCATTTTGGGCATATGGGCCGCGCTTGCATACACTGCACAGCCGCATCAGCTGGCCGTGACGTGTCATTGGAGCATGTCGAAATGGCGTTGAGCTTTACTGAATCAATATTGGAAGCGGTGTGCTACGCGACGCAGAAACACTCGTGGTTGCCTTACACTAGCACGGCAGACCCTGGCGAGTATTAGATACGTACTTGTCCGGGACGAATAAACATGCTGCAAGCTCAACTGATCCTTGATCATTCTTGAAGGCGGAGGGGGCCAGCGTGCTAGGATGCGAGTTGGCAGCTGTCATACTGGGTTACCTAGCTGTGACCCGCCCACCACACGGCTTACCTAGTAGGTATGTATCACAGCCCAGTACTAGTACTCCGGCTGTACCATAAGGCTACAAATGAGGAACTGAAAGCTGAAACTGTCCATCCGGCTTATCTATATCAGATCGTCTCCAACCGCTCACTAATTGGAAATCCACGCCCCCAAACTTCACACGACTTGAAGATTATTATCACCTCGACCCAGAATGTCGCAACTGTCTGCCGGTTCGACTTCGACATCACCATCTTTGCAGCCCTTTCGCCAGTCCCTGTTCGAAAAACCCTGGCACACTGTGGATTTGTGGGAACGGGGACCGTGCCCAAACCTCAAACACACGCCCAACGTCGAGTCTGCACACTTGGCCCAAGTCATTGATTCTGCTGCCAGCCTGCGTATCGTGTAAGCCGACTGGATCCGGCCTTAACAGCTTGAATTGTATACATTGTTCTGACGGACGTGAAGAGTTTGCCCCTCTGATGTCGAAGATGAGTGGCGCTCCTGCGCTTTGAGGCTTGTCTATGACTGCTTCCAAATTCCTGATGAGTTCGCCTTAGAGAGGGTACAGTCAGTCAGCCATAGCTTTGGGTCAAGCTCCGTCAACAACAGTTTTTGCTCCTGGTTTCACTATTTGTGCAGGCACATCCCCGCTCAAGGGGAGGGACTGGTTGGCTCGGTGGGATACTGGAAGGCCGGTTTCTTCATTCGGAGGTCTGCTTCCTTAGGAGTCACTCTTGTGTGTTTTGCGAGCCCGCCTACGGTCCTCAAACGGCTGGGGTTGTTCATTGACAGCCCTTCATGGTCCACCGCCTGCAAGACGCCCTATATACTATTCAACGTGATCCTGGGAGCTCTATTCCTGGAAGTGGATGAGACGGTCTGGACGATGGGTACCATCTTTAGTAACCTCGAGAGGGTGAGGTGCTATTCAAGATTCACTGCTTGAGGTTGCAACACGTGCATGTGATATGATGCTAACTATGAGCTCTCAGGACATTACCGATCACGTCGATGGGGGCTCCAACTACCAGAAACAGCAGTACTACAAGCCCCCATTCGGCACCCTTCACCGTTACGCGAACGATCTTGCCTACCTCAGGGAGACGGTAGACTCCAATCTGCTCGTCACTGAAGCCATTCTTGAACGCACGAGGGCAAGGAATATTGAGGATCCAGTTCAGGCCGACCTTCCGCCTACAGAGGATGATTTCCTCCGAGAAGGTTTGCTATACCACAAGTCCCTCTTTCGCTCAACGCAACTACGTCTCTCCAGCCTGGACAAGCGCATCCAGAATGCTAGCACCCTGGCCTTCAACATGGTGACACAACAGGACTCGCTCATCATGATGCAGGACTCGGCATCCGTGACCACCCTAACTGCGGTGGCCGCTGCGTTCTTGCCAATCACGTCCATTGCTACCATCATTGGCAGCCAACTGTTCGTCACCACCCAAGATGACAAGGGTAATTGGATAATCGTCTCCACTCCGCTGATTCGCTATCTCTACATCATTGGTGTCCCAGTTACCATCGTTATCTTCATCGTCTTTTTCCTCTGGCCTACTCGGCGCCGGTTAGGTTGAGGCAGAAGCGCCAACACTCGACCGAACTCATGTTTCATACTTACACTTCGGGAAAGGGGGGCGGGAGGACGACCTGACAGAGACGCAAATATTCGCATGGGTATTCCAAAGGACGGATCCAAAGTAGCTTAAGTTGCCGCAAAGTTTTCCTTACACGTATGTACGCTTATAGTTTACCTTGCTGTAACCAGTATGCTGGCCGCGCTGGGACAACTTTAAGCAGTCGAAAGAGGTTACAAGGTTTTGGGGTCCTCCGATTCTCTTCTCAGTGGCTACACTGCTTTAATAACATCAATCACAATAGAAATTACTTTGCATACCTTTGTTTCTAACTTGATGTAGCAGTCCAAAGCCGCGTCCTAGCCCTCCACACCGGCTGATGTCTCAATAAGTGCATGCGGCTCGTAACTGGAAGCTGAAAGAATTGGACGTAGTTTGGATCTTCACACACTGCACAAATTTTGAGTTTTTAGTAAATACATCCCAGGTAACTGGCCACTGCCCAATTCTAGACAGACTGGGAGGACGCGGCCACATTACCACAATCCTGGTTCGGAGTGAAGAGATACGGGAGTTTTGGGTGGGGCGTACGGGTGTCTGCCTTGATACGCAGATGCTTCAAGCTCGCACGGCACAGCCAGTCTTGGCTGGCATCTTCCTGTGCTCAAGTTTCTACACCGCTATTTTGTGGGTTCAGCTCAAAGTGGCTGCATAAGTGGAATAAGTGAGGCTTCCCGGCCACTAAACTAATTCTCGTCACACCTGATCCATGCGGACTTCGACAGAATCCGAGTCTAGATTCCCATTGATTGGGCAGGTCGACCGTATTGAGGTTGTACCCTCTATACCCATTCTATATGTTTCACCTAGGTGGCAGAAATCTAGCAGGAAATCCATCGACTACGAACACATTGTTGGCACATCTCGATCCGCATATGCGTCACAAAGAACGGTTTCCTGATTGGTTGTAGTATGTTACATTGCGTAACCATCTGAATTCTCAGCTTCAGCAGTGGCACGGATCCTGCCAACCATGAGTGCGTGTTTACGAAGTAGCGCGGTTGAAAGATACAAATCTGGGAGCGCACCAAATGTATGGTTTCTGTCAGCTCCATCGGCCGACGTTGATCGGGCTTCTCCGCAAAATAAAACGGCCTCTGTCAGGCGTCTTTCCCATCGCAAAACACTCTAAGCCTGTCAAAACGCATCCCCACTTTATCAGCCTCATACCATGACCAAATTCGCAGGCCCTTATGAGCGAAAGCGCTTCGTGGACCGTGGCGAATCTTTTGTCACCCGGGCAACAGTTGTTGGCTGCGTTCACGGAAAGATGAAGGGCGGCAATGACCATGCGACACATCTGGCCATGGATTTCAAGTTCTCACCTATGAAAAGCGATCGGCGAGCTCGCATGGTGACTACTATGCTTCAGTTCATAAGTGAAGGCAGGGAGCCGATCATAGCAGATGTGTAGCATTGACTTCGTCGTTCCTCTGGATGCATGTCTTGTCCAACGCCATCGCGCTTAGACTTATGCTGACAACACCTATCCCGCTACCACTTTATGTATCACCAGTACCAGACGTTTAAGTCTGCCTTAGACTGCTAGACAGTCATCAGTGTGTTCCATCACACAGCTGCAAGCGCATACTTGTGGGCATCCACTCACCCAACATGAGTCTGCAAGCCAGCTAGGCAGACCTCATCATAGCGAATTGAGAAATTCAGGGCTTTGTGGGGCGACTGAAAAAGACCTCGGGATGCAGCCTTACATTTGTAGCCACGTCGGGAAAGGAACAAGCCTCAGTGCCCATGCAAGTACAGGTGATCTATGTTTTGTCCCTGGCTGAATGAACCACCGGTCTCGTACTCATTACTGAATGCAAATGACTGCAAGATTTCAGTTCCATCCGGGTGTCTAAAAGAAATTCCATGGGGTGGGCGGGCTTCCCCGAAGGCTTGAAGCAACTCCGGCAGCCAATGCGCTTGCCATGGTTCTGCCATGACCACACGAAAACACCACGGGCAGGCTTCGACCTCTACTGGTGCCTCTGCTAAATATGCAGCATGATCATCAAACACAGATCTGGCACCCATTTTCAAATTGACTTGCTTGTTGTATTGTTTAGTTCTATTGTGCGGCTCATTTTAGGAGCACATACTAGATTGACAGACTTCAAAACCAATTGTGTGACCGACCCATCTTCCGAAATGTGACAATTTGTGCGGCAGCAGACCCCCCTCAACAATCAGGGCTACTTGGAGTGACTCAAACAGAGGCAAAGCGACTCATCGGTTCGATCTGGTGCCGAAGGTTACTGACTTGTCCATTCTAATGAGTACAATAGATAGATCTGGGGCTTTTATGTATCCTTAGGGTGCTTTGAAACCATTATGACGCCTTTCGATAACACTGTTCTTCCCTGCAAAGCGAACCTCTCTCCATTGACAACCAGTGTGCACCTGCTGTTTTTTCAATGCAGCTGCACCTACGGCCATCAGACTCGGTGCGAGGTTTCCTTGGGCACCACGGAATCACATAAAACCACACGACTGGCGAGCCACTTTCAAGTCAAAAGCACCTCACGTTGCTCACCTCTCAAACAACACCTCGCCGCCTTCTCCCAACTCAAACGCCTTTCCACACCTCCATCCAGTTCAAACATCATTTTGAACAGGACATGTCTTCCACAAAGCCTCATCCGGATCACGCCCCTCGGGAAGGCAAGAAGGAGGAGATGCCAGCAGATCCTCCCAGGGGCCGGACCAAAACCCCAGACCGCTCCTCACCCGGCTACCACGGCCGTGACAAGCAGGCAGACAGCAGATCTGTGAGCCGAGGCCGCACCCACAGAAGATCTCATCACTCAGATGGTCACGGAAAGGCCAACCTCCCGCATGAAGATTTCGTGTACCCTTCCCCCACAGGTGGTTTCTCACCGAAGGGACGACCGCCGACGTTTGCCGAAGCTGCCTACTTGTCTGACGCACCCCATCTCGACTACAAAACGCCCACCAGCGGAAGAAGACGGGCTTCTACGGCGATGAAGTCGCCCCAGCCCTCCCACATCAGGACAGAGATGGAAGCCGGGGTGGAGATGACCAAGGCCCGTGGTGGAGCTGCAGAGATGCGCAAGGACACCAAGGAGGGTTCTGGAAAAAGTGGCAAGGATTGATCCACATGGCGATCGAGGGGAAAGCACCTGGAAATTGGCGTTACAAGGGAAGTGTTTGCATCCAGATGGATTGGTTTGCCTGTCTGTGGTGTGTTTCTGGCTCAGAGGAGCAGAGTTGCGTATTCCTTGCTTTGGAAAAGTTCTTGGAAAGGGAGAAAGACATGTCTTGTGAGGTCAAGCGTTCCAAACGTTGGAGGGGAAATTCCCAAGGCTGTGAAAATTTTGGCGTGTCGAAAAAGGGAGGGATGAATTGATGACCAGCTCAGCTGATCACCACCAGTGGTCCAACTTGGCCGGAGTGACATCTGCAACAACTTTGTTCACATCAAGCAGAAGTTGGAGTCACAGCCCACCACGGTAGCCTACTTCCAAAAGTTCACTAGTGCTCATACCAAAGATCAATTTCACTCTCACCATGCACTGTGATTGTGGGTTTGGAACAAAGTCCAGAAGGTACATTTGTCTATGTCTAGGTACAGCCCATGCAGGAATGCAAAATCCGATATTTACAGAGAAGTGTTTTCCAAGCCCTCAAAAACCACCAGTGAGACCTCCTAAGCAGGAACGTACTTGCTGAGGATGTCCTTGTAAGCAGTGTACCCAGTGCCAGAGGGAGACTCCATGGAGTACATGTAGTCTGCCCACCAGGGACCAGCCGCCCACCACAAGGCGCCAATCCAGACATCGGAGTTCTCGACCATGTAGTCGAGCATACCCGTGACGGCGGTCTTGCACTGTTCGTTGTCACCGCCGGCGAGCTCGCCGATGACGCCGACCTTGTTGTTCTCGCGCAGCCAGGTGGTGGCCGCGGTGATGCGCTCCTTGCCGATGGTGGAGGAGACACACTCGGTCGATGTGCCGGACCCGTCGCTGTCGAGGTACTGGTGCATCTCGTAGACGAGCAGGTCATCAACAGTGTCGGTGATGTTGCCCATGTGTTCGCTGTTGCCGGACGTGGTCCAGGTCCAGGCGCCCGTGTACGAGGTGCCCTCGACGAAGATGTACTGGGTGGTGGCGCCGGCGCCGCGGACACCATCGACACAAGCCTGGTTGAGCTCGGCCGTCTGGGTGTCGGTGGTCATGTCGTGGGGCTCGTTGATGCAGTCGAACACCACCTTGTCGTTGGCCTTGAAGGAGCCGGCCAGGTTGGTCCAGAAGGTCTTGAAGTCCGCGTTGGACGAGATGATCTCGCCCTTGTAGCGGGCGTAGTTGTGGGGATCACGGCGTACTTGCCAGCGTCGGTGATGTAGTTGACGACGGTGGTGAGGTTCTTCAGGTAGTCGGCGTCCAGGTCCGCGGACAGGGAGGACTGGGCCATGCGCTCCGCCAGGAAGGGAATGCGGAACATGTTCATCCCCAGGTCGATGAGCGTCTGGATGGCGCTGGTGTCGGGGAAGATGTAGTCCGTGCCGTAAGCACCAGGCCAGTTCTTCTCTCCGAACTCGGCGCCAGACTCGGAGGTACCAAGGAACTTCAGGCCGCCGCTGGCGCTGCCGGACGACGAGTTGGAGCCGGACGAGGCGGCCCCGGTAGGAGTGCTCGAGGGCGCAGCAGCGGCGCTCGAGACGGCATTGGCGGCCGGCTCGGCCTCTGGGCAGGGTGCTCTGCGATGCGGACGGGCTCCCGGAGCCGCGAAGGCAGAGGCCGCGAAACCAGCCGCGAGGATGGAAGAAGTGACACGCATATTGAATGAATGTGTGTGGTTGGATGAACGAATGAAAAGCTGTGCCTGAGAAGGTAGTACCGCTAGGGAATGAGCCAGGCCAAGCAGCCAAGTGCAGAGCCGCGATGGTGGTATTTATCTTGAGGGCGCGAGGCGTGCCGTGTGGCCGTGTGGATTTAGTCGCCCGATAGGGCAACGGGGTGGCATGTCCGCGCTCAGGGGTGCGGCGACTCCTTCATCTGGGGAATTACACAAAATCACACTGCGAATGGCGGAAAAAAGCTTAAAGATCGAATCATGGGCCTTCCCCAAAAAATGACCGATTTGGCCGGCCCGTTTCGAAACAGCAAACACTCGTCATTGGGCGTTTACTTGAAACATCGGCTCGCCGGTGGATCTCATCTCATAAAAGGGGCTCTGCGATCCATCAAAGTGCCGGAACTCGGTCGCCGCGAAGGGGCAGAAGGGGTACCTGGGTAATTTCAACGGGACCAACACAATCCATCGCCGGCATTTATTTGGCTAGTACCGAAGTCTTTTGGCAGCCGAGCCTGCGCAAAGTTTTAACCTTGCCCTTTTTGCGCTGTCCGACTTCCTGCTCCTTCGGTTCGCATAATAAAGGCATTGCACCCTAGGAATAGCGTATCCGAGTTCTTTCTAGATAATCTAGGAACCGCATAAATAGACAATAACCAAGAATTACACAATCCAAGCTTTGTGGATACGTTACGAAGCGGTCAGTCAATACTGAACTATCTAGGACTAAGCGAACGCTTGGGCAATTCAATTGTCCTCTCCGTCGCGTTTTGCTCTTCCCACAATGAACCCATTCGAAATGAGCCCCCAGATGTCCCACAAGGTTCTGCACCGTCAAGGGATCACATGACAGGGGTAAGAAGAGAATGGATAAAGGCAAAAGCTTCTGGTTCGACACAACATGACGTGTCAATTGAGCACATTTAAGCATGACATACTGGCCAACGCCAAGTGTTCTCCCGGTGGGCTGCTTCTACGGAGCTCGGTGGGAACATGGCGGATCTATGACCAATGGCCTGCTTTATGTGGGAATCGCCTGTCAGATGCTTAAAAGCTGCACAGCATCCAAGCTTGGCTTACCATTTTTATTGCTAAAGGAGTGGCAACGCAACGACTCTCGAACAAGCAAGCAAGCAGCCTCGGACCAGCTTGCCGCGTACATTGTAAGTTAGTGGTATCATTGTGCTTGCTCCGAGATTATGTTTATCCGTGCTATCTCGAGAATGTACTTTCTCTTCAAGCCCCTGGCTAGGTTAATGACACACGATAGGCTCGGACTGGCAGATCATTGTGATACGTACACCGAATGTGACAGCCCTGATGTAGTTGCAAAGAGGACTTTGGGTTTGGTCAAACGTTTGCGTTGCTTATGTGCATAAATAATCCAAAGAGTGGCGGTAGTTCCAAAGGCTCCGAAAGAACATTACAAGTATTTGAGTAGCATTTTATGGAATTCCTTGCACGTATGGCACTACCTCCAGTTTAAGACGCAATGAATCAGGATACACAATGCGTCAGACTTAGAAGGGACTTCAGCCATGGCTTTTACCTAGGTGACACAAGTGCCAGTGGAACCGGGACTTCACGTGCGCGAAGATTGATTAAATCACTTCGTCTACAAGAGCCAAGCTCTTGTAATTCAATTTAAACTTGGTCAGAAGTATTCCAGTGCTCATGGATACCATTCGAACTTTTCTCCGCGGACGTGTTTTTTGGTAATTAGCAGGTCTTTTTCTTGACAAGATAATGGAAAGCATTCAGCCCCCTCAGTCACGTCTGAAAGCGTTCGTACGTACGAGCGCAACACGGAGACTATCTATTTCCAGTGTCGAAGTGATGTTGCGATCAGTTGTTCAAGATCAGGCTCTCTTTTTGTATCCTCTGACTTCTCGACCGTCAGGTCGACAGAGCCTTCTGAATGCTATTCCCAATCGAAGGTGACTCTTGTTAGCAATTTCGAGGTGAACCAGAATCTGATTGGATAACTGGCGAGTCCATGATCCGAAGGAATGCTTCTGTAGGGACACTCCTGCCAAGATACGCTCTGATTGTCGAAGAAAGTTTCAATTCTTTCGACCAACTCTGGATTTACTGATACCCTGTCAAATTTTAAAAGCACTGTAGGAAGAGGTGTTACAGATGACAGGTCAAGGCAGCACTGGCTGTTGAGCGCCGTTCAACAACGAAACCCGTCGCACAACGAAATTTCCCAAGGCAGAATTCTTTCCTCATTGTGTCCTAGTCTGGACATCCATCACGACCAAGTGAGTAGTGCCATATTCCTATGTGTCAGATAATAATATAGAGATGTGATGTGCATGATGAATAGCTTGATTTATGATACGAGCATCCGTCTGATACGTGTAGGTTGCATTGGTCATGCTCGCTGGCCAAGAAGGCCAACCATGAAAGTGGCGGTATGTGCCAGTGGTGCTTGATGCGGATAAGCATTCGGGATGTCCTGGTTGACGCGAAACATCACGGCCATCTTGCGACTCAAGACAAGGATCATGTTACCTGAGCGCACCGACTGACGAGTGTAGCATTCCTGGCCTCTGAAATGCACAAAACGACATGCGACACCCTGCTCTCACGATTCCGTAAACTTTGCCCTCCAATGGTTCGTAGGATGTGGTCGCATGTTGCACTGTGATGTTTGTCCGCCAAAGCGACGACACTCATGTGGGAAAGGACTAGGATAGGAGATCAAGAGTGGTGATCCTTCGCATCACGCAGATCAAGCTGAGCCAAGCCGTCTCGTCTCATCTGTCAAACGGGTGTCATCTGGCATTTTCTGTATCACCTGTCAACTCATTTTCAGACCATAATACAAGCATACAGGGTTCAGACGAAACTTCACCCCATGCGGAAGTCGGGGAAGTGCTCAATCGGGCACGACGGATTTCTATAAAGACGGTCAGCCAGCTCTCGAAATGCAACCCAAAATCATCCATCAACCCATTATTCTTTATCATACCCGAGTGCATTCGGCTCTTTCGTACACCTCACAAGGCGCAAAACATTCCTTGCACACCTACTACTCAGAAACAATCTTTCATCAGGATGCAGCTCTCCACCATCGCTTGGATCTTCGCGGCCCTCATGGCGGGGCAAACACTCGCCACGCCAGCCAAGAAAGCCGGTACGTAGCTATCAGCCGGGTGCCTCTTTGATTTGACTCGCCCGTCTGCCCATATGCTGATAATGAGTGAGCAGCCACCGACGGACAAGCATGCACCGGCTCTGTGTCCAACCTGCAGCATGACGGTGTCTGCAAAGCCGGGAAGTGCAACATTGAAATCACTGGGAATGAGCTGGACATTGTGGCCAGTGACGACTGCGCATAGAGAGCCCACAAATCAGGAGCATGTTCAGCTGGAGTCACTCGTTTCCATCCCCGTGCGGGTAAACTTCTGTCGAGAACACGGGGAACTGTTGATAATTTGTAGATCGACGGTGCTGTTTATACCTCTACTACACATGATTACTTGTCGCTTTTATTCATGAGCCATGACACACACCTGCTCGAGTCCAGTGCCAAATTGACTACCATTGTTTTTGCACGGGAGCAGCGAGCACTGGACCATACGCCCGTGGGCTTGTTGCATGATTCCACACGAGTTCAAGTGTCCCAGGTGCCCACAGTCTTGACGGCTGAAACATTTATACGGAGGTAAGTCAGGCGAAGCGAGTCATTACACTGACCTGGATCTTGCTGAGAAGCAACAAAATTATTGTTAGTAATCTAGCTGGATATGTCACTTGTACGCAGCTCAACTACTCGAGTTACTTATGGATCGTGCATGGGATCGCGAGGTGCTCAGTTACCTACCGTGTGGTGCCAGCCCTCCGAGAGTTCGCCATTTAATTCCTGACTCGGCATTTGCTTCTGCATGTGCATCTGAACTTTTTCAACGTCTGCTGCATTTGTCCCAAACTTTTGAACTTGGTAAAAGCGTACTGTGCACAGCATCGTCGGCAGTGCTCTTTTCCCTGATCCCCCACAATCGGGAATCTTTACCCCAGATTTCGGGGGACCGCCCTGCAAGGTTGCGGCCACGGGGAAAATGACCCCTTCAGGGCAGAATGGGGCCAAGACCTGCCCGCCTTGAGCCAATTCGGCCAACGTTTCCGCGCGCCTGGGGCGACGGGATGCAACCCATCCCGGCAGTACTCACCCTGTTGCTCCATCGGCGGCTGCGTTGCTTGGAATACTGTGGTAGAGAGGGCAGGTTAGGCGTTCCGCATGTGCTGCGATGCCCGTGCGACGCCGTTGTAACCACCCCTCGTCGGAATTATGAGGAGGTCGACGTCATGTCGGTGCTCTTGCTGAGGCTGGGCGTACGGTGTATAAGTACTGGACGATGGACCGCAAGTTTGCATGGGCACGACGTGCAGTGGTGACACGCTCGCTACCGTTCTTGCAGCCCCCAAAGTCGTCGCCTGTTTCGCCCGCGCAGATTGAACCCTTGAGCCGCGGAATCTTGTGCTGCATGGCCCAATTGAGTGAAAGCCTCCCTCCTCGATCTCATCTTTGTTGAGCCATCCTTTCCCCTGCATGGTTTTGTCGGGCTCTCGCACACATTCTTGATTATCCCGCCTGAAACTCATTTATTTACCCGACTGAAGATACGGGAACCGTGACGATATCTGAATCGTGTGATTCGTTATCGTGATTGAAATAAGACGGACCGGAAGGACCACCACCACAATACCCAAGATGGCATCCCCCGGGACGAAACCCGTGGTGCTGCACATCGGCGACCCGATAAAGTACAACCCGGAGACGTACAAGGCCTTCTCCTCCGCCTTCGACGTGATCCGCCCCAGCGCCGCGGAGCGCCAGCGGCCAGAGTTCATCCGGGCGCTGCGGGAGCGCAGGTGGGGCGACTTCGCCGCCATCTTCCGGCCCTTCTGGTCCACGGGCGGCGAGATGGGCAAGTGGGACGCCGAGCTCATCTCCCTGCTCCCCGCGAGCTGCCGCGTCTTCGCCAGCGCGGGCGCCGGCTTCGACTGGGCCGACACAAAGCTGCTCGGCGAGAGAGGTGAGTGTTGATAAGGACCCCCCCCGACACAGGCACACACACACCAGTGGCTAACGCAGCACGATAACAGGCGTCATCTACTGCAACGGCGGCCTGGCAGCCGCAGAGTCCGTGGCCGACTTCGCCGTCGCGCTGGTGATCAGCACGTTCCGCCACCTCGCCTGGGGCATCGCGGCGGCGACGGTCCCGACCCTGCTTTCTGACAGAAGCGGCAGCGGCAGTGACCGCTCCGCGGCCGAGGCGGCCTTCCGCTTCTCGCACGAGCACGAGGTCTTCCACAGCCGCAACCCGCGCGGCCACGTCCTGGGCCTCATCGGGCTCGGCAAGATCGGGCAGGTGATCGGCTCCAAGCTGGGGAACCCCTCCATGGGCATGCTCCTGCACTACCACGACGTCGTGCGGCGCTCCCCGGAGGAGGAGGCCCGCCTGGGGCTCACGTACCACCCGACGCTGGCGTCGCTCCTGGCCGCGAGCGACTGCGCCGTGCTGTGCACGCCCGCGAGCGCGGACGGGAAGCCGCTCATCGACGCCGCGGCGCTGGCGGCGTTCAAGCCGGGCGGCAGGTTCGTCAACATCGCGAGGGGGTCGCTCGTGGACGAGGACGCGCTGGCGGACGCGCTCGAGAGCGGGAGGGTCAGCGCCGCGGGGCTGGACGTGCACGCCGACGAGCCGAGGGTGTCGCGGAGGCTGCTGAAGTTCGCGGGCGCGGAGCAGATCGCGGGCGCCGGGGCCGAGGGGGGCAAGATCGGGCCGGACGGGAGGGCCGTCAACCCCGGGCGGGTGCTGCTGACCTGTCACAACGCCGGCGGGACGGTGGAGACGCACATTGGGTTTGAGGAGCTGGCCATGAGGAATATCATGGCTGTGCTGGAGGGTAAGAAGGCTATCACGCCGGTGAATATGCACTTTTTGAACAAGAGGGATAGTAAGTTGTAGTTGTGGGGGCAAGGGAGGGGTGAGGCTGGTGAAGGATGCGATTATCAACGAGAGGGGGCATGAGGCAAGTGGGTCCTGCCTGGTGACCTACGGTTTATGTGACATGTCACTTCGTCGAGGCAAAGCCATTGAGAATGAGAGGTCGGAAAAGCTCATGTCGGAAATATTTATCATGCATATCTATGGACAGTCGCATCATGTTCGTGCATCTTCATTATCGTGCTGCATCACGTCGTTCCGTCTCCCGACCTGCAACCCGTCACACTCGCGCTGTGTTTTCTTGCCTGGAAACCTCTAACATTTCAATTCATCTCCTACATCCCCCGCCCGATGAAATCCAGATCGGGCCCAGGAGCCTGAGGAGCCGGCGGCGGCGCGTCTGGATATCGCTGGCCGGAAGATGGGTGGTAGCGGTGCGATCGGACATTCCCCGTCGGGGCCTGTTGCTCCTGTGCCTGCGCCTGCTCCAATTCCTCCTTCTCTGGGTCCCGCTCTTCGGCTTGCGACTGCTGCTGCCTTGCTAGCCGCCGTTTGCTCACGTCGCGACAGAGCGGGAGCTGCTGCTGCTGCTGCACCGGCGAGGAGGACTGGCGCCGGTTCCTGCGTCGCAGGGGGCCGTGAGTCGGGCGACGGCTCATTTCGGTCGTCATCGATGTGGAAGTGGAAGTGCTGGTTTACAGGAGCCTGTGGTGCGGCTGCCTGCGAGCGCTGGTTGTACGTGGCGGCGCCTGGCTCATTGGATGCCCGGTTGTCGTACGACCTCCTGTTGTCATACGACCTGTTGTCGTACGAATTCCTGTTGCTGTAGGACCGCTCGTCATAGGCCCTGTTGTCGTTCTTGGTGTTGTTTTTGTTATAAGTCTTGCTGTGAACGTTCTTCTCCTTCTTGGATTTCCTGTTTCCACCGCAAATAGACAGGGTGAACTTGTTGTTCTTGCGCATGAGATACCACAGGAGAAGCGCCAGCAGAGACAAGAAGGCGATCCCGCCCACGACGCCGCCTGCGATCGCACCCGTGTTCGTGCTGCTTCCCCCATTTCCTCCACCACTGCCACCGCCAGACCCTGCGCCCGAGCCCGCGCTGGCGCTCGCGTCGCTCCCAAGCACGGACGTGACCGTGGATGTGGACCCATCTGCCGCGGTGGTAGTAGCAACCACGGTCGATGGCCCGTTCCCGCTCCGTGACGCAGCCTCGGCCGAGGACCTGGAGGCCGCCTCGGCGCTCGAGGAGGCGGCTGACTCTGATGATCGCGACGCGTCGATGATAAACTGTGGCTCGTCCAGCATGGAGATGAGGGTGGCCGTAGGGAAGCACTTGAACATGGACCGCGCGGGCGTGCCGGTCCAAACAAAAGTGCCACACTCGGGCTGGTCGGCGTTCTGACAGCACCCCGTCTGCGGCCCCGCGGATGTGCATTTACTAGACTGCACTGCTTCGAAGTTGAGGCAGACGGTGTAGAACTGCTCCAGTCCGTCGGTGGCGCAGGCGACGACATCCTCGGTGTTGGTGGAGCAACTGAGCGGCGACTCGCACTTGTATGGCTGGGAGGAGATGCCTGAGTACCAGCCACAGGTCTGGTCATTCTCCCAGATGTTTTTTGATGACGAGGATGAGTCTGTCCTCTGGCGCCGATGTAGTAGCAGATCGACGACTGCCTTGGATGGTGGTGGTGTTGGTTGAGGAGCGTATTCCTGGTAGTCTTGGACGTCTGGTGGTTGAGTTGGGCGTGAGAGGTCGCCGCCTCTGAGGTCTATGACTGGGTCTGGCGCATAGGCGAGCCATCGGGCTGAGACCTGACAGCTCAAGGCTGATGATGTGAGTATAGTTGATGGCTTCATGTTGTGTCAGGAAGTGGGTGAGTCCTTTGTTCTGTTGTGAAGCCTCGGCTGGAGAAAGGAGATCCAAAAGAGCAAGTCGAGCCCGAAGCTGGCGGGTCCAAGGCAACGCTGTAACTTTATATTATGTGGGCAGAAACAAAGGATCTATTCATATATTCATGAGTGCCTTTTATTGGCTTTCAGATGGCGTGTACGTGCGCCTGAATAGATCATAACAATGCAAGCAAGCAATTGTGATGGAGGCAAGCGGGCCAGCAGCGGGCGGGAATGCGGGCGGCGAGGCAAAGACGAGGAAAAATAGGATGGTTAGGGATTGACAGGCGTGTGGGTCCAGCCGTTCAATGCCTGGGGGACGGAGCTTATTTTCGGCGGCGAAGGCCTGAATAAGGCGCAGTCGAGGACGTGGATGGATGGATGAATGGATTAAACAATAGACAACAGGCGATGAATAGACAATGCCATTGAGTGACACAGGCGCCCCAGTCAGGAAAACACTCGAGAAATGGGGTGACGAGATGAGCTGGGAGCCTGCACTCGGTCGTTACAGAACACAGGAAGGCCAGCAGGCAGTCTCGCAGGTGACAGACGAAGAGTCAGGGATGTGCGTGAGAACAGAGCGAGATGTTACCGTCGCCGTCGCCGTCGCCGTCGCTGTCGCTGTGCCTTGACAACAGGAGGAGCAATGCAGGTTAGAAGAGGAAAGAGTCAAATCACCAGCAACGACGATTCAGCCGGACAGGCAGGCAGACGGCCAGAAAAAGACAGCGGCTGCTGCTGATCTATTCCGGGTGGTGGGCGTCCCTGTTGTCTGGGTAGCCGCCAGGGTGGGTTCATTGGCATCGTGATTCGAGGACGGCGCTTCGCACCTTGCCGGCACCCCTGGGCGTTCGTCCGATTCACGCGTTGGTGCAGCGCGCCTGCGGACGGGTGCCTGGTGCCAACCGCCCAAAGCGTCTCTCTGCCAGATCACCAGTCTGCCATAACAGCTTGTATTCTCCACTGCATCGCTGGCATGGCTCATACGGGCTGAGTATGCAGTGGATTGATTGAGTTGGGGAGGACATATCTAGACCGCAGTGCCACCCCGACGCGGCCTCGCGCTCATCCCGTGTTCTGCACCAAACATCGAACTAACTATCCCATCAAGGACTTCCTGCTTGCACCTACCTGTGCCCCCTCACTGGTACATTGTACTGCGGTAGCTGCGATCAAGGCCTCGAAGCTCTCAACGGTAAGCGGGGATACCTTGGGAATCTCCATGCTGGAGTGGACCGGATGTTCGTGGAGGCTGCCGTCACACAGATCAATCAGGCGCCTTTGCGTCTGATAGCGGTTGTCGAGGATGGTTGCAGCGCTCACGGCCTGGGTGGCGGTCGACTTTTGGGCCTGAAACTGGAGCGGGAGCTTAAACGCCAATCGCTCTGTTCCCTCGCATGTGCTTGGTATTGACCCCTGGTTGGCGACAGGGTGGTTATGTCAGCTCGATTGGCGTACCACTGAACGTCTGCCATCGGTCATGAAATTGCATGAGCACAAAGCATAAGTCAAATGTTTGAGAATTTTGCAGTCTACCTTTAACCACAGACCGTTTTCTTTTCATCTGACACATGTACAGACGAAAACACACAGTTGAGGTCGCTCCATACGCTCCATTGCTTGTGACAGGAATTTTGGGGGGGGGGGGGTTGTTATGTCTTGGATCCCATCTTGGAGAGGGTTCGGGTATGCCTCGACAGTCACACACCGGATGAGGTGAGTCGAGGCGAGCTGTGAGACATCACGGTTCAACGCTCTCCCAAGTGGTGACATCGAAGTCATGGTGCGAGTCACATCCTGGATTGGTCCAACTATCGCTGGGAGGATACGACGCACTTCGTACCACAGCAGTCGCTGAGCCATCCGGGTCAGTTACCCACGTCGATAAGTTGCCAGCGCCAGTCAGCGTCCTGCTAAGCAGGTCATCGCGGTGGCATGCTCCCTCATCGAGATCTAGCTGAGCTTTTCAACGGGATCACCAAACCGCCTTATCAATTTTGAGCTCCAAAACATCTTGTGTAGGCGGCGGTGACCACTTCTTCCTGTGATCACTACCGTGCCTGGTCCCTTGAATGTCGGATAGCCACGTTGTTTTACTGCCCGCGAACAGGTCATAGCCACATCATCATCAGCCCTGATGATCTCTTTGTCTTCCCTTCGTGAGCCTACATCCTGAACACTCAGAGTTGAGTAGTATAGACATACGCATAGATTATGACGTTTACTTGTCTCTTGTTTGGTGTGTGCCCTAATCGGGCCATGGACTCATGAGCCAGCTCCCTGCTTGAGCACGCCGCACTGAGGAATGCTCCTGTCTCAGACCCTTCCGCCCTCAACCACCAGTCGCTAAGACATTCCCTAGGAGCATCGCTTCCAACCTCATCACGGCTCGAGGTCACTGCTCGATCCGGAACTCATCACTATGAAAAACAATCTTTTTTGGGAGGGCTTCCCTCGAGCGGCGGGGCTCTCCCAATCTCCTTTCCTCTCGAGCTGGCGAGCGCTGCATCTCAAATCGGATGCTTTCTACAGCCTTGACATGTTGGGCCTGGTAAGTGATTGAGTGCTCAACAACATGGAAGTACAGTCACCATCGCCAACAGCCAGCACCTACGACTGTGTCTACGACAAGGACAGCGACCAATACGTCCTGGAGCAGTCCCCGTATGCGCCGCCCACGAAGCTGCACTGGGTCGTGCTCGCGAACCTGGTGCTGCTCTTCATCTTCTGCTTCATCACCATCCTCACATCCGGGCTCGTCTTCGGCCACAACGTCGCCTCGAACGACTGCCTCGGCCAGAGCTGGGTCATGTTCTCGGTACGTCACATCTCACAACGTCCCCGCGGCTGCTTTTGGATAAACCACACCACCCTGCATGAACAGCAGGCCGGACAACAAACGGCTGCATCCTGCATCCTGCAAGCCGTATGCTGTCTCACGGGGAAAAACTTTGGTTAACTAACCCCCTTTTGTAAACAGTCAATCATGGGCTTCCTGTATGTCGCCCTCCACCTGCACGCCGCGCGTAAGGGTGAGCTGGTCAGCCACGTCCACCATCCCACCTTCCAGCAACCCCTCCAGTCCTCCGCCATTGTCGTCGCGCGCATCGACATTGTCGCCTGGGCGGTTTCCCTCATCATCGTCTCTGTGTCCGTCTCAAAGGACGCCGCGGCCGTCTCCTGCGTGAATCTTGTTGCGTGTGCCTCTGCGACGTAAGTCCCACCTGCCTGCCCTACAGGGCTGTTTTTTGGGGGGGGAGATGGGGGCCAAAGCTTGTGATACAGTGGAATTGTGGATACTTGCATCTAGATCCCTGAGGAAGGCCCACCGGTTGATCCGGGGATGTCGATCATTGCAGCAGGCTGGGCTGGGCCTTGGCAACGGGCAACGGGCAAGCAAACGAGCAAATGGAGTGAATTAATATAAGATGGAGAAAGAGTGAGAGGGAGAAAAGGAAAGGCTAACAGACAAAATTCCTCACAGACCTACACTGATCTTCCTCATCTGCGTCGCGGAAAAAGCATCGCGACCGTTTGATCTCCCCTACATCACCGCACGGTACTCTCGAGCCCCGAGCGTCGTCACCTGCCGTGTCTCCGCCCTCATGGCAGCGATGGCGTCGATGCCCGAGGTCACCTCCGAAGACAGCATCTCCCGGCGCGGGTCGGCCGTCTCACGGCCCCGCAGCCAGAACAACATCCACGGCCAACGGGCAAACTCCCACACCCAGCACGCGGCAGCCATCGCGGCGGCGACCACCGCAACCAATGCTGGTGCCACAGCAGCAGCAGGGGCGGGAGGCCCACCTGGGCGGGCCGAGGGCTCCCCCGACGAGCCTGAAGGACTCCCGCTCCTGGTCCTTCACACGCTACGACGACAGGACCAAGAAGCAGCTCGCCGACTCGGTGAGCGAGGCGTCGCAGACCTCAGACACAAGGCCCCGCCTCGGTGGGCCGAGGCCGCTGGCCACAAGTGACATCGCGGTCAAGACGGGAGTGTTGCCGCCGCCGATGTGCACGGAGCCCAAAGAGGCACGGCAGCAACCTCAACAACAACAACAGCATCACCAGCAACAACAACAGCAACAATCGTACCAACAATACAGCACAGATCCCGAGAAAACAGGCTCGGAAAACGGCGGAGGCGGCGGCTGGAAGAGCGACTGGTGGGCCCTCCGGACGGTAGCGGGGTGGGTCAGCCCGGCGGGGAGCGGGGCCACGACGCCCGTGTCGACACCCGGGGTGGGGCCGGGCCCGGGGCCGCTGGGCAGTCGGTCGAGGGCGCGGCTGTCGACTGTGGCGGAGGACTGGGTGCCTGCGGGTGGTATCAGTGGTGGCGGTAGCGATGGCGGCAACGGGAGCTATCACCATGATGCCTCCTCGTCGCCTACCCGGCCTCCACTGCTGAGGCAACCGAGGGACCAGGGCCACTACGACGTGCACTCCGTGGACAGGGCGGCCATTCCGACGCCTCCCCCGCCTTCGGCGGTGGCGGGGACTGGTGGTAGCAGACCGGTGCGAGCGCCGACAGCAGCAAGGGTGAGGCTTATTCGGGCTCAGGAAGCGTTGAAGTCGCAGGCGAGGGCAAAGTCCGGGCCGACGGTGATGCTGACGAGGCCGGTGCATCTGACTGGTGACCGCAGAGGGGTTGGCGAGGAAGACCGACTGGCGCCCGCGAGACCGCCGCTGCAGAGTAGCTTGAGCATTCCGGGTTCGTACGTGGAGTAGGACCAAACCAGGCAGAATGTGAAGTCAAAACGGGGGAAGCAAATGGTGTGGTTTCGCAAAGCATAGCAACAAATAATTCCAGCCTCCGTGGTGATGGCTCTCTATAATCTATACCCATGACGCCGTGCAATGCTACAAACCAATCAACCACACAGCTGCAAAACCAAAAAAAAAAAACACAACAAGGCGAAGCATCCACCTGCCAGCCACCGTTTGACAATCGTGCCCACCATCACCTAGGTGAAGAAGTGCGACCCGTCCTGCAGCATGCCGATCTCGGGGCACCACTCCATGGCCTCCTTCTTCTGGTACTCGGTCAGCCAGCGGAAGGGCTGGTGGTAGCCGAGCGGCTTGTCATAGTAGACCGTCTCGACGGCGAAGGTCATGGCGACCTCCTGGTCCGGCAGGTGGGCGCCCCGCTCCTTGAGCTTCATGTACAGCCACTGGTCCTCGAACTTCATCCACGCCGGCTTCCTGGCTGGTGGTGGGGCTTCTTTGCCCTCTTCGCGCATCGCAACTTTGTCGTCTGCCCTGCCTTCACCCCGGCCTGAGCTCGGCTTCTTTCTTAGGGGGTTCATCCTTCTTGGGTTCTGCTTCCTTCTTTGGCGGCTCCCCCTTGGATGGTTCCTCCTTAGGCGGCTCTTCCTTCTTGGGTGGTTCTTCCTTCTTAGGCGGTTCCTCCGTCTTGGGCGCCTCCACCACCACCTCATCGGCAGAGTCCCTAGCAAAGTCATTCGCCGGGTCCCTCACGACCTCGAGCACCAGCTTCGGGTTCCGCAGGCTCAGCCCCCCGTTGTAGCCCACGCCGTACTGCGGCGCGACGGGGGCGCCGACGAGGTCCCACTCGAGGAAGTCGTCGATCGCGCGGCCGCTGTTCCCGCAGACGACGCTGTCGGCCTGGAAGACGAGCACGCGGCCGGCGCTCTCGAACTGCTCCCAGAACCAAGGGCGGGTCAGGAACACCGAGACGGATCGGTGGTCGGGGAAGGTCGTGTCCGCGGGCAGGAAGTAGATGTGCAGCCGCCGCTCGGCCATGAGGCGCCGCAAGGCAGGGCTCGCGGGCTCGACCCACTTGTCCTTGCGCGTCAGGAGGACCACCGGCCATTTGGGGCCCAGCACTGCTGCGAAGTGCAGGATCACGGGGACGAGGTTCGGCACGCGCGCTGGGTCGGTTTCCATTATCACGGCGACGTTGTCTGGGAATGGGACCTCAGGGGGAGGAGGCGGTGGGGGCGGCGGCGGTGGCGGAGGGGGGTTGAGGGCGTGGTGCAGGGCGTCGACCACGAAGAAGTCGTCGCCTGTGCCGACTATCGGGGGCCCTGGGGGAGGTGCAGTGTTGGTCGGGCTCGAGGTGGTCTCGGTGGTGGTTGTGTGTGAATCTTGCTGCTTGGCGCTGCTGCCGACGGGGATGAGGCGGAAGGTCGAGTTGGCCTGCGCATTGGGGTCGTGTCTGTTAGTATTGGTGATGACGGGCTTGTCAAGAGGGAGCGAAGGGGGGAAAGGGGGTCCCAAAAGGGGGGGGGGACGAACGCCAGAGTTGAAGAGTCGCGATGTTCCCAGGACCCAGATGACGACGAGGGCGGCTCCTGCCAGGACGACGAGCCTGAAGCCGCGGGTGCGGGCGACACTGAGGCCATACTCGTCCACGCCTACCATATTGTGCTGCGTCTTGTCATATCATGTCGTGCTGGACTGAGTTCGGATTGGAAGCCGTGAATGGTGTGGTTCTTCGAACACGTTGCTTGGATCTGCAGCGACGTAAGGTTTGGGGGGTGGTTTGGGTTCCGTACAGTGCTCGTGGCGGTCGGAGGATTGCGCGGCTTGTGAAAAGGGGTGGAGCTGTCCCTGTCGCATCAATCCCTCATCCAGCATCCATCAACCAAACCCACCCGGCCGCGGCCCGGGTAGCACGGCAGCACGGATGCTAATTTTGGATCATTATGGCCAACTGCGTCTTTGAAGATGAACTTATTAGTTCTTTTATTTTTCTCGTCCCTGCTCATTCACTATACCTTGGTATTCAAAGGTAACCCCTTATCCCGATTCTGTTTATGACATCTGCGGAGCAATATTCCTATCCCCGAGTCTTTCCCCTTGCTAATACAAAAAATTATATCAGTATGGTCTAGCTCGATAATCAATCTGTTGCCAGGCTCTAAATGAAATATATATGCTTCACGTGCACGTTAAATTATAAACTCCTCTGAGGTTCACAACTTCAGCAGCGTACCAGGTAGTCCAAGACACACGTCTTTATGGGCTGCGACCGACCGCAATATACATGCACGTATCATCCTGAGAAGGAGGGCAGACTGAGAATGTCCAAACTAGCCGTGACCTCAATTCTGACGGACCGGTGCCAGGTGCAAGTCTTGAAGTCAGGCGTAGTTCACGCCGCTCTGCCTGAAGCATGGGAGCAATGTAGACGATTTCGTAAGCGGATTCCAGCGCTGTCGCGAAAGAGCAGTATTCGAAAGGTATTTGGCATTACCTCGGTCAGGTGCTCAAGCTATTCGCTACGTGCAGGTCATAGTAATGGATTGTGAACAGACAGACAGGCCGTGTTGTTCAGCCCTTTTGCGCTGGAGCCATCCGTTAGCTTTGCTAGGTATCTGCTTCTATCTTCACGTCCTGACCGCAACGTTCTTCTTTAATTTCCATCGTGCAATCTCAACCATCAACCATTGCACAATCCTCTGGGGATACGCTGAGGAGATAGCACCGCCCATTCTCGAGCGTGTGGCACAGGGAGAAACGATGGGTGGGACATCTGTGCGGAGGATAACTAGAAGATTCGATGAGGAGGTCATTCCCCAGTCCCATCATCCTGTCCATTGGGTCGGCACTCCATCGTCAACTCATTCAGGAGCTCCCCTCCTCGAAGAACCTCCCACCAGCTACTCAACCTCGGCATTCACAGCTTGGAACCACTCCGCTAAATGGCACCGATCGCAAGCTCGGGTCTCTTTCCTGCTGCCTCTATTCGTCAAAATATTCGTCAGAGATCTCACAAGGTCATCGCGAAATCTAGTGACAGGGTCTGGTTTGGTAGGACTAGCGAGCGCTCGTATCAGGCACATAGCACCAGCAGGGCTGAACAGGTGAACCGCTCTCATAGTAACTCCCTAGTGAGCCATAGCGGAAATTGGCCGTGGCACCGGTAACTTTCGTCCATCCTCTCTGCGGCCTAGGCATATGTTTCGTCTGCTCGTATGCCTCTCTTTGGAGCCTGTCGAGGAGCGTATGCTAATGATAACAGCCCGCATGGACTCTGCATCGTCTGGACCCAAATGCAAACGGCGCTTTCTCCATAGCCGATGCTCGCCCATAGGCCACAAGTAAACAGACCGGAATCGAGTGACGACGCATATATAGATAACCGCTCTCCTCGTCGTCGTGAGTTTGATTTCTTCTGATCTCTATCCATCACTGTCTACTACAACTACGCTTTCCTCCTCTCGAAACATCCTTCTGTCCACCATGAAATCGTCTTCTATTCTTTCCACCTGTATGATGGCGTTGGCTGCCACTACAGCTGCTGCTCCCACCGATGCAGATGTTACCCCTGTGACTGTGCTCAATGCCACTGCCCTCGATGATCCTAACGACATCCCAGTTTGGTGCGAAAGGAAAAATAGTATGTTGGGACTCAGTTGGCGCTGGAACGTCTACATCAAAGGTGTCGACGATCAGCCTTGGCCCCCTCTGTGCGACAAGTTCTGGAAGAATCTCAAGAAGCATGCGTTCTTCTGCGGGGTCTCTCGTGGATACTGCGGACCTGCAGGGCACCCTCAAGACGGCTTGAACCACATTCTCAACTGGGCGTTCGACACCCCCCTTTTCTGCCAGTCGTGGCACGTTTCTGCTGCATATTGGGAGGCAACCGATGACAAATACGGAAAGATGGACGAGAGGAAGTGTAAATAGGCACCGTGGGGCCGAACAGATGCAGTCTCTTTAACACTGCAAGGCTACATACCGCCAAGACGGCACAAGCTGCAATACAGTTGTCGATCGCCTATCTTCCGAGGAGGAATGTGGGATACTATGGGAGTTGTGCCTGTACTTAGTTATGCTATATTAATAATATAATACAAAAAAAATATTGTGGTTTCTTTATGGTCTTACTTGAATAGTCCAGCACCTAGGCAGACATGAGACAGTAATCCGCTGGTTAGATGGGGTTACACTTGGTCGACGAGATGGACGAGATGGGATGAGGATTTTTGAGATGATCAGATGTGCAGCCCAACACCCAAGACAGACTATGGAGACGCCCAAAAGCAATGCACAAGTTAGATATGTACCAGAAACACCACCCCCTCCTCCAAAAGCATGCCAGACCATCCATCCACATCACCGCCCGCCCCAGCCCTAAGCCCGCCTCCTGACCCCAATCTCCAGCCCCAGGGGCTTCCTCAGGAACCCCTCGCGCGTCTCCATGACCTCCTGCCGCAGGAAGACGTCGTACCTCCTCGCCCACGTGGCCACGATCAGCTTCATCTCCATCTCGGCCACGTTGCGGCCCACGCAGGCCCGGGGGCCGTGGCTGAAGGGGATGAAGGCGTTCTTCTGCCGGGGCGTGACGGCGTCCCACCGCTCGGGCCTGAACTCGCCCGCGTCGGGGCCCCAGATCTCGCGCGAGTGGTGCATCGTGTACGAGGGGACGGACAGCACCGTCCCGGGCGGGAAGTAGTGGCCCCGGATGGTCACGCCGCGGGGCGCGTCGGCGGGGATCTGGCGGGGCAGCCCGATGCCGCTGGTCGAGTGGTGGCGCAGGGCCTCGTTGACGACGTTCTGCAGGTAGGGCAGGTGGGCGACCTGCTCGTACGTCGGCACCGTGTCCGGCCCGCCGGGGATGGCCTCGTCCAGCTCGGCCTGGAGCTTCTCGATCACGCCGGGCGTGCGCGCGACGTGGTACAGCAGGGCGCAGGACGAGTTGGAGGTGGTGTCGGAGCCGGCGATGAGCTGCGTCAGGGCCTCGGCGGTGAGCTCCTCGCGGCCCAGGGGCTCGCCCTTGTCGTCGCGGCCCTCCATCAGGCGCGCGAGCAGGTCCTTGCGGTCGATGGGTGGCGGGTTGTCCAGGCGGCCCTTGACGCGCGCGATGGCGATGCCCGCCAGCTGCTGCACGGCGGCGGCGCCCTGGCTGAAGAAGGGGTCGGGAAGCCAGGGCGCCCAGGGCTTGAGCTGCGGCAGGCAGCCCAGGGCGGCGCTGACCTCGCCGCGGCGGTTGAGGATCTCGATGGCGGGCGCGTAGATGGGCTCCGACTCGGGGCTCGCGCGCACCTCGGCCAGGTCCTCGCCGCGCTCCAGCATGCCGAAGGGGGCGCCGAAGGCCAGGTCGCCGATGACGTCGAAGGCGAGGTAGTTGAACCACTTGAGGCAGTCGAGGTGCGCCGTGGGTGTCTTTCCCGGGCTGCTGTTGTTGGCGTTGTTGGCGACGAGGTCGTCCCACCGCCTGACAAACAGCTCCAGGTTGGAGTGGATGTACGGCTCGAACTGCGAGATGGACTTGAGCGAGAAGGTGTGGCTGACGATCTTGCGCTTTCGCGAGTGCTCGTGCCTGTCGCGGGTGTTGAACAGCCCGCGCTGGATCGACACAAATGCGTCGTAGAAGTCGCTGTCGTGCACGGTGTGAGTGAGTGTGGGCTGTACATGAATCAAGACAAAAGGCACGCCGGATGAGATGCTCCTTACCTCTTCAGGAAGCCGTTGCCGTGGCCGTAGATGACCTGGATGGCCTCGTCGTCGGCCACACTGACATGATTGGGCTGGATGCGCACCACCGGTCCCAGCTTCTTGTGCAACTCATCGGCGGTCAGGTAGCGGTCGCCGCGCCGACACACATAGAGCAGCCAAAGGTTTGAGAACTGGGCGGGGAACGGCGCGGGGATGCCTCGAAGGTCGGCGTATGTGACAAGGTACGGATACAAGTACCAGGCGACGAGCAGGACTGGGGCTGCGAGGAGCGCCCACGGCGAAAGGAACAGGTTGACTATGGCCATCTCAAGTGTGGGAAGGGTATCTCAGGTGTGATGTGTCCGCCAGGAAACCATGCCGTCGAGATGGAATGGCTTTGGCGTTGGAGAAGACATCCGGGGCGCGTCAAGTATTTCAATACGGCTCAACCATCACGGCCCACCCCTGCTCCGCTCCGGGATCTGCAAATGGCTACCCGGGCCCCAGCCTTTTTCACCTGTCCCCTGAGTCGTCCCCATACCCCCAAAGCAGCGGTGTTTAGGCTGTCCGTCCAGTCAGAAGAGCGCTATTTGCACCATGACAGGTAACGTCTCGGGGGTTCAGCCCGTGGCTGTGGGAGCCTCTCGGGACCGGCAGCCAACAACGGCATCCAGCCACAGCATACGACGGCCACTCGCCCGTTCGGTCTTCGCCCTGCTCACATGCCACGACGTGCTTCGTAGCCTTCGATTCCACACACGCACACACGCACACACGCACACACGCATACGTTGTCTTTCTGCATGTTCTGCCAGCTGTGAGACGTCGGATTCGGATCGTGGCCCGCGGATGGCGCATCCGGAAGCTCTGGCACAGCCAGCAACCTCGAACAGAGTTGGAGGTGCGGGGGAGAATCGCCGGGCCCCACGGCCGGATCTGTCAAAAGGCACTTGGGCAGGCCTGTCCCGTGGGGTCTGGTCCCTTGGCCGCCCCAGCCCGGCATTCAGGTACGGTAGCTGGGAGGCGACGTATATAGGGATTTCGGTGGCTGTCGTGCACCGCCTCGCGACGCGAACATCCTTCGCTCGCGCTCTCGCTTTTTTAGCACTGTGTCCAGGCCCTCACTGACCGCCGCTGTTGGTATTTTTTGCGGCTCCACCCTCAAAGCCCTGATCGGTGAATTAGACTACGTGTAAGGCAAATGCTACATGACTACGTCATTTGGACGGGTGCTTCGTCGGGAGAGCGGCGCGCAGTAGCCAAAACGTGGGAAGGCCGATGCGTCGTTATTCCCGGAGCATTGAGCACTTGACAGGTGAATTGCCTCAACAAACACACCACCTTGTAGAATATTCATCTCAGTGCGACTTTTCAATTCATTCCACAATGCTGCACGGTCAATGGCCTGGACAGATCTATTGTCAGATTCAGTACCCATGGATTGAATTTTGTACCGCATGTGAACAAATCCTTAATTGGTACAATAAGCCCCAAGTCTGGTGACTGTGTCCCTCGGTGCAGATGCTATTTATACACAAAACTACTTTGTACAAGGATTAGACGTAGACATTTGCGGCTGTCTCAACGGCATACGCTCACGTGCAACTACTGTCGTGCTTTGCTCTTCCATACACTGGGTTTCTGCAGGAGTGGAGACGACTTCAGCTTCTCACTATTATACTCATTTTCCGTCATCAGACCCGCATGAAAGCCACGAGAGATCATGTGCATCGACGGAATATGCAGTAAGCAGCGCTCAGCAATTTGTTGTAGGGGCTGCTAAGCACATAAGATGAGTAGCATCCATGACTCGGATTGCACACATCATCTGCATTTTAGGTTCATCCATATATGTCGTTCGGGCCGTGATGTGTTGTAAAAGGGCCGAGACTAGGTAAATCGTATGCTTAGGGTGCTGTGGCATATTTGATAATCTCAGCGCTCAGCCAAATTGACACCATACAATCCATTCCAGAAGAGGCCAGCTCAGCAATTGGCGAAGCATATGAACACTGATCTTCACATCTGGTCAACATTTATGTGCCTGTAGTCCTCGGTTTTGCCAAACGGTCGCACTGCAGACGTGGAGAGATGTTCTCAGTTTAGGCTTGGCGAAAGAATTTCAATCTCCATGACTGTTGGGAACCATCACCGGAGCTCCGGGACCGAAGATGACCTGAGCGCGTCAGCTTGCGACACATAGCACGGTAGAAGTTAGAGGTGCGCAGCATGCTTTGATAGTTCGGACGGGATTCGTATAGCATGTGGTATCGGACAGTCCGCCATCCCACCAGACGTAGCGTCGCACCATCAAACCGACCAGCTCACCCCTGTGTTTGAGCCTCTAGCGGCCTCAGATGCACTCATCCATTGACAGTTGGCTAGTGCAGCGGCCAAGGAGGTCTCTTGTTTCCTGCGCCGAGGAGATTTTTAAGGTTCGCCCTTTCTCCAAGCTGGCCACACGTTTTGCTGTTGTGTTACCGGTACGCGACGCGGACGTGCTTCATGCATTAAATGCACACGCCTGCAGGCCCCGGTTTCCTTCGACGACGACATCTCATGCGGACCACACCGGGAATCAATGGAAACCCCCCTCGCGCCCACAACATACCCCCGAGGCCGTAAAGCACATAAACTCTTCCGCCTCTTCCGGGGCCGTCGCGGACCCCGCGGACATCAAGTCCAGACGCATTGATGGATCAGCCCGACCATAACGGCCCTGTCGATGCGACAGACGACCCGGAGACCATCCCGCGCTCCGAGTCGCGTCTTAAGAGGCTGTCCGGTGCGGCCGCGAACCGCCTGTCAATACCATTCTCTTTGTTCTCATTCAGGTCCTCCCGCACCTCAGATAGCGACGGCCAGAAGCTCTCCAAGCAGCAGAATGGCAGGGCCAAGAGCTCTCGACCGAGTGAGTCGTCCACCCGGTCGTCCACAGCAACCGCAGCCCAGCCAGACGAGCAAGATGCCGTCGGCTCGCTACCCGTCCTGCCGGTACTTGGGACGTCGCGCGGGGGCTACCTCAGATCGTTGCTGTCGTTATTCTCAGATGGGCACGACAACGACGGCACGTCTACCCAGACGGCTACGCCAGCATCAGAACAGACACCCATGACCGACATCAGCCCATGGCCACGGAGTCTCGGACTTTACGAGTATGACCTGAACTCACCCGTGATATACAGGTTCTCCAAGAACCACCAGCTCTACATCGGATGGCCTGATGTCGTGAACCCGCCAGCAGAGGCGCTCGTGGAATTCGAGACGGAGACTTTGCCGCTGCTGCAACAGGACCTGCAGGGGATCTGCGCACACCTCAGCCAGCAGGACATACGGATCACGTATGAGCTCCGCATGTCCGGCCACGCGAGCCCAGCGACCGGCACGGTGACCCTGGCACCCACGGTGTGGATCCTGTACAGGTCATGCACACTAGCAGGCAACGTCGTCACGGCCGCCGCGCTGAATCAGGTCGCCCTGGGCCTGGACTACCTGCAGACCGACATCGAGATCCACGAGGGCGGCGGGCGGATCGAGGCGAGCAGCGACAGGAAGCTGGTCGACGTGGACCTGGGCGACGCCAAGGACAGCATCCAGCTGTCGAACGGGGCCGTCCTCTCCGTGCACGTCGAGGACTGCCAGCAAAAGGACACGGCGTGCGGCGCGCTGGTGTGCGTCACAGTCCAAGAGGACAAGTTCCGCACGCAGCAAGGGCTCTGCCGCATGGGCGGGCTCCTCAAGGTCAACGGCAAGTACGTGCTGGGGGTGACGACGGCGCACGCGATGCTCGACAGCAGCGGCATCTTCAAGGACTCGTTCGACGGCGCGGCGGCGGGGGACGACGACCTGCGCACGCCCAAGGGCAAGGCCGTCGACCGCGACGCCATCGTCCTCGAGGTCAGTGATGTCGAGGGGTGGCAGGCGGCCACGCGCGATGCGGCTATCGACTTCCTGGGCATCTCCATGAACTCCCGCGGGGACGTCGCCCTCAACCGCTCGCGGCCCCAGAATGCTACCGACTTTGCCATGCTGCGCCTGCGCGACCTGCCCGGGTCTGTCCGCAACCGGTACGTGCCCCCTGGGTCGGAAGAGCCTGTCAGCATCAACTCGACCGCGTCGGCTAGCTCGTCCGCGCTTGACGAGGGGCCGGTGTATATCCTGTGTGGTGGGGGCCGCGTTGCTGACGCGCAGCTTGTATGGGGCTCGGTGTGCTTCATCATCCGGGGGAGGAATTTCCGTGTGCGGAGGGTGCAGACATCCCAGCCGCTCGGTACGTGTCTCGTCCCAAATATTCTCATTGTGATTATGCTAACCCGAGTTCCGTAGGCCCCGGTGCGTCGGGATCATGGGTAGTCAAAGGCGAAGTCCTATACGGCGTCATCATAGCCGTCTACAAAGACGAGCCCTTCGCCCTGATGATGACAGCAGAGAGGCTGTTCGAGAGCATCCTGGGCTCGGCCTTCTCCATCCGCACCGTCGAGCTCTGGGACGGCGTCCTGCCCGAGGCCGACAAGTCGGAGCGCGTGGGGCGGACGCGCTCCGCGACGACGACGGCGACGACGGAGGCCTCCTCCTCAAAGACCGTCGTCTCGAAGCGCGACTCGAGCACCCGCACCAACGGCACGGAGTCGTCCCGCCCCTCGACGCTGACGCGCAACTCGACGACGCAGGTGCGCGACTTCCAGATCAAGGAGGACGGGAGCGTCCAGGGCGAGGGCGCCGGCGGCGACCCGGCCGAGGTGCTGGGCTTGCACCCGGCGCTCCGGGGCCAGGACGCGCGGGAGAAGAGGGCGGCGAAGCGGGCTTCCAGGAGTAACAGGGCGAGCAGGATACTGGCCCCGACGGCGCAGGTCAGGAGCTACCTGGACAAGAAGCTGCCGATACTGGTGCGCCGGGCGAGCAAGGACAAGGGAAAGGGTAAAGGCAAGAAGGTCGCCCGCGGGACGCCGTCGGAAGGCACATGAGCGAACAGAGAGCGGCGACTAGGGATACCGGGAGTGCTTTGATGGTTTTTGATACCCATACCAGACGGGACCGTCGAGGTTTCCACCGGCAGTCTGTGTATTATTTGCAAAAAGGGTCAGGTTGCGATGTTTGTTTTCAATACTGCTTTCGAGTTGTTCAGTCTTGTTGGGGGCGGCGCAATACACCTTGACTCTATGGCGTTTGGGCTGTCAGGAAGTCGGGCCCTTGATACCATATGTGAGCAGCACCCGGCGGGGGGTGTAGGAATCAGGACAAAAAGTATATAACTATGCCAGGCCTTTCGAGCGAGCATTTACAATTTCAGAACTTTCTATGCTTTCTAGTTCTCTATATGGCACTCCTGACTGAGAATCTACTCCAGCTCCTGATCCTCGCCCCGAAACAGTAGAATGTAACCGGCGCGCAGAGCATCACTATGCACAAGAACGCTAGCAGTGAAGTCCCCCACGGTATGCCGAGATGATCGTACATGATGTTCGCCCACAGCGGGAACGAAGATGCAATCAGGGACCGGATGATGACATGTATCGACATGGCCGAGTTGGCGTCTAGCATGGGGTAAGTACGTGTTAATCACCTGCCACGGAGTCTAGAGCGGTGTATTTCGGACCGTCCAAAGCACAACAGACGGGGAAACGTAAAAGGAGAAGATTAGAGCTTACGATGTTGATAGACATCCACAAGGTACACGATGCCCGTGATGAAGATGAGCAGCAGGCCGTACCCGATCATGTAGCTCGCGATGACCTGGCATATCCAATGCACGTTCCCCGACCAGCCGAACCAGAACAAGGAAGGCGGGAGAAGACCAGCCCCGAGGACCATGGGAGGCAGACGCCACTCGGGCTCCGTCATGCCATTGTTTGCGATGACTCGCCTCTTGTAGTACGTCACTGTGTACAGCGAGCAGGTGAGGAACGCCGACACAACTCCCAGGAGCACCGCGAGGAACGGGACGTTGCTCATCGGGACGGACCAGCCCCGCTGCTGGTACGCGGCCGGGAAGGCCTGGAAGGACAGGTACAGGATCCCGTAGACCAGGGTGAGATAGGCCGTCAGGATGACCAAGATGGGCTCCTGCACGATGATGCGGACCGGCTTGGTGAGGTACCGCTGGATAATGTCGTGGAACTCGATGGGTGTCTCCTCGGACTTGGCGTGCAGTGCCCAGTTCCTCGTCTCGAAGCGCAGCCTCTTCGCCTTGAGCTGCAGGATCTTCCGGCTCGACGTCTCCCTGACGGTGAACAGCGCAGCGAGGCACAGGACCCCGGCGAAGATCAGGGTCACCCAGGCCGTCCACCGCCAGTGGGCCTCATAGGAGAGAAAGGCCCCGGCAACCGGAGCGATGGTGGCGCCGAGGTTGATGGACATGCCCGAGGAAGCCAGCGCCACGCCCCGGGGGATCGGCTCGTACAGCTCAAAGTACGTCCCAGACACAACAGCAAAGGCGCCGCTCCCGAACGCGCCCGAGAAGAACCGGCATGTCAACACGGTCCGCACGTTGCCGCCCAGCGCGATCGGGATCTGGAACACAGACATGCCCGCCACGGCGACGGCCAGCGGCAGCAGGTGGCCGAACAGCTCGGACACGGGCCCGAAGAAGATTGGGCCCGCGAAGAAGCCCAGGATCCAGAGCGCGACGCCCAGCTGGCCCACGACCAGGGGCACGCCGAAGGCCTCGGCGAAGACGTGCTCCGCGGGCGCGAAGACGCTCGACCCGAAGGAGACGCACGTGATCATCCCGGACGTGACCACCACGAAGAGGACCTTGCGGCGCGCGGGCCAGTTGCGCGGGCACTCTGGGTCGTCCGGCCCGTCCCAGCCGACGACGTCGCCGTCGCCGTCGCTGTTGGTGGTGCCGCCGTGGTGGCGGGGCTTCTCGGCTGGCGGGTGGGCGAGTTTGTTCTCGTCTGGTCCGTAGCCGGGCTCGGGGTCGTGATCGGACTCGCCAGCCGTGTCGGGGCTGGAATCGGCGGCATCGCTCAGGGGCTGACCGGCCGGGGGCGTGAGGTCTCCCGCTAGGGTCGGCGCGGCGGAAATCGGTGTGTCCATGGCGGCGGTGACTGCTTCATGGCCCGCTTCCTGGCAGGCGTCATTGAAGCTCTTCGACTGGGGATAAACCGTATAGCATTCTTGGAGCCTTGTTCGGCCCCCTTTCCCACCCAGGGGGACCAGTCGGCTTTTCTAGTCCGGCGATGTCGGTGGAGCCCCGGGTCGGCGGCAATGATTTGTGGAGCTCGGCGGGCGGGTTTGCCACGGGTATAATGGGGCATCGGACGTCATGCTCGTGATGTTGGAATGAGCTCATGAGCATCGTGTGATGTTAGTCTGTGGGATTCCTTGGGAGTCGAGGTACCGATGAGAAGAATCTGACAGAACCTCATGGGTTGATTGAGTCTTCTGTATACTTCAGCGTGGGTGTAAAATGTAAAACTGGGCCAAAAACTTTTTGCGAACTTCGCGTGTTCATGTGCAATCCTAGTTTACTTTTCGAGTAGGCCTCCAAGTGCCGAGTACTAGTAGATGCTTGGCTGCTGATCGACTTGTCGGCGCTACTGCTGCAGGTCCTCGAGCTCGCATCGAGTCACGCCGAGGTCACATATCGGAGCGGTATCGCAAGGACACAGCAGGCACTCAGGCAACTTCTTGGGGGGGCCAGACCGGCTCAATGTGATGATATCCGAACACTCATACCAAGGCTTTCAGCCAAGTCCGTGTCCACCACTAAAGTCCCTTGGGCAGTGACCGGCTTCATCGTGTTGGGCCTGTGGCAAGCCGTAAACAGCTAATGATGTGTCAACATAACCTTCATGAACTGAGATCTACAAGGTCAGCCGCCATGGCAAACGCTTGGCTTCAATACCGATTACAATGTAACTAGCAGCCGTCCGTCCCTACTCAAATAAATCTGTCATTCGCTCAAGACTAGACACGCGAGAGAATATCATAATGTCTTCAGTAGCAAGACTGACATGATCTGGAATAAAAGAAGGCAGCCCAACGTTGCCATCGGAATCAACACACGATGTGTCCGACATGCGGTGAGAGGTGGCACCTGGATCCGTTAGAAGAACGAATCTTAGCTCTGCGATGGTTCATGGAAACTTAGCATACTATTGGCGAGAGGATTCTCGTCGTCCTAGTTTAATTAAGCGGATTGTAACAGTCACTGGAACGTGCTGAGTGAAAGGGGTCTAGAGTCACTAGTTACAACAACCAAAATAGATGAACCAAAACCCGTTCCTCAGTTTCAGGACCTTGGGACATTGACTCAAAAGTGACCCAAGGCTCATTCATTGGCCTAGTCTTGACAGGATAGCTGATTTCATTTCTGTGGAGTACAGCTATGATAAGCGCTGGAAAGACATCTGATCATGTGAAATGAAGAGCTAGGGAGAAGCGGTGGGCTGTCATTCGAAAAGGTGAAACTGGTGCAGGTTCGTAGCTAGCGGCCGACAGTAGAACAATTCCTTCCTATGTCCCAACGCAGTTGAGTACGAAACATTTGCAACTAATGAAAATGCACTCTAAACATTGAAATCCAGAAAGATGTTCAAGCAGCATCGTGATCGATCAGCAGTAAGGTAGAGATGAGTTGGCAGCTGGTCTGTCTATGTTGAACCTGAGGAGAACAGCCATCCTCAAAAACTGTAACGTTACAAATCATTCACGTGGAAAGAAATTCCGTTCTGAAAATTGTCAGTGACTTACGCACTAGGATGCGATTGTCAACACTGGATAAGATCGTAAAAGTATTATAAGATTATCAGGATTGTGAACGGCACCACCTACAATTCCATGCCATGCTACACAGTCGAAACAAGCACGCAATTGTTTGTCACCTATTATTAGAGCCCTTGCCCTGGACCCAGTCGCCCCTTTCCCCTGCCCACAAGATAACCGAAACACGAAGGAGCTTAACCACAATTTGACTTGCCGGGGTTGAGATTGTCGAGCTCGGTGTTTGAAGCTGTGGCTGTGAGGTCGGCCGGCCCTGGCCAAAAGGACATCGCCGTATATGTAATGAAATGTATGGTTGCTGAGTGAATGGATTATCGTAGCATGTACAGATTACAAAGAAAATTCAATTACAAGTCGGAAGAAGACCATTGCGAGATCATCAGTGTCTCTCGTTTGAGCGCATATCGATCCTGTCAGTGCGTTCCTGGGACCCCGCTATTTTGGTCGTTGTAACGGTCCAGGCCTTCAGTGCTAAGCGACACAATATGTGTTTACATGCACACGAAGGCGAGATACGGCAAACTCGGAAGAAGGCCGCACGCCTCAGGGATAATGCTGTTTAATTGCGCCACAGCAGCGTGCACGCATAATCGGCTGTATAGGACCTTACCCCGGACTCTTCCATGTCCGCGATAGTCGGGGGCTTTTGCAGCCATGTGCACCGTATCTTGATCTCAGCCGAATGGTTCGTCTCCCATCGGATCTGTAATCTGACCGCTTTCAGTGCAGTTGGGCCCGAGTCAGTGCTCGGTGGTATCAGAGGCCTGAAACCTGAGAGCGGATCAGGGTGGTTCGTCTCAATGTCCTGGAAGGCTAAGAATGGCAGAAGATCTGGGGGGCGAGTCATTGGCCAACCTTAAAACAAGGCTGTGAGCCGGCCGACCCTAGCGTGCTTGAGTGGGCCCTACGCATGCCGGATCCCTGGGGGCAAGGTTCAGCGAGCCGGTCTGTTGGGAGCCCGCTCGATAGTGTACAAACCCGTTATCTGCGCCGGGCGCACGTTGTGAGCGACTCACGAGGCTTGCCCTCCCCACGCATCACATGGTCCTGGACCCCCCCTGGACCCCAAGGCTGAGCCCCAAGGGGCGAGTCCAAGGGGATCCCAGAGCACCAGAGCTCTCGTCCAACGACATTGGAGCTGCTGGAGGCGTGGTCGCTGGGAGCACGGGCATGACTCGATTCAAGATCTACGAAATGTGGGCAATAAGCAAGAGAGCTGTACGGAAGCGGGCAGGGAATGGAGCTGACAATGCCTTCATTTCGCGCTCTCGGGGTCAGCAGAGTCAGATGAGTTCTGTCAAGGATGTGAGCTTCGTCCGACCTTCTCCTTATTTAACGAGCCGGAGGGACGCATGGTTGATCGAGGCTTGTTTGATAGCCAAGCCGCCCTCTTCCATTCTCTAAAGATCACATTCTCTTCAGCATACAGTCTTTTTTGCTTGATTGCTAGGCAATTCACAGTCTTTCTCGGTCTGTGCATCACTCGATACCCCCTACCTCACGAACACATCCAACAGTAGCGCCAGCCGCAAAACCACACAAACATTCTCACGATGCTTTTCACGAACTCAGCCGCCATCTTGGCCCTGGTTGGCCTCGCCGCCGCGGCCCCGGCCAAGCAGGAGCCCAGGATCCTCTTCCACGATGATGTCATCCTCCCCCGTGCCGACGGTGGCTTCGACGTGATGAAGGACTGGGAGTATACCGACCTCGAGCGCCGCATGGAGAAGGAGGCGCGCGCCCGGGCCGAGGAGTACAAGCGCCGCGCCCTGGCCGGCGAGACCATCCCCATCGGAGCCAACGTCGGCGAGAACGAGATCGGCCTCGACCGCCGCTGCGACGAGCTCAACGAGATGCAGGTGCTGACCGACACCGAGTTCACCAACTGGGACGTCGCCATGTCGCCCGTCATCGGCGCGACCGGCGGCCAGGCCACCGTCGCCGTCACCAAGGGCTACTCGGTCTCCAACTCCATCACCGTCGGCACGGGCGCCGACTACACGGTCGAGAAGGACCTCTTCAAGGTCAGCATGAAGATCGACTACTCGCACTCGTGGACCACGTCGGACTCGCAGACCTTCACCTACTTCATCGTCCCGGGCCAGTACGGCGTGGTCGTCAGCAACCCCCTGACCAGGAGGATCACCGGCAACTTCGTCAAGGGCTGCACCGACTCCCCCACGTACGAGGCCTTCACCTCCGACTCGTACTCGGACCAGACGTACAGCGACATGACATGGGTCCAGGGCCCCATCAGGCTGTGCAACAGCACCACCTACCCTGTCCCCTTCTGCACCGGAAACGGCAAGCACAACTGAGTGTCTTTCTTGCTCTGACGGGCGCTGCGTGGCAAGGAGCAAAGACAGGAGTGGCTTTTTGATTTCTGCAGCATTTCACAAGCTGCTCCCTTGTCTATCTGTCTTGGGCGGATGAGGAGAACGATCACAACTTCACTTGGCAATATTCTTCAGCCAACATGTACATGGTTTTGATGCGTATGATGTATATATTCCCAGCCGGAGGCTGATATCAATGACATAGCAAGCAAGCAAGCAAGCATTTGTTTTCTGCATTCTAGTTACAATGGGTCCCTCCAGATGTCGTGATCTATGGTAAATGAAATTCCTCGGCGCAACACACGAACTGACTAGAGGTCGTCGGCTTGGCCCCACCCCGCAAAAGCTTGGTGTGGATATGGGACTATCACGCGTGCCTGCCTTTAATTTACTTGGTACCCCCCTCCGACCGGGTGGAGTGGGAGGGAGTTCATCCATTTGTCCATCTCCTGGAGTGATCCGGTTCCCGGGTCTTCCGCTGCCGTGTAGATCTCGGGCACTGAGCCTTTGGACCACACAGTGGTGACATCAAAAACCGGCATGTGAGAATCAGAGAATCTTGGAACTTGTGCTCCAATTTTCAACGATAGAATCAACATCGTAGTAGTGTAGAGATAACCGTTGCTCAAAAAAGCCAAGAAATGATCGACGCGCGGCGCATGAGTCCTGCCTGGATGGACCCCCTATGTCCCATGCTTGGATCCCCTGTCCTTCAGACGGCAGCTCCCCACCGGCGAGGCAAGGACAACCATCTCAACTTAGCATTGTCAAATATGAAGCTTGATTAAATATACGAAAAGAGCTTATGACGAGCGAACAGATCGTCCCATTTGAGTATGTTAACTCTGTGATCCCAATGTGGGTAATCTGCCTCGAGGTCTTGGAAAACGCGTACAAGACCTGCTCACTTGACAGGCCATGACTTGCAGGATCAGCCGTGACATGACTGGCTGCAAGCCGCATTAGCCGGCGCCTGGCAGAAGTGCCCCCACGGCGGGATGTTGCCCTGTGTGTGCCTGTGACCACACAGTGTAGCGCGTGGCGTCACCAGCGGGCCGGCCACCCGCAAACAGCTGACTCGGATCCGCGACACCGGCTGGAATAACTGCTGTCCTTTCAGGGCCTCACCACCTCCCGTCCGCCCGCGCCTGCGCCCCCCCCCCCCGGCCCTCTTTCCCTCAACTCTAATCCCCCGGTGCTACCTTGGCGGGCCCCCATGTGTGAGCATGGACGGGACAGCAATCACCGATACGGACGGCACCACCGCGGAAGAAGAAAACGAGACTCGGCGTGCCGGTGATCACGAGAGCGAGGACCGGTCCGCGGCGGCTGGGGATGGAGGAGTCGACGACGACGATGACGAGGGCGCCGGCGCCGGCGCCGGGTACCAGCCCCTCTGGGTCAGGCTGGCCTGCATCGGGCTCGACTTCCTCACGCAGACGTACGACCAGATAAGGATCGTGCCCGAGATCGTTCTCTTTGAGCAGTACGTCTGCCGATCCCACTACGCCGGCGACGGCGGTGGCGGTGGGCACGGCTCCCTCCCGGATGTGAGGATCCCGCACGAGCTGTGCAAGAACCCGGATGTCCAGTACCAGCTGGCGCGTCTCAGGAGCTGGAAGGCCCTCTTTGACGGAATTGCGAGTAAGCTTACTTGCGAACCCGGGTTTTGGCCCTCGGAAGGTGGCTGTCAAGTCAACTGACTGACAATTTTTCCGCAGTCCTTGTTACCGCCATACCCATGGGTGTCCTGGCTGACAGGGTCGGGCGAAAGAAGGTTATCGCGTCAAGCGTGCTGGGACCCATACTGCAATTATGCTGGATCCTCCTTGTCTGTAGGTCGATCTTTTCTGTTTCCGTACGGGGACGCGACTCCATGGCAAGCAAAGCAAGCAAGCTCACCACCACGGCACGCCAGGCATGGGAGGACTCCAGGAGCGAGGCATGAGTATGATCTGGGCCGGGTCGGCCTTCCTCCTCATGGGCAACCTGTCGTCCGCCAACGCCACCATATACGCCATGGCGGCAGACTCGTGCCCTCCCGCGCAGAGGAGCCGCTACTTCTACTACCTGTACTCGACCTTCCTCGTCTGCGAGCTGTTTGCCCCAGCCCTCGCCTCGGTCACCATCGAGAGGAATCTCCTGATCCCTTTCGGCGTCGGCCTTGCCTCTCTGCTAACATGCTTCCCGATCCTGCATGTAATGCCAGAGACGCACAAGGTGCGCGAGTCGCCGGTGACAACCAGCAGTCGGCGCTCCTCGAGCTCGTCAGACAAGGACCAGAGCGAAGCCCGCGAGACGGACCGGCTCCTGTCCTCCCCGGCGGACCCCGCAGGTGAGCCAGACGTGCGGCCCCGGAGGAGCCTCTTGTCGGTGGTCAGGAACAGGAACATCCTGCTCGCCCTCTTCGTGCTGTTCATCGGCGCCCTCAGGCAGGGGACCGTGTCGGTGCTGCTCCAGTACGCCGCGGTCCGGTTCGGGTGGCCGACGTCGCGGACGGCGATGCTGGTCTCGGTCATCGCTGCGAGCAACATCGTCCTGTTCCTCGTCATTCTCCCGCAGACTGTTGCCTTTCTCACATCCAGGTGGCATATCATGCCGCAGCTCATCGACTATAATGTTGTCTCCATCAGTCTCGTTATCCTGACGGTCGGCGCGACGTTCATGGGCCTCGCATCTTCGATGCACTGGCTCATCTGCGGTAGGTGGAAATTTGTATTGCGTGCCAGTTTTCGCATGGTACTCACACGGCTCAGCTACCCTTTTCTTCGCAACCGGATACGGGACCAGAGTCGCGGTGCTGTCCCTCGTCACGTCATGGACGGACGAGGACACCCGCGCGAGCACCTTTGGCATTGCTCAGATTGTCGAAGGCATCGGCAGAATGTGTGGCGACCCCATACTACTCAGGATATTTGCCAAATCCATGCGTATGGAAGGCCTCCTGCAAGGCTTGCCTTTCTACGTTGCCGCGGTAAGTACTTGCGCGTAAGCAATCAGCTTGTTCTGTGGACGGCGCTGATGACTATCAAAAGGTCGGTTTCGGTCTGGCTGCTGTAGCATGGCGTTTCGTGAGACTGGCATTGATAGCATAGGACAGTTAACGAGAACCAGACTCGGACATACTGTCACATACAATTCTGTGGCCCTTCAAGTATACCAGACATGTAGTTTATGTCGTATTGAAGCTGAACAGAGCTATAGAAAAGGTTGGTCACCGATCACAAACACAGTAATCAAGTGGCAATGTCAGTGCTATTTTGCAGTTCGACGAATTCCATTGGCCATGAAATCTAACCACGCATGTTCACCAAAGAATTATCGCTTCAAGTTATCCCTTGGTCCCAATCCGATTCATTCTCTTTCCTAGCCTTGTGTTATGCCTCGAGCTGGCTACCACGAGGCCGTTTTATTGGGCAAACGGACAGTGCTAGTTTATTCTAAATCTGTAGTGAATTTTGACCAGATCCGGGTCGCTAATTCGCGACATAAGGATTTCCCTACAGGGGAACAAAAAATTGAGTTCCCTGAACCCTTGACCTAGATGTACGTCGCAACTGCGAGCCGTCCAAACTGTGTCGAGTGTCCGGTTTCACCTGAAAGTTCGACGACGGAGCTCCCCCAAGCTCGCATCCGACCTCCCCGCCATCACTTATAAAGACCCCACGATGTTGCGGGACAAATTTGTGAAATTTGCAGCATGAACTCCATTTCTTGAACGTGAAGACAATTGATACGGAACAACATCAAGAAGAACTCTCGTATTTTCAGCACCATGAGCGGGACACTCGATCTCAGAGACCTTCCCGAAGTCTACTGCAAGGCCTGGGCTTCACGGGACCCGACAGAACTGCTTGCCCTCTTCTCTAAGGACTCGTTCATGACAGACCATGGCGCGCAGATCCACGTCCCCTTCCCCTACTTGGAACGCCACCACAAGCACTGGAACGGCGCCCATGACGACTTTGAGGTCTGGTTGGACAAGCAGTACCCCGTCTACTGGGCCGAGCTCGACGACCAGGGGAACGGGTACTGCAGCTTCAGGACGGTCAACAAGGGGGTGTTCGTCAACGACCTGGGAAGACGCAAGGCCACGGGATTACCGTTCCAGTATTCGGGCGTTATTGATCTGAAATTGAAGGGAGGCAAGATCGTGCAGGCTGATGAGTGGCTGAGGGTACCCTTTGAGGACAGCGTTTCACCGGACAAGTATATTACCATTTCGGAGGAGAGTTTGAAGGGTGTTATGAGGAAGGATCTCCATAAGTCCGAATAGGCTACAGCAGAGGGGCGTGCACAGTTCTGTATCAAGTTGGACTTTTATTCACATTTTCATAGGATCCTATCCCGGTATCAATGGTCTCTGTGTCACCGAAAACCGACGTTGAAATCCTTCCATTGGTTGAATAATCTCATCAGCCAAATGAAGAATTCAGCCTTAGGAATACTATCTCATTGGAAGATTCCGGCACGACTTTTTCGTAATACCAAAGCACCGATAGGGGATAACAACTCCGCTTGGAAGGCTAGGGATGAGCCCGTGGCAGGTAACGCGCGCTCGTCGCAGACGGCGCAATTCGGTACTCCCATACATGGTGGTGCCGAGCTTGTGCCACAATCACCCATGTTCCCGCTAATCTTCGGCCTCTTTGAACGCTCAGCGAGACCATCAGGGGCAGCTGCCTTGGACGACTGGCCGCTTGTAACTTCCCCAGTACTACGATTGAGTGACATGACCTCTTCAATCGTTCAGTTTGAAGGGCCTCAGTCAGAAAATGAGGATTCATTTTGATATGTTTTGGCATATCGACTTGCCAAAATGTGATGTGCTGACTTCTCACCGCTCTCTCTAGAGCGGTGGCAGACTTCTTTGTTCGGGTGCAGTTGCCTCAGCCAAATGCTCACCTTGACGTGGCCGCTTTTAGCTTGACTGATTTATGACTTATGACTGGGGTGGCCAGTCCGTCAGACCCTCTGGCGCTACAGAAATGCTGCGGCCCGTTCCATGCGACTTGTCTCTCCTGCTGGACCTACGTGAGCTTGTGGGGAAGACACGCGTGTCTCAGAACAAGGTGTTGATTCCGCTCAGCTGAACGCCAAAATGAAGATCGAACCCATTTCGGTCGGCTGAAATGTATGTCTTGACTGTCACCAGAGTGATTACGGCCGCCAGCAGGTAACAGGAATGCATGTAGTATCTTTATGAGCTGCGCCACGATGTGGTAACTCACCGAGACTGAAACACGATTGGTTCAAGAAATTGTCTTAATAACTGGAATGGCCTGATATGACTTGTTCCCGAGAGCTGAGCTGTGGGACTACATATCGATTCCGTTGGGAAAGCAATAATGAGGGGAAGAAGACAGTGTCGCTGAGACTCTTGTTGGGGGGGGGGGGGGGGGGGGGGCAGCTGAATTAATATAAGAAGGGGCAGTTTGGTTCCCCTCCTCTGAATGATGTTTGCATCGCTTCAAGTCATTGAGAAGGTTACCAGAGAGCAAAAGTATATCAATCAATTCCAAACAAACACACACCGTCCACCATGTCGCTCAATGACTCTTACAAGGCCCAATGGGCGCGGTACGTTGCCCGGCACAAGCTCCAGCGAGACCTGGAAGCCACGGTGGCGAGGGTGGATGAAGACCAAGAAAAGTTCGGGAGCCTGCCCCACAACTCGGTCTCGGCCCTCTCCAAACTCACGGAAGTTGCGACCGGCGGTGGCCTGATCCCGGAGCACCACGGCCGTTTCAAGGTCGGCATCGTCGGCGGAGGAGTCGCGGGGCTCTTCACCGCCCTCATCCTGGACTGGCTCAACAAGAACCTGGGAAAGGACAAGGGGGAGGAGTACCTTGACATTGACTACGAGATCCTGGAGGCTGCCGACGAGGACCGCCTGGGTGGTAGGCTGTATACGCACAGGTTCAGCGACCTTAAAGGGGGCGTTCACGACTATTACGACGTTGGCGCCATGCGCTTTCCCGAGAACGATGTCATGAAAAGGTGCGTGTCTTGTCCATACAGTCCCTTGACTTGTCTTGGGGTTGCCTACTGATGCTTCCTTGCCTAGAACTTTCCAACTCTTTGAGATGCTGGGCATCGAGAAAGGAAGATTGGGCGACAGGAAGAAAGCTGATGATCCGCCCAAACTCGTGCCTTACTCCCTCAAGGACGAAGAGCAGCCGTCATACTTCAATGATCTTCGTCGCGTAGGCGACCCATGGGAAGGACCACGGAAAATGGCTGACCCGTTCGAACTCAACAAGGGAGTGGCCGAGTGTGACCAGATTCCTACCCCGTACGTCTGCACATTCGGCATCTAGAGTTCAAAGGATTTCACACTGATTACATTCTAAAGCCTGCTGGGTGTAGATCCCGCGGCCTTGTTCGAGAAAGCTATCGAGAAGTACATCGAGACAGTGAAGAGTGGTCTTGATAGAGCCAAAAACACCAATGCCCCGACTTCTGAAGAGGAAAAGAAATTCTACCATATGCTGATGCTCTCAGACCGGATGAGTGCTCGCCAATTCCTTCTCTCGTAGGTCGAAACCCTTTGTGTTGTATGCTCAACTATTCTGACATGATCACACAGAACGAAGAACCCTGGAGGCATCCCAGATGGACCAGGGTATAACTACAGCACAATTCAGTGGATTGAGACGGCTACTTTGTGAGTCCTTCGTTATGGCTCAGCCGACAGAAAGCTCTAACCTCTGTGGTTTTCAGTGGTACTGGCTGGTATGACCAGTCCTTGACTGAGGCCGTTCTAGAGTCCCTCGACTTCAACACGCGCAAGGAGCCGAAGAAGGAGGAGTGGTGGTGTGTGGATGGGGGCGCTCAAAGAATCGCGGAGCGGATGCGGGGGAAGCTCGGAAAGCCCAATGCCATCAAGTTCAACACCCAGGTCACGGCAGTCGAGTCCAACTTCAAAATCAACAACACCGTCTCCGCGGAAATGACCTTGAAGGTCAAAGACACCAGCACAAAGAAGGAGGAGAAAGCCGATGTAAAGTGCCTCACCGTTCTGAACTCAACGACCCTCGGCTCCATGAACCACATGGACTTGTCCAAGACAGGTCTGTTTTGGGACACGAAACAGGCGATCCGCTGTCTTGGCTACGGTGCCTCGTGCAAAGTCGGGATGAAGTTCAAGACGGCCTGGTGGAGGGAGGCGCCGTATAACATCAAACAGGGCGGCCTGGCCCGCACCGACCTCCCGCTGCAGGTCTGCGTCTACCCTTCGTACAATGTCAACAACGAAGTTGACCCCGTCAAAGAGCCCAATGTCCTCCTCGTGTCGTACACCTGGGGCCAGACGGCACAGCGGCTGGCGAGCCTGATCCCGTCCAGTAAAGGCGATTCTGATGCCGAGAAGGAGCTCCGGAGCGTGCTCATCCACGACCTGACCCTCCTCCACTCCCAAGGCCCCAGCGACACGGAGGCGTACAAGAAGACGCGGGCCCGCATCGCCGGAGATCTCATGGAGGTGCACGGCTACGATTGGTACCGCGACCCCCATATGGCCGGCGCCTTCGCGTTCTTCGGCCCGTGCCAGTTTTGGGACCTGTACCCAGCCATCACCAAGCCCAACTCGTTTGGCCAGCTGTACTTTATCGGCGAGGCGGCCTCGGCCCACCACGCGTGGGTCGGCGCCCTCGAGAGCGTCGTGCGCGCCGTGTGGCTCATGTTTGACTGCCTGCACCAGGGCAGCAAGAATGACGCGAGGCGTGGTGCGAACAAGGACGAGGGCTTCGCGCCATACGCGGAGGCGATGAAGCTGCTGGAGGAAGGTCCAAAGTCTGCCCCGGAAATCCCGCTGCCCTTCTACCCCCTGCCAGCGGAACTGCCGAAGCGTTGTAAAGACACGGAGAAGAAGCGGGCTGATCAGCTAGTTGATCACCCTGAGCTGGACGACAACAGCCGCGAGGTCCCGATCAAGTATGGTGCTGCTGTTGTTGCTCTGAGCATGGTCGAATCGACACTGAATCACATCGCGAACAGTCCTCAGAAGAGCACTTAACAGGTAGTGTCATGGTCAGATTTTTTCTCCCTAAAGAGAATCAGACTGGAAACCATTCGCCATGAGAAGCTAAAGCCATGAACGATAATCCGACTTGATTTGAATCACAGTCACTCAAGACCCTGTGTGCCTGAGAGCAGAGAATCTATCCCCTCCCATCATACTGATATCGGCGGATCATAGAAGTTTGAGACTACGCAGAGATTCTGGGTATACCTTGAGTGGCTTTGAAGACTCTCGAAGTCGCAGATCAGTTGTGTGAGGCTGCTGTATCACCTTGTGAACGTATTTGTGTAGTCCGACAAATATCTTGTCCTTTCTGATAGTCGAGGATGGTGAAAGGGGCCAGGGATTAGCCTCGGCCATCTCCGGCCCACCAGCGCAGCGCTGATAAGCAGCAGCTAGCGGTGGATCTGGAGCCTGGGCAGTGGAACACACAACACACCACGGACCACTGACAGCACACCTTCCAGCAGCCGCAGCCGAGTTCCGGCGCGAGCCCAATCCGTGAATGGCCCAGGTGATAGCAGGGGAGAACGTTACGTCGGAGTCCGCTTCGGGTGTCTTGCCTCCGATGTCACGGAGCCGCGACCGACACAGAGATAACAGCAGGCCGGCCCGGCAAAACCTTGTGCTTGGACGATGGCAGCTGCTGAAAGATTTTCCTTTTTTCACCCCTCCAAATTCTGGCTGAACAGACGTCGACAGCCTGGCTACAGGTACGAACCACTTGTGGGAGAAGACCTCGACGACGAGCTATCACCGCCCGCAGACATTATGGTCAGCCAGCCCAGACACGGCGGCGATGGTGGCGATGCCGGTGCCATGGCCAAGCAGGTTCTCCGGAAGATTGACAGGAGACTTATCCCACTGCTGTTCGTGACCTACGCGCTCAACTTCATGGACAAGACCATCCTGTCCAGCGCATCGGTGTTCGGACTCAAAGATGACACAGTTCGTCCAATGCCCCATCACTGTGCTTCAATGGACCAAAAACCACCAGACTAACCATGGCCAACAGCACCTCCAAGGCCAAGACTACAGCTGGGTGTCGTCCGTCTTCTATTTTGGATATTTCGCCTGGACCTATCCCACCACTCTCCTCATCGCCCGCCTCCCTGTCGCGCGGTACATGACCGCCAACACGCTGTTCTGGGGCGTCATCGTCGGCGTGACAGCGGCATGCTCCAACTACGGCGGCCTGCTCACCGTCCGCTTCCTTCTCGGTGTCGCGGAGGCCACAATAACGCCCGCGTTCATGTTCATCACCACGTCGTGTTAGTACCATTCTTCTCCTGCTACACATCCCCGATCTTTGTGCTTTAGAATGTTCCAGAATGTATCACTTTGGGATCCGTAGCAGGTGACTAACAGGTACTAGGGTACACCCGCGATGAGATCCCCTTCCGCACCGGCATCTGGTTCTCGGGCAACTCGATCGGCGGGATGGTAGCGTCCCTCTTCGCCTTCGGCGTGGGACACATCGACGACTCCGTCGGGCCGTGGCGGTGGATGTTCGTCATCCTGGGCGTGGCCACGTTCCTCTGGGGCTTCGTCCTGTGGCTCGCCCTCCCCAACAGCATATCCACCGCGGGGTTCCTCACCGAGGAGGAGAGGCAGTTCGCCACGGACAGGGTCATCGTCGCGGGGACGGGCCGCACCGAGAGGACGGCCTGGGACTGGGCGCAGGCGCGCGAGTGCCTCGTCGACCCCAAGACGTGGTTCATCTTCGGCCTCGAGATCCTCACGCAGATCCCCAACGGCGGCACGCAGAACTTTGCGAACCTGGTCATCAAGTCCTTCGGCTTCACGAGCCTGCAGAGCACCCTCGTCAACATCCCCTACTCGCTCGTCTCGGGCGGCGTCATCATGTTCACGGGGTGGCTGGCGGGCAGGTTCCGGCAGGCCAACTGTATACTTGTCGCTTGTGTTGTGCTTCCCTGCATCGCCGGCTCCGCGCTCATCTACTCGCGCTCGCATGTCTCCGGGGGCGTGCAGCTGTTCGGCTATTTCCTGCTTTCGACGGGCCCCTCGGCCATGCCCCTTGCCTTGTCACTTGTCCAGGCGAACTACCGCGGCGTCACAAAGAAGATGACCATGACGGCGCTGCTCTTCCTCGCTTACTGTGCCGGAAATATTGCTGGCCCGCAGTTCTTCAAGAGCGCCGAGGCGCCAACGTACAATACTGCCTTCAAGACTATCATGATCTGCTACTCTCTGGTCGTGCTGCTGGCGCTGGGGCTGCGGACGTACCTTGGCTGGACAAATGCCAGGAGGGCGAGGCAGGAAGGGTTCGAAGGCAGTGCTGGGTCTGCTGGGGCGGTGGGCGGTGGCAAGGTCGTGGATATTGCCGGGGATGCGAATGCTGTGAACGAGGTTGAGCTGAGGAGTGAGGACTATGAAGATGTTACAGACTGGCAGACACCTGGGTTTAGATATCGTCTCTAAGGTATGACACATGTAGACGGGTTTGGAAGGAATCTAGGTCATGTATAACGTCAGCAGAGCAATGCCCGATATCCCACATTTTACACTACCTGTAGGCTCAGTGCCCTTGTGGTATTAGTCTGAACACCACCCAAATCACAAACTTTTCATCTCGGTTCGACGCATGACGAGTGATTTATATCTGTGCTCTATATAAGCGCAGGATTAAAGTATGTGCATTGTGTCTAGATTGTTCCATGTTGGTTTAATGTATATCCACCCATCGGGAGCATCGTCATAAGCAATATGTCAAACTATATACAACATCTTGAAAAACAAAGCATCGCAACCAAAGCACCACTATAATATATCCAAGAACGTCAAAAACAATTCACCAATAGAGCCGCCTCATACGTAGACGTAGCAGAAGTCGTTGGCGGTGGGGTCAAGCAGCTCGCCGAGCAGGTGCGCCTTGCCCTCGGCGACAAAGCCGAGGTCCTGGACGTCCTCGGCGGTGCCGTTGCGGTGCGGCGCGGCTCGGTCGAGTTGTTCATGGTGAAGGCGCCGTTGACGGCGCTGGTCCAGTCGGCGATGCGGGAGGCCGGGTCCTGCATCTGCCACAGCCACCACACGTGGTCGATCTGCCCGTGGTGCAGGTAGAAGGCCGGGTCGCCGGGGGAGACGAAGAAGTCCCTGCCGGGGTCGCCGCCTATGTGTGTTTATCGTCAGTGACGTGTTCTTCTTTTTCTCATCTGAGGACCAAAAAAGGGGGGTGGGGTCTTGGAGGGCGAGGGAACATGGCGCAAACTCACCCATCGAGAAGTGAATACCGCCGTGGACTCCCAGCTCCGGGTAGAGCGGGTCGCCCTACATGAGCCACTCGAACGACCAGATGTCCTGGGGCTCACGCAGGAGGGTGAGCACGGAGCTCGAGTTCGCGAAGCGCCTGTTGGCGTCGTCGGTGAGGCTGCGCTTCAGGCAGCGCGGGTTGTGCTTGTACGGGTAGCTCGAGTTGTCAGAGCCGCCGTTGATGGTCGTCAGGCCGCTGGGGCCCAGGTTGACGGTGTAGTTGACAAAGGGGCCCGAGGTGACGCAGCCGCCGCCGGTGCCGGCGGAGAGGTAGACGGCGGCGTCGCCCTGGTCCTCGTTGACGACGATGTAGTCGTCCTTGGTGTAGTTGAGCGAGACGCCCTTGCCGCTCATCGAGGTCGCGCTGCCGTCGAAGATGGGCGAGTTGGCCAGGCCCTCCTCGGCGGTGCGCGCCCAGTCCCAGTAGGGGAGGGCGCCCTTGTAGCGGCACTCGTTGCGCAGGGCCTGCTCATGCTCCCAGATGAACCACCGGTGCCATCCTAGAAAGCTGGCGGTCTGGTGGATGGTGAATGTCTGGTTGATATGCTAGTGGCGGAATACGTTAGCAGGAGCGCGCGCTTCTTTTTTTCCTATCAGATTGTGGGGGGAAATATAAGCCCGACTATATATGTGAGACCGTTCGGGCAGGGAAGACTATTCGTTCATGCATACCGTAACGACAAAGTCATCGAACCTGGACATGGCACCCTCGGCAAGGCTGGACGGCGTCTTGGCCTCCTTGCTCTGAAGGCACAACACGGCATCTGTATAGGCGATACGCTCTTCCGGGGTGAGATCGTGCCTGCATATGTAGAGGTTAACTCTAATCTTTCTCGCTGATCACCGACAGGGTTCATGGCACTTCTTCCCCCCTAGTGGAAAACTTACCAAGACTTGCGAACCGACACCTTATCAGCCGTGCATGTCGAGTTCGGAGACAACCGAGATAGAGCAACGCTGTGTGCGTGCTCGCCAAAGTCGCCGATCGAGGCGTTGAACCGGTTGAATCCTGCCTCCTGCCTCTTGACGAGCGCCGGACCTGCCTGCGAATTTTTAGACGTAGTCGCGGCTACTTTACGGAATCAGGTCCGGCCAGGGCGAGGGCCGCACCAAGGGCTTGCTGTGTGAGTTGCATCTCGAGAGCGGGTCTGCTAGCCTGGACACTGGCGATATGTTGTCTGCCAAAAGAACGAAGGACTGGGCTGGGCTAGACTAGACTGCAAGGCGACGGAGGCGAGACCGGGGAGGAACGGGGTGAGGAGGAAGACATGTTGAAGACATCGCTGGCATCACGCCTCGCTTATATATGAAATTACATTACGGCGCAGACTCTCCACAGGCAGGGCAGATTCTTCTCCCACCCCACAGGCCATGGACACGCTCTATATCCACGACGGCCAAGTCTAGGTGCAATGTCTATTTTAACAGCGGTGTTGGGGGCAGAGCGCCGGCGCCTGCTTGGGTGCGCCCGGGGGAGAAACACACTACTTAGTTGTTTCTTCTCTTGAGTCGTGCGCCCGGCGAAACATTGAATACAAACCAGGTTCCACCGGCCGCACTCAAAGCTTAGCATATCCGCTCGGGTCAGGGGCAGCCAGACGGGCGGGTCGGGTCGGCCACTTCTTCCCCCCCCCCCCCCCCCCCCCCAGGCGCAGAGCCGGCAAGAGCGCTCGCTCATTGGGATCGTCGCTTCTTCGCCGGGCCCTCGTCGTGTTGTGGGCGGCGAATATGGCGGAAGGCTTTGTCATGGGCCTGACAGGAGAGGGCTGTCCCTGGGGGCCTTCGGCTGTGCAAGTGGAGACCGAGGCCCGGCCAGATGTTCCCAGATAAGCTTGTGTGTTTAAATCCAAGGATCCAAGGCTTGGACTGGATGTGGAATTCTTCTTATTTTTTTATGGAGTCAAGACGCGTCCGACTCCCGGAGACTGGGCGAACTTCGGGCGAATTGTGACAGCAGCGAATAGGTCCCAGGACGGGATAAAACTGGTTGCGTCCGGATTCCAGAGCGCCTATACGCCTCGAAGAGTCTCACCTCGGACCCTCTTGCTTGGGCATTCGCGCTGGGGTGTGTGTATTAATAGGTGCCCTCGAAACGACTACTCACATGTCTGTCACACAAACCAATATGAACGTCGAGCCATCGCACCCCGAAGTTACACAGCGTTTCTTCAGTCCATTCATCCCGAGTTGACGTCAAGTGCCACGTGAACGAGGAGCTTGTTCCGGCCCAAGAGGGCCAATCACGACACATATGGCGGACATGGAAGGGGGAGGGGGATATGCCAGTACATGGTGGCTTCGTTCGGTCGATATAAACAACAGTGACACGCAACAAGACACACGTCGTGCGGTATCAGTATTTCCACGGGCTCGGTTCCGTATTCCGGCTCGTTCCTTCAACGACCTCGCGTATATGTATCCACAACAGTCAGACCCCTCCCGTGCATGCAGCCGTCCATTCCGCTCCATCCGCAGGGGAAACAGTGTCCCTGAGCCAGAGGTAGAAAGATCTTTTTTGTCTTTTCGGTTCGTAATAGATTTGTTTTTTTTGTCTTTGCCTCACTCTCCCCTCCCCTTTTCTTCGCTCCATAGGAGACGTTTCGCGAAAACAAAAGAGAACAGAATAAGGGTATGTTCGCAGTGAAAAAAGAGCTCAAGTCGTCATATATGCAGCAAGATCGCTTTCAAATCGTGGCGGTTGATTGTTCGTTATTCTCTTACCAGAGGTCTGGGAAAACAGTATCAGCCCATCTTGACATCACCATCGAAACCGACCCCAGCGAACGGGACAGTCTGTGGCTGCTGCTGTTGCTGATGCTGGTCCTGATTCTGCTCTTCCCCATGGCCCTCCGTTGGCTGGTTCTCATCCCTCTTCTTCCTGCCGAGCCGGTCACACCACTCTTCAGCGCTGACGATTGTGCCGTCGAGCACGCCGCTCACCTGCGCCATCATGTCCAGTCCTTCCTTGGCTAGGACCAGCACCCGCTGGGCGCCATCACGGACCTCCTGCTCCTTGCCCTCCTCAGATGACGAGGCCTGGTTGCTGTTGGCATTGCTGCCCGACTCTTGTGTAGCGATGCGGAACCGCTGCGGCAGAGAGGTGAGGTGTCTCCGGACCAGCGCTCGTGCGTTGTCTGGGAGTGCGCCGCCTGCGTACTTGGACACAGTCTCGATAACACCTTGCAGTGTCTTGAGAACTTCTGATCGCAGAGCATCGATCCGCGCTCCAATGGCGCGTCGCGCCTGTTCGTCGTCCCGTACTGCAGACGTGCCTGCCGCGTCGTTCATGGCGTGGTCCTCCAATTGAGGGTGGCTCTCATATTTGTCCAACGCATCTTTGAGGGCGCTGATCACCCTGCCGATGTGGTCGTTGGCCCATCGCAACCAGCCTAGACAGTACTTGAGGCTGCGCAGGCTTTCCTCACTCATAGCAATGCTTAGCCCAGAGGTGGACATGATGAGCCGGGACTGCCACGCCGTAGGGGTCGTAGATGACGGTCTCGAGGTTGTCGGTTCTGATTTCTCATTTTGAACTGCACCTGCGTCCTCTGTATAGGCCGGGCTCCGAGCGTCGTCATATGCCGGCAATGTGTCGACCGTGCTCATGGAGAGCCTCCGATCCTTGGTGGTGAAGCCGTAAGGGTCCATCTGGCCTTGCGTATCTGCACCATTTGTACTGTTGTAGGCAGGAACCCCAGAATCCCGCCGCGGGGCGGAAGTCGAATTACCCCTGCTGCCAACTTTTCTCCGCTTGTGGCTCTTCTCGCCCGTCTCCAGGTCCCCGGACGACTGATGGCGACCCTTACCGCGAAAGAACCACCTAACGCCGCCTTCTATACCGGTGAGATGAAGGCCGGAGCCGACGACGCCCTCGATGTAGTCAACAGGTGTTTTGATAAACCCGGGAGAAAAGTTCTTGGTCGTGTTATATGCGGAGACGGTGCCCTCGATTGGCTTCGCGAGTACAGAGCCCGACGTCATGACGAGCGACAAGAGCGGCTCGGGCGGACCAGGCGTGCCAAACATATTCGAGGGCGAGTTGGGCATTGGGGTATTCTTGTTCTGGGGAGACGAGACGAAATCTTGAGGCATGGCTTGTCAGAGATAGGGTTCCTACCGAGGGTGGGGAAGATGGGACGAATGATCATGCACTCACCGGCCTTGAGGTCCCCGAGGGCCTCGGCTGCCATTCGCACGTCCGGATCGTCCAGACTAACACTACTTGCTCGACCACCTACGGGCTCTGGGCTCAAGGGCCCCCTCGTACCACTGCTCAAGCTGTCGAGATCCATCTTCGCAGGCGAGCCAGCCGACTGGACATTATTTCCTGTATAATACGCCGAGTACGGGTTCCCAGAGGGCCACGGCCGTGGTCGTGCGGGAGGTGAGAAGGATGTGTCGCTTGCTCCTGTTGATGACGAGAACCTGAGGGAGGCCGACGTCGGCGGGCCTGCCAGATAGGCCAGCGAGGGTAAAGAGTTCACGCCGTGGTCGCTGCTGGCGTTTAACTGCAGAGGCGCAAGTTCGTTGGAAGGGGGCTGTGGGAAGCTCAAGGTCGTAGGGTCGTGGTTATGCTGGGCGAATGCGTACGAGGGCGGCGAGTAGGCTGGGAGTTGACTGAGGGGCCGAGGGGACAGGGAGGACGACTTCGAATGGCGGTGGGGGTGGTGGTTGTTGCTGTTGGCGGCGCTCGAGGCGTAGAAGGGGCTCGCGCTGGGGTTGGTGTACGGCGGAGACAGCGTCAAGGACGAGGAATGCGGTTGGTCGGGCGGCGGTTGAAATTGCTGGAGAGACTTGTGAAATATGGGGTCTATGGCGCTATGCGATGGGTTGCCGTTGCCGATGCTGTTGAAGTCAAAATCGACGGGAGGTGGGAGCCGCATGTGATTCTGACTCTGCGCCTGGGTCTGGGTCTGAGCTTGAGCCTGAGCCTGAGCCTGAGCCTGAGGAGTTTGGTGGTGAGGGAGTTGTTGGTGTTGGTGTTGCGGCTGCTGCTGCTGCTCCATTTCCATTTCCATGTTGGCCGCCTCTTGGTCCGCCCGTGCTTCAGCTGGTCTGGGCTCTTGCAACGAAGCAGCCGAGCCCAGCGAGATGCGAGGTCGGGTCCGTTGATTCAGGTTAGGCCAGGAACAGTCCGCCAAGGGGGGGTTTTCTGGTCACGACTAAGTCGTCATTTCAAGATGACAGGCGCGCTCGGTCGAGAATGGACGGAACCGAGGAAGCGCAAGGCACTGACTCGAGGATGCCTAGGTCGACGAACGATGAAGAACAGAGCAGAGCCGACCAAGGTCAGACCATACCAGAGTCGTGGGGAGAGAGGATAAAGTGCGTGCACCGTAGTGTGACAGTGGGAAGCGAGAACGAGCGCCCAAGGAAAAAAGGCTGCAAACGCAGAGCACACCACAACACAGTAGACCTAAAAGGTAGATAGGGTCAGGTAAGACACGCCAGACAGGGCCGAAGAGGCAAGGGAAGGATTTCTGGCGATAGCCGGCCAAAAAAGGTCCCAAGGGGTTTGTCAGGAGAGGTTCTGGCAGACTGGTGCTGCCCTGCCTTCGTTCTCCCACGAGCTGCCGATGCCGAGCAGGGCTATGCCGGGGAGGGGAGGGTCTGCATAAAACCGAGTCTAACCATGTGCCCGGTTGGCTGGAGCGGATGGTGGCGCAACGCAAGCACACGACGCTGCAGGCACTCACTCACTGACAGGAGAAGGAGTGAAGAAGAGGGAGAGAGAGAGCTTTTTTTTTTTTTTTTGGTCTGGCGCTGGTTCTGTGTCCCGAATACGGTGTTACAATATAATGTCAAGTCTTATGAGTTCAGGCAGTCAGCCCGATTTGGCGTGCTTGTCGCAGTTTTGACATCAGATAGACTACCCACGCACCCAGGTGCCTACTTCTAGTCAGTCAGTGCTGCCTCCCGAGGTCTGCTGGCTCTACCTGCCAGGCCTGTCCAAAGCCAATTGATGCGACACGCCCCTGCAGAGTGGGCTGAAGGCAAAACACGCAGTCGACCCTTCCCTGCCTCTTCACGGTCGACGGATGGCTGGCAGGTGCTGGGTGCGGGATCTGCTGTCTGCCATGGCGCAGATAGACTGACTTTAAGTTAGACAGATACAGTAATAGACAGACGGATGCAATAGTCGTCCTCCCCAGCCATTCCAGCCAGCCAGCACCCGTCATCCCCAATCTCCGGCTGGGTTCTGGGTGGGGTTTCGCTTTCGTCCCGGCTACTCACCGTCTGCCCGCCTGGCCCGCCTGCCATGGCACTCATGGATCACCCAGCTTGGGGCCTGTTTTTCCTCCCGCCTCCGCCCTAACAGGACTCCAGTCAGCGCCGGGCCGGCAGATGGGCCATCTTCTACGACCGCGTACCTTACAGCGCCGCATGACCATTCCAAGAATTTTTTTTCTTTCTCTGGGGCCGAGGCTGCCGTCATGGCCCCGCGATGTCAGACCAGCACTGATCCCATAAGCCAGTGAGTTGTCCTGCACATGCTGCGGATAAACCACAGGGCTTATCCGTACACAGGCGCGATCACATGCTTGCTGCTTGTTCACAGGTTGCACAAGGATTCGTGGACGGCACGGAACGGATATCTCCAACTCTGTTCGCATTGACGATGCAGAATCAAAGCCTGAACAGGAACTTAAGAAAAAGACCCGACGGCTGCTACACTGTCCCTGCGTGGCGACAGAGTTTGACCCCTTGCCGCAGGGGAGGGGAAGAGACGATGGAAGAGACGATGGACGTGGTTGTTGCGACGGGATGGGGGAATGGATTGGCAGACACGCACATGTCAGCACATGTCCAGCTGAGGGTGGGGGGTGGGCTGCCGTGGAAGAGATGATTTGGTGGCTGCAGACCCCTCTCACCATCCTCCGAAACAAAAACGGGCACCCCAGCACCAGAAGGAATCCTTCCCTTAGCCAAAATGGCCCGCTCTTCTGCCGTCACATGCTCGTCGGGAGCCGCCCGTCAAGGACGACCCTGTCTCACCGGCTGCAGAGCTTATTGGGTGCGCCCTGCTGGTCCTGGACCGATCTCAAGGCCCCTTGCCGACTTGCATATGATTTCCCAGGTGTGTCACAAGCAATTCTTGGGCACAGCTGCTTCTCTCTGTCCTTCTCGACCCCCCCTCCGCTCCACTGGGAGCCACTCGGGCTGAACTTCGGCTCCGGCGTTTGAACCAAAGTCTGTGTCACCAGGATCTAGACAGGAGTGGAGGATGAACATTTTTCAAGGTCGATGCCGCACACGCGCGCGCATGCCCGAGTCCGCGATTGCAAAAGATGCCCAATTGTCTCCGGTGATGGACGGCTTGTGATTGATCGGGGCGCCGTTGCTGCGAACAGACTGCAGAGTTTGACAATGCGCCATGTTAGGCCTACTGCACTCCGCAAACTACTACTTTGTTCAGCACTGGTTTTGATAGTGTAGACATACTGCACCCCCACGATGATGCCTGAAACATGGTTCATGTGATGTGATGATGTCAAAGTGCCAGCTAGGCGGGCCACCAGCAGGCTAAATGCAACAGGACGACCCCTTTGCACGTCAATCGTGGCGCCCACGAGCCCAGATTCGGGTCGGCGGCGTGAGCGGAGGCTGGAGAAGTTCGACGGGCTTGGACGGGCTGACTATAGACAGACTATCCGGCCATTGCCCGTCTCATCATCTTTCCCCTTTGGCACTGGGGCCGGCCCAGCCTGAGGAAAGATCTACCACCGTACTGCGTGTGACGAGTGACCCGTGACCAGAGGAGAAGCTGCTGTGCGACGCAACGGCGCAGAGAGCATCGGCATCAACCAACAGCCGGTGCAGGCACCTCACCGCTTGCAACAACCACACAACTGCATGTCACCCAGTCCAGCCCAGCCAAGCCCAACCCACCCCTTTCGGGCCGCCGGTTTGTTTGTTGAGCCCCGAGGTGCTGCCATGTGCTGCAGATACGTACTGTTTGTGTTTGCAGTGCACCTCAACCCAACCTGTCGGTGAGGCGACGTGAAATGTTCGGTGCCTCTGACACCGCCCAAACCACGGTAGAGTTTAACGTTTGGGCAGTTCTTAATGGCACCGCAGGGAATCCATCCTTCTCCGCCCCCATAATCGCAGAATTCACCAACGTCGGCACTGTTGATATCGAACAAGACGCCCGAATCTGGCGTGTCGCAATGTGATGGGCTGCACTGTCAAGAGGGGGCGTTGAGGGAGGAAGGGAAGCAGGTCGGAAGGAGAGAAGCAGCCGAATTTTCTTTTTGATGTCTTCGCTCCCCAACGCAAGATCGGAGGAAGGAGCCACCGTTCCGTTGTGCACGGACCACATAATGGCTCGTGCACACAGCAAGCTGAGACCTGGACGTGGACAGATGTCTGGACTGGACCTCCTGAGCCGCGCCCAGCTGCAGTCGTCCCCTGGAAGAGGCTTGGCTGGCCTTGCTTGGGAGGTCCATACCAAGCTAGGGTCGCGATAGCAGCCTCGAAATCCACTCCAAGTCAACATCAGCCCAAGTTGTCCATCACCATTGACGACAGTCCCGAGCTTGCTACTGCTCTACCCAATCCCGCGACGGCTCGCTAAATTTCCCATCCGCATGGTATAGGCCTCCGTAGCAGCCTGCTTCCTCTGGCCAGCGCGCCGTTCCTAATACTCTCGTGCCCCTCCCTGCCTTGTCCATCGCCTCGACGACGACACACACGCCCCCTCGATAAAAGCGACTCCAGCTTCCACCATGGCTTCTGCCATCTTTTTCCTGGACTTGAAGGGCAAGGTCCGTCCACCAGAGCTTCGGTACTTGTCCTGAGTCAATGTCTTGGAGCTGATAGCCATGCCTCGCAGACCCTCCTGGCCCGGAACTACAGAGGAGATATCCCCATGTCCGCCGTGGAGAAATTCCCTGTGCTGCTTAGCGAAGCAGAAGAGGAGTCATCAGCAGTACCGCCCTGCTTTTCACATGAGGGAATCAACGTATGCCGCCGCCCCTCGTGATCTGCCAGCTCCCCCAGGCCTGCGATTGACTGACAGTACGCTACAGTACCTTTACATCCGCCACAACAACCTCTACCTCCTCGCGCTGACGAAACGAAACACGAATGCCGCCGAGATACTTCTCTTCCTGCACAAGCTCGTCGATGTCTTCACAGAGTACTTCAAGGCCCTGGAGGAGGAATCCATCCGCGACAACTTCGTCATTATATACGAGCTCCTCGACGAAATGATGGACTTTGGTTACCCCCAGACGACCGAATCCAAGATCCTTCAGGAATACATCACCCAAGAGTCCCACAAGCTGGAGATACAGGCACGACCGCCCATTGCCGTTACGAACGCCGTGTCATGGAGATCCGAAGGAATTCGGTACCGCAAGAACGAGGTGTTCCTCGACGTCGTCGAGAGCCTCAACCTCCTCGTCTCTGCTAACGGCAACGTGCTGCGCTCCGAGATCCTCGGCGCCATCAAGATGAAGTGCTATCTGTCCGGCATGCCTGAACTGCGGTTGGGACTAAACGACAAGGTCATGTTCGAGACAACGGGGCGGACCACGCGAGGCAAGGCCATCGAGATGGAAGACGTCAAGTTCCACCAATGCGTTCGGCTATCACGATTCGAGAACGACCGCACCATCTCCTTTATTCCACCCGACGGCGAATTCGAGCTCATGTCCTACCGCCTCAACACCCAGGTCAAGCCCCTGATTTGGGTCGAGTGTGTGGTTGAGAGCCACTCGGGCAGCCGCGTAGAGTACATGGTCAAGGCTCGAGCACAGTTCAAGCGGCGCAGCACGGCAAACAACGTCGAGATCATTGTGCCTGTACCGGAGGATGCCGATTCACCCCGGTTCCGAACAAACATCGGCAGCGTACACTACGCACCAGAGCAGGCCGCCATTGTCTGGAAGATCAAGCAGTTTGGAGGCGCTAAGGAATTCCTCATGCGGGCGGAGCTAGGCCTTCCAAGCGTGCGCGGTGACGATGAGCATGGCGGTGGAATGACTGGTGGCTTCGGAGGAAGCATGGGTGGTGTAGGGGGCCCGGGTAAGGGTGCAAAGAGGCCAATCCAGGTCAAGTTTGAGATTCCTTACTTCACGACGAGTGGAATCCAAGTGCGCTATCTGAAGATCACGGAACCGAAGGTAAGATACCCCAGGAAGAGGTCCACTTTGAGGGCCAAGTTGACATGACCAACAGCTCCAATACCCGTCCTTGCCATGGGTCAGGTATATCACACAGTCAGGCGACATCGCAGTGAGATTGCCGGATGTTGTGTAGAGAAGACGTGAGATTTTGTCGCCACCCCTTCCCACAAACAATGGCCGACACTCGATACACGGTTCAAGCTGCGCCGCACGTCAGCGATCCGACTCGTCTCTCCCGGCCATAGCAGCCGCTAGAGAGTTGCATCCCCACTTAATATGGTTGGTCGCATCTACGTATTGGTCCTCGGCGGCAGTGGGACAGATGTTCGAGCAGATACACGCGAGGGGGATTCTGCTCGTGGGAAAGGCCGTTGTCGAAGCACAGTCAGGCGAACAGCGTTTCATTGACACGCAAAACATCTTACCATAAACACCAATGACGGTGATGATGGATCGGCGCCACTATGCAAGATTATTCATGAAAATGCGCTTAGAAATCAAGACCACGATTTACTGCTCCAAGGCAGTCCTCTGATCCTGCCTTCTCCGGGACACAAACTCCACAAGTAATGACTGCACACTTCCAAACCAACACCCTCTCATCCCTGCTGAGCTCTGAGGTTGATAAGCGTGCCTGGCCCGAATTCTCGCTGTCAACGCTTAGATCAGGGTTTATTGTTTAGAAGATTACTGAGCTCTGCAGCTGTCCAAATAGAGCAAACAAAAGCCCGCAAGTATTGTGGTCTCTGATAGTCCGAAGGCTAGAGCTCGCGGCGAGCCCACTCCGGCCCCGGACGCCCACTCGCAACGCCATGCTGTCGCCGAAGGTCTACGTGTAAAGGATGTTTGTACAGTGCCCAGCTGCTACACACAGACTTGCTCTGGCAGTCGAGAACCGTGCCCACAACCACAGCCCAGGTGGGCGGTCAGCACTGGCGAAGCCTTGGGGAGGGCATTGCAACGGTGTTTTGGGGCCCTCGCGGTTCTGGTAACGGAGGGGGAGGGGGCGGCACTGGTGGTGGGAGAGGAGTCGCCGCCTGATCTGCTTAAGATGTGTTCGAGCCTTGATCTCGGTGGCTGTTTGTTTTCGTTGCTCGATCTTGTTGTGTCAAGCACCGGGGCTCAGAAACCCATTGTGTGTTCCGTTGGGAGGTTATGGACTGGAAATTGGGGATCCCAGGATTTGTTTTTAGATTGAGAACTCGGTATCCGCGTAAAGGTGTCAATCATAAATGACCCTCCGGCCTGTTCGGGAACCAGTGTTCGTGGGTTCTTCGAGCTGCTAAATGAGTCATTGTCACTGAAGAAGTTGATAGATGTATGATAAGAGCCTGGGATCCTTCTTTACAAGTCAGGTGCCTCCGCTCAGACGAGGGTTTAGCGGTTGTCCAGGGGTAAAACATGTGGGATGCACGTGGAGTGTTGGGGGCATCTATGTGAGATAAGTAAAACCCATCACCCACTTTATGACACGTGAGATAAACTGATGCTGAAGGTGGAGCGGCGAATATCTGTATAAATATCTCTGAGCGATGAGGGTTGTCCGCGGGGTCCGTCGTAACAATGGCGATAGTTGTGCTCATGGTCGAGGCGCTTCTGCTCCTCCTGCATGTCCTTCACAATACACCCACATCTAAATCGTCCTCCATTGGATTTTCGCTGTCCATTCGTCCCGCAGGGAACAACATACTAGTAGCTGACAACACTAGCGGGAGGAACTCATTAACAGGGTTGATATTAGTTAAATTAGTTTAGTTAATTTTAAAAATTAATTAAATTAGTTTAGTTAATTTTAAAAACTAACTAATTTATTTTAATTAATCTTATTAATTAAAACTAAATTAACTAATTAAAAAACTAACTAAATTAACTAAAAAACTAAGAAAAAAAGCGGGGCTAATATTAATTAAAATTTTAAAAATATTTAAATAATTATAAGCCTATTAAATACTAAGAAGAATATTAAGAAAATATTAAAAAATATTAAAAGAATATTAAAAGAATTAAAAGAATTAAAAGAATTAAAAGAATTAAAAGAATTAAAAGAATTAAAAGAATTAAAAGAATTAAAGAATTAAAAGAATTAAAAGAATTAAAAGAATTAAAAGAATTAAAAGAATTAAAAGAATTAAAAGAATTAAAAGAATTAAAAAAAAAACTTAAAAAAAGTTGTTTTTAAGGTAATTTAAACCCTTAGCTATTAATATATTATACGGCATATAATCATAAGCAAGGGATTTACGTTGCATTTACATATTATAAGATTAATAAGCATTATTATAATTATCACGGGCAATTATTATGAATTTTATTAATGCTATATATTATTATATTATATATATTATAAAATTATAAAATATATATAATTTAGCTTTCTTATAAGTGCATATAATGTATAATATATAGCATATAATATATTTACGCCCCCCCTTTTCCCCCTTACCCTTAGCGTAACTACTTATATAAAGCGATTAGTTTCTTAATAAGTTTTTAGGCTAGCTATATAAAAAATATATAATTAAATTACTGTTTTCTTTTATATTATATATATAATATTTATAAAATAGCTTATCTTTTTAAAAAAATAAAAATTTTAATATAAATAAGATTTACCTTATATAAAGATATTAAATATATATTTATAAAATTATATAAGAATTTTAAAAAAAAATTTTAATTATAATAATATTATTTTTATATTTATATATAATTATTTAAAAATATTAAAAACACTTTTTTATTATATTTATTAAAATTTATATATTTTTATAAATACTTTAATTTTAAAAATAGCTATAAGGCTTATTTAAGCTTATTTACCCCTATAAATACTTTAACTTTAAAAGCAGCTATAGGGCTTATTTAAGCCTATTTGCCCCTATAAATACTTTAACTTTAAAAGCAGCCATAGGGCTTATTTAGGCTTATTTACCCTTATAAATACTTTAACTTTAAAAGTAATTATAAGGCTTATTTAAGCTTATTTACCCCTATAAATACTTATTTATTATATAAATTTAAATATTATATATTTATATTAAACCTTTTTAAATTAATAAAATAAAAATAGCTTTTTAACTTTTAAGGTAATTATTTATTTAAATTAAATAGTTTTAAAAGCTAAGATTTCATTATAAGAAATATATATATTATTTAATTTAAAATTATATATATTTAAATAAATATATAATAAATATATAAAAATTATCCTTAAATTAAGTTTTATTTATATATATATTAATATTATTTAATGTTATGGTTTGGGCTTTGCTCATTGTAATTAATTAGTGGGCTTTAGCCCTATAAGAATAAGCTTTAACGCAAGTATAAATGGAAAGCAAACCTTTTCCTTTATACTTTAAATATAAACCCTATTTAAATACTTTATAATAAATAACTTAAGGCTAGCTTATAATATATATTTAAAATCTTTTTGCATTATAAACTTATAATATAATTATATAAAACTTAATATAGCAAGATTTAAAAAGAATAATAATAGCCTATTAAGCTCTTCTTTATTTAAAAAAACTTTTATTTTAAGAATACTTAGTAACTTAGCTAATAAAGATAAAAATTAAGTTTATAATAAATAGGGAAGCAATTAATGCTAAAAGGGCTTAATTTTTTTATATATTTAATTAATTAAAAACTTTTTATAATTAATTTTTACCTTATATTAATTTTATAAAAATATTTAAGGAATAATTAAAAAGCTTTTTAAAAAAGGTTTGCTTTGCATTTAAAAACCCTTTTAAATAAAGGCATGCTAAGCTTAGCTTAATTGCATTATAATAATATTATAAAAAGGAAATAATAAAATTTTTTACTTAATTTAATTAATTAGCTTATATAATAAAGACTTAAAATTAATTAAATAAATATAAAATATTATTAATAATTAATAACTTAATCTTTATAATAAAAACTTAACTTAATTATAAGAAATAATTAAATATATTTAAAGCTTTTTATTTTATTTTATAATAATATAAGGGTATTTTTAATATTATAATAAGAAAGGATAATACTTAACCTTAAAATAATAAAGTAATAAATATTAATATTATAGTAATTTTAATAAGTAAAGTTAAGTATTTTATATATAATTAATTTAGCTATTATAAGCATAATTACCTTAATTATTATAAAAAAATAAAGATATAGTTTTTATTAATTAAGATTAATAAGGGAAAGGAGTTTATTTAAAGGGGTGTAAAATTTTTTTTATAAGATAAGGCTTAAAAATAATGCTAATTTAACGCTAACTTAAACTTAAAATAAATTAATTATATATTAGCTAATTTAATATTATAGAAATACTTAAAATTTAAGAAATTTTTGTTAATAAAGTAAATTGCTTATAATTAAGCATTAATTAATTATAAATTATATAATAAATTTATAGTTTTAAGGTTTTAAATAAGGAAGTTTATATAAAAGGCTTATATTAAAGGATTATAAAAATGCTATTAATTTAATCGCTAGCTTATACTTAAATAATTATTTTTTATTAGCTTATTTTAATTAATATATTAAATTATAAAGGCTAAGGTATATTAATTATAAATAATAAGCTAAGCCTTTAATGCAATTAAAAGGCGCTAAGATATAATTAAATAACTAGGTAAAGAGCAATATTTAATTTATAATTAAATTATAATATTCTTTATTTTTTATTATATAATTATTCTTTAAAGCCTGCTATAAAAACTTAAAAAAAAGAATATATTATAATTTAGGCTTTGCTTATTATAATTAATTAATAGGCTTTAACCTTATAAAAATAGGCTTTGGCATAAATATAAATAAAGAGTAAATCTTTTCCTTTGCATTTTAAATATAAACCCTATTTAAATACCTTATGGCAAACAACCCAAGGCTAGCCCATAATATTTAAAAACATTTTAATTTATTTATAAAATATAATATTATATATTTCTTTAAATAAATATTTAGCCTATTTAAAGGAATAAATTAGCCAATTCAAAAAAATAAACTATTTATATTTTTTTAATTTTTAATATATATAAACCTTTTTCTTTTTCCTTCCTTTCTCTCTTTTCTTTTCCTTTATTATTATTTTATCACCACCAAGAAAATTACTTACATCTTAATATTCACGCCTTAACA